GGGGGGGGGGAAATATCTGTGAAAAAAAGACATCATGAAAGCCATTTAGAAAGACTAACCCAGGGACATCACAAGGCTGCAAACGCGGCTGACTATTCTTGTCTACAATGAATTGAGAGGAGCCTTTACACAAATTAGGTGATTGTATTCGACTGAATGAGCCCCAATACTGATTTGACCTCGTGAGTACATGGCGACCAAGTCGTCCTTTCGCTTTTGGTCGTTTTGTGATGCCTTGCCCTAATGAAGTCATTAGATGTAGCCGTAGAGGATGTTTTGAATGTGGTCCATCAGGCTACAATACAATATAAGAATAGGAACTGTGAAATCAATAGACCCTTACACCCTTAGAAGGAAGCATTTGCCCTGGAGCACATGTTACCACCACCAATCTTCTCTCACTAAAAAAGCAATCGACAACCACACAGGATTTCCCTTCCTCGCCTCTTCAACCTTCTTCTACCTCACCCTTTTCCTCCTGACCTTTCTACTCTTTACCCTTCTAGTCCTCACCCTTTTCCTTCTCTACTACTTCACTCAACGACTTCACCACGCTTTGAGCAAGCTTCAAACCCCAAGATTGAACAGAATTTTCCCAGTACTCGAGGCAGCTCGATGGGTTGCTTTGCCTGAAGGTTGGTGTCGCGCTCTCATTTGAAATTTCAGAATTCACACTAACAAACCTCAACAGATACTCGGCATCTACCCAAACGCAAGGTAGCCCGAGGACTTGATTGTTCTTTCATTTACCCATACTCACATCTACATCGACTTTGCCATTGCATCTGCTCTACCATACACCTCCCACATTGATTCGAGATGCCTCCGAATTCCCAGTCCGCATCCTCTGCTCTCCCTGATGAGGACGACAACGCCACTGTCTCTTCTGCGAACATGGAAAGTGAAGATGACAAAAGTTCACCTGATGTCCCATGGGTTTCCCGTCTCAGCGACTCGTTTGCTCTAAAATGTTCAATTTCCTCGAAACCAGTGCGCAGGGATCCATTTGGAACCCTTCCTTGGTACGCCCTAGATGTGGTTTTGTTCAATTTGCCCGACCTACCGACGTTGCACCAACTCACCCTGGCTTCGCCCGATGTTCGGGATTACCTCGACGACAAGATTGGCATTATGCCTAAGTTGGTGGAACACATCATCGAGCGGCGGGAGTATGAAACAAAATACATCAACGAGGAGGAATGCGACTACAGCCAGGAGGACGCCGATCGAGGTCTCAACGAGGATACCCGTATTTTCTTCCGAACTCTGGTCTATCTTTGGTGGAAGGAAGACTCCGTGGCTAAAGGGGTGCCTTCAGATGACAACCCACTGCCCGAGGACTTCAACAATCCGTTGGTCTACAACATCAACATTACCGTAGAGGGCTTCTATGAGCCAGAAAAGGTCGGCATCATTCGCCTCCCCGCATCAACCCCAAAACACATTCTCCGCCATCTCCTGAGCCTTGCGAGTCGCCTCCGGCGGGATGTACATGCCTTCTTCCACGAGACAATGGCTCTCTGCGCCTCCACCAAGATGCTGGAGCTCAAGAACAAAAAGGCGCACTGGCCAAACAACGGACCTCGGCCTCGCGGTATTCCGCATCCCACCTGTGGAACAAGATACCCTCTTTCTTGGATGGAGGAACAGCGGCTGATGCTTGCATTCCTCAAGCCGTACATTTTCTCGGTGCTGCGACGGGTGGTCTGTGAAAAGCGGCTGCTGAGGCCCCTTTCTTGTCTCCCAGACCCCCTTCCGGAACGAATGTACCCTGATACCCTGAAGAACCTAGAGCAGAATTCGTTGGCAGATTTCTGGTCGCCATACGCTAACTATGGCTGGATGAGAACAGAGTCAATGGAACAGATGGAGACTGTCCTTGGTTGGCTGGAAGAAGGAAAGGGATCTCACGCAATTCGACGCAAGAGAGCAACCAAGTTCACAACATGTTGCCCGACGTTTAACCCATGGACCACAACGCAATTTAAACGCAGCCGGAGCGACCTCCAACAGATCAGCCTTCCCGGGCCCTTTTGGGCACAACAATGCGAAGTTGTACCGCAGTCGGATGTGCAAGCCGCCGGTTTCCGCGGAGAGTTCCAGAGGTTTGGAGTCAGCTTTTGGGATATGGAACGAATGGAGTACCTAGGGTTCGCAACTAAACGTATGCACCTGGGGCGGTACCCGGAGCAGCTAGAGCTCGCTTTCCGGTGGTCTTCGATGCTACTGGCGTACAACAAAAAGGCGCCTCATTGGGCCCGAACGAAGAAGGACCAGCCGAAGAAGGGACTCAAGTTCCGTAGCAAAACACAGGCTATTCCGTTGAGCAAAAAAGTCTGATTGACTCGCCTTTGTTGACACCGGAGCATCGTGGGTTCACCGATGGACCCCGAAGCAAGATTCACATTTTTTGATTTACACAAATTACAATTCTCGTTTTATGCATTTGGCGATTGAGTGAAAGGAGGAAACGAAAACAGAAAATCAAAAAAAAAAAAAACACATCCTTCAGGGGATGTCTCCGCCGTGATGGAACGGACGGAACATCCGCTTTTTTTCGATTACGCAAGGTACATTTCTCGATTTACGCATTTGGTTGTTGATGAAAAAGGAAAAGCACAAAAAGAAACCACACATCCTCGAGGGGATGTCTCTGCCGTCAGGGAACGGAAGCAATTTTTTCGATTTACACATTTGGTTGTTGAGGGACAGGGGCAAAACACCTAAAACACCAAAAAAATCACACATCCTTTATCGAGTGTCTCTGCCGCGAGGGAACGGCTGCTTTGGTGACTACGCAGGAAAAGAAAATACAAAAAAAAGCTGTTGAGTACCTTCATTGATCGCCCTCGTAATTCAAAAGAGACGTAGAGTTGCCAGCAGCGATTTTAGCTTCGTTCTGTAGCTTTTATATCGGGACCTGGCATTTTCATCGGCTCTCTACTAACCCACTGACTGCACCATGTTTAGGTCCAAAACATGTTCTATTGAACTTCTTACATCTAGACCAGCCCAAAAGGCAGAACCCAAAGAGTTTTGATTAAGCTGATACTAATCCATGGATGTTGATAGGCACTTCGATCCACACAGATTGTGCAAGTCAGTTGACACCCGCGAGCAATGAATGAAGCAGGCAAGCTATTCGATTATGATAACCGGATCATCAGGTTCAGTCGAGGCTTCATTCCCAGGAGCAACATGTATGCCATGGGTGGTTTTCATATGTTGGTGCAGGTTCCACTTTCGCGAGAACCCATTCGTATGTCGAGTGCATGCCCTGAAAGGGCAGACAATATCCACTTTCCGATGAGCACCCTTTCCAGCGGCTGGTTTAGCCGTCTTTGGCTCCTGTTCCACGGCTTCTTCTGTGTCCTGTACAGTAGGTTCTGGCACTGGTTCTGGTAGCTCCTCTGGGGCTGGGGACGGGGATGAGGAGGGAGGAACGATTCGAGGAGTCTTGTGTATCTTCGAGCTTCGCCGGCTTGTTGTCTTCGGTTTAGATTTAGGGATCTTCGCTTTAGACTTAGATAACACCGCTTTAGCTTTGGGTGTCTTCTTCGCCGTGGGCCGGGGTTCAAGCTCAGGTATGATAAGCCGGCTGCGACTTGTTCGGGGATTTGGCGGAAGGATTGGCTGAGGACTCAGCGGCGCCGAGTCGATCTCACTCTCGCTGTCGGTGTAGGCATATTCTTCTTCAGCACCTGTCTTGCTCCTCTTTTTTACCCTGCCTTCCGGCATTCTTCTAAATTCCATGTCTTCGCCGAAAAGATCGGCGCATCGCTTTGATGCGCGCAGTACTGCGGGAGTGGGCAGGCCCATCATTGATGCAAGTCCTATGACTTCACTCCAGTCTCGCAGTTTGAATCGGTCCTTGGCGTGTTGATTGATATCTTGACCAGCAGAGGAGTCGCGAGATTGCGCTCGGGTTTGGGAAACTTCTGGTAAGTTCCCATCTTCCCTGTCCGGTCCAATGGACATGCGTGCACTGTTGGAACGACGTGACAAGCCCCGCTCCTGAGACTCCTGTCGAGCACTTCTCCGACCACGCGATCGACTTCTGCTCCTGCGATTAGGGCTCTCGAGAGTCTCATGGTCTTCTTCGTCCGAATCACTCCATTGCTCGTCACCAGAGTCTTCCTCGAATTTGCGACCCTTCGTGGCGCAATGGAGCCCGTATAGCAGACTGTCTACTTGTGAGATCACATTGCGGGCCAGTGGTCGTAATTGGCGCAGTGATTTCTCGTCATCAAGCAGGGCTATTGGTCGCAGGATTCTAGTATCGACTGGCACTTCTTCATCTTCCTCCTCCTTTTTCCCCAATTCATCGTCCATCAGCTCATCCCCGTCGTCCAACTTATCCCGGGGATTATCTGCGATTTCTTCAAAATCCAACTCTCGGGCTTGGAAGGTCTCCTTGGAAGTCTTCAATATGAACGCTGTAATGCATTCCTCCAATTCCGCACTGGGTCGGGGATCAGGTTCCATTTGGAAAATATCAGGGGCATCCGCTCTCCTCTGGATAATCTCACTGGAGCGGGGAACTGTGGACGCATGAACAGGCCATGCAGCCCATCGCTTGTTCACACGCAGTGGCGCTTTGTCAATGACCCCAGGGTTCTTCCGGGCAGTGTCCCGCGCTCGCCTGCGAATCACGTGGGCGTTGTAAAGGTGAGCTGCCAAATCTCTGGTTCGGTGGGTAATCATTGCATTATAGGCTCCAATATCGTCGGCGTTATAGTTCCTCCACGAATTGGCGTGCCCTTCAAATAGATTGGGACGCTCAACCCCAGGTGGCAGGTCAAGACCTCGGTCGACTACGTAGTAAATTGGCTCAGGCTGAGACTCCTGGAGTTCGTTTGAGCGTATGCGACTTCTGCCACGATTATTGCCCTCATAGCTTCCGTCATCAGAGTCATCCCGGAAAGGCAATGGCTGCCCTCGCATTACTGTGTCAAATTCATGTTCGTTTTGGTCTAGTTCTTCATCCATGGGCTCTGTTTCAGAGAATGGCTCTAGGGAGGCATCTTGCTTCATGGGGCCTCCAAAAAGAGAACTTCTTGGCGGTTCTCCCTGAGAAGAAGGTTGCAAGACATCACTGCTTGGGCCGCCAAATAATGATTGGCGTGGCTGTGCAGATTGCGGTGGAGGAAGATCCGGCCAGGGAACCTGGCTTCCATATAAAGATGACATGCCGGAAAGAAGTCTTTTCTCTTGCCGTTGTATGGACGAAAGGTTCACCTGCAGTGCCTAGATATCACATGGATGCGGATTTTTATTGGAAAACACCCGACTTGAAGGCCAAGAGAACATTCGGTGTCAAAAAATCTTCGTAATCGGTACTTTTAATGATAAGTTTTGACTCTCCCCTCCGACAGTTTAGTTCTTACAGGGTGCTGAAGATGTCAAAAATTCCATGCGGGTGGATCATCGATGCGGTCACGTGACACATATACACGGAGTATGGACGCTAGTCCTAAAATGGCAATATATAAGTTTCTAACCTGTTCTCTTTTATTTCTATCACTATGATGGAATTTTAAGGAGCGTTCAAGGTTCAGTTTAGTTATTGAATTCAAATGGAGTTGTAAAATTACACGGGGCGAACACTGCTCAACTGAGGCTAGTGCAGTACTGTGGAAGACTTGAATACCATAGAGGGGCAAGCAGTGGCTAGCCTGGTTTGCGTCACAAATATACTAGCGATTCTGGGTGTTGTCATGGCAGCCTCGTCGTAAGTCCACGATGGCGTACTCGGATGTATTAAGCGACAAAGTGGCGAGCTGAATGCGCGCGATCTGACTTACCTAGGTCAACCATTGAATTGATGCTCATTTACGGTATTGCACTCATCCACTGAAGTATCAAAGCACGAGAATCAGCCCACTTATGAGCACATCTCCCCAACCAAACAAGCCCCTGTACCTGATGCTTTCCTCGGGGTTAGTTCCTCAGTGTGGTTTAGTGGTCCCCACAACTCTAACAATGGACCAATGAAATTTAGTTTATCGTCGTAACTTTAATCTATACTATTTTCTCAACGGAATTTAAACAGTTGAAATCAGAATTTTCATATATGCACGAGATATTGTAGGGAAACATGTGTCATCATCGTAAAGAAAGTAATGATAGTAATTTAATAGTAATATAGACTGGCGGCTCTATCTAGATACCCAAAACGAATGAAAGTGACAAAGTTGATTGTCAGAAAACAAAACGAAACCACCATGCTTTTACATTTTCAACCGGAATCTTAGAACCAATCATTAGGAAGAAAGAGCGGCATTGAGTCCTCCCATATGGAGTTAGTCAAAGCACGCTTATTGGATCCATCGGAATCCATGATCATGATCTGACCGTAGGGCTGGAAGGTGTGGTCGTACAGAGCGCACTCATACTGGAACCCGTACATTCCGGAGGACCACAAGATTTTTCCATCCTGACGCCAAACCGCGTGGGCATCGTTGGCGCCGCTGGAAGTCAGAATACGGAGATCAGTGCCGTCAGGGCGGATGGTGCAGACCTCATAGTTAGTCGGAGAAACCTTGCGGGTAAAGATTATAAATTCTCCGTCGGGCGAGAAAGAGGGGAGATTGTCCCAGCCGCTGGTGAGCTGGGTGATCTGTCTAGTCTCAATGTCGATAATGCGTAAACCGATATCAGTCTCGTCACCGTACTTAGCGGTGTCAGCACCCCACACGCGGTAGACGACCTTCTTGCCGTCGTGAGAGAAGCTAGGAAAGCCGGTATTTAGGTTCTTCGTTCCGTTAACCCAGAGACTGCTGGTGGTAAGGACCTCGGTATTACTGCCGTTTGCGGTGGAACGTAAAATCCAGCCTCCTCGCCAATCACGCGCTTCAAACCAGCCGCCCACTCCAAAGACAATCCATTCGCCATCTGGGGACCAGCTGGGACTGTAGGCCCCTCCCAGACCATCTTGAATCAGATCAGTGTCGAGTAGACTGGTATCATTAGGCTTGTAGAGTAAGGAGACATGCCTATCGTCTAGGTCAAACGTGGCAATGGAGGAGTTCCCAAGCTGCTTTTCAGTCAAAGCCACGCGGTCGTCCGACGAGAGTTGAGGGAACACATCAGTGAAGCGGTATTCCCAGTCGTTGTCCCAGCTGTAAAGTTCTTTAAAGAGCGGGCGGATAGACCAATCAACCTTCTCGTAAACAACGTACTTTCCGTCAGGAGACCACGAGGGAGAGCGGATGGTGGTATTGAAGTAGGTACCGTTTGTGAGGTACAAGCCCTCCTTATCACCGCCTTTCAGATGGTACCCAATGGTGGAGTTTGTCACGTATTGAGGAAAGGTCTTAACACCAGCCCCGCCAACCTCAATTCGACGGTCATCGCCATTGATCCCAACAGAGATAATTGCGGAGTTGGCATTTGCAACGGTCTCAGGCCGATGCGCATCCCACGTATTATTACGAGTCATCTCATAGAATATGAGGCGATTGCCATCAGGTGACCATTTGGGGGACCCAAGGCAGTGGCAAGTGCGATTGGCAACACGGCGAAGATCTGAGCCATCAGGGCGAATGATGTAAATGCCGAGCTCTTGGGTGTGCTCCCAGCCAGCGAGGCCGAGGTACGTAAGATTTCCGTGGCCATCCCATTTTGTGTTGCGGTCAGAGGAAAATGCAAGCCAATTTCCATCTGGCGACCAAGCTGGACGAAAATGACCGTGCATCATGTTCTCATCTGGCAGGTTAGCCGGGGTATCTGTGATATTCCACTCAGCACCGGTCTCCAGGTCCTTGACCCAAATATTTGCGATGTAATTGTTGGCTGTTGAAACATATGCTACCAACGTTCCATTGGGTGAGATTACAACGCTGTCTTCCGCTGCCGGAGATGTCACAATCGGCTGTAGATCGGAGCCATCTGGGCGCACACGCCAGATATCGGAATTTCCATCACCGTTCCGCTCACTCGTGAAGCCAATCCATTCACCATCGGGAGAAAACTCGGCGTGGTATTCATAACCGGGATCTGTCAACAAAGGACGCTCGTTGGTGCCATCCGCGTTGGCGATGTATAATTCCGAGGCACCAGGAGCAATGCGGTTCATTAACAGCAGACCCTTTTTTCCAGCCGCCGTGGAAGGGGTCGGGGATGCAACAGTTGGGGTTGACTTGCTTATAATGTTCTCGCGAGGTAAGTGAGCATGGAGGTTAGCATTGTTGTCAGCCTCAGTGCCCGCATCTCGGGCATAAGGGCAGCTAGCTAACGCAGGGGCAATGGCGAAGCCCACAACAGTAGCAATGCTAAGACGCATTTCAAATGTCGTGGACAATTTTGGAAAGACAATGGTCTCGGGTTAAAAAAGGTTTCTCCGGGGCTCTTCCAATGTTACGAAGAGGAGTTGGCACAGTGCTAATATGGAATGCGGGATTAAACCCCCGGAAGGTGCTACCTACATTATAGCTAGCTGTATATATAGATGGGTTTGAGAAGGCTTACTTGAGCGTGCTATCAAGTCGTTTGCCTAAAAATGATATATTCATTATGGATAATGAATATTTTGATAAATAATCCTCCAGAACAAACGGAGAAACAACTTGTTATCTTACGTTGACTAGTATCCTTTATATTTACCAATGTCCCTGTTATTCTTGCCTGATTGAAAATACCCGATTCATAATACTTGAACGATCAGAAGAGCGGGATTAGTCTAGAAAAGGGCCCGAAACAAGGGTCGACTCTGCATACTTCCCTGAGTAACCATAACCACGCCATTTGCCACGTCAGGGGCGTAGAAGCCATCGAATACTAATTTATAAAAAGACAAGAAAACTCAGCCGCATTTGCGGCCTTGTCATGTATTTTTTGTTTTATTTTTTTGAATGTCTATTTCATAGATGTTTTGCCCGCCTTCTTCGGTTTCATAGACACACGACAGAAGAAGACGGAGAAAGGCTTAATTTGTGAAATGGTCTTTTCTATGTACAACATTTGAAAAACTTAAAACGATATTTCGCATAGAGCTTTCGCTCTAAGCCATATGTGTCTTGTATTGTTCTACACCCAAAGTCGAGAAATGTCGACCACCCAAGTCAACTAGTGAACAATCCGCCGGGATCAAATATCTGCAGAACTAGGCCCTAATGAGATTGCTTTAGGAAGCCTTCCCGGACAGTGCTCTTCTAGGGTAGGCATTCTAGAATTTGGTACAGAGACGGTAATTAGGGTCTACCAAGTCTGATCGGAGTATGAAAGCTTGCGACATGACAATATAGACCGGCAGTGGATCACATTCGAGTGGCGCTGCCACAACTCCTGGTGACATGAAATAATGCATGATGACTCCTTTGGGCAAAAAGAAAACTGTGAGACATGCCCAATCGGAGTAAGCAAAGTGCCACCGGATCAGGCCAGCCTAGCATTTTGTCGCGTGTGGTACAACCAATAGATATTTCTCAGCATATAGTTTCCCAGAATTGATAATAATGTGGAAGCAAATGTATGTTTTCACACAAGCCCAACTAAGAAAAAGTGAGCAACGCCACAAAAAGGTTCCACAGATTGTTCAGCGCTTTTCGGCTGATATTGAACACGAGGGACGGCGTCAGATGCCGGCGGCTGAGGTCCCGCCTGAACTCTCTGGGGCTTTCATAGGCTTGACTGCTACTATTACCAAGGCTAATTCATCTTGAACGTCGAAGAGGGTCTGTAAATAGCACTGGCGCCTAATTCATTCTTGTCGCCAAAAATGACAACCTTGGAACCTCTCGGGTATAAATGTGGGGGCAGTAGATTGTCGTTTGGACTCGGAGATGGGGCTGATGCGGACGTAAGCCATATCCTTCGCCATTATTTTACCATTTCTAATATTTAGGATTGGCTCGCAGATCAATTTGGCTAGACAATGTGAAACATAATAGCTGCGCAAAAACAAGTAATGGATAGGTTCGCTCTATTTTATCCATGTACATATTGCCGACAACCCAACGGGCGAATCAAAGCCTTGGTCATTCTCCCTTCGTTGATTCCACAATAATTTTCGAATCCTCATCGAATGTGACCATAAAAGTCTTCCACTTTGCCTGCCCAACTTCTGTTTTCTCTTGGCCGATGACGGAGCTCAAAAACCCGCCATGTGTAACAACGACAATATCTGGTCTTCCGCTGTCCTTTAGCTCCTTGAATTTATGCTCCAATCGACGCTGTATCCGTGCTCCACGCAGCTTCAAGCTCTCAGAATCGCTGGCGTAAAGCCCTTCCTTTGCTGGAAATATGGGATCCAAATCTAAGATTTCCCATGGGAGATCGTAAAACTCCGAACGTAAAATCGAAATCTCTGAGCCAGTATCACATGGTCTAGCGGAGTGCGCCTGTACATCTGGTTCTAACAAAAGGCACGCGCCATTTTGAACCCCGGAGCCCTGGGCGTAGTACTTCTCATCAATGGTTTGTTGGAAGCCTAGACGGGCTGTTTGAAGAGTGCGTCGGAGTGGAGATGTCACCACTAAACCAACGCTGTCCTTGAACGGAAAGTCTTGACAGAGCTTCAGGCATTGTTCAATCCCTTTTTCTGTCAATGGCGGGTCCAGAATGCTTGTATTGTGGCCGGGATTGTGGGTTCCCTCTGCATGTCGGACCAGATGTAAACGAAAAGACATTTCGGTAACGGTTGAACGGTGATTCTGTGACTGAATGGAGAGGTATAATAGAGAGATCAATGGGAAGAGACCGATGAGTATGAATCTCATGAGTATTTGCATTCTCGTCCTGAATTTAATGATCGGTTAGAGTACGGGGCTCCGAAGCTTATATCCGACCTCGGGAGCTTAATCGGACCTCCCTTCCAACTTAGGAAATATCAGCCGCAGCCCTAGAGCTAGAGTAGATCCGAGCGAGTTGGAACCGGAACTTTTCCGAATGATGGGCTTTGACGGATAAGAGAATATGTTTTACGCTGCGGGTCAGCAATCGTGATGTACTAACATTTAATGTAACAAGAAGGCACAGAAGAATGGTAAAATAGGTTATGCCCCGACTACTGCCAGAAACAGTGATGAAGAAAAGCCGGTGTCCTTCAGACAGCTTCACATCTCTCAGATAACACCTGCGTACTCTACCACGGATGATCCAAAGCATTCCAACCTCAGAAGTGACCCCGAGAGCTGTCGTAAGTGCTCTCTCCACTCCGGGGCCCTCCTAGCTGCGTGCGTAGAAATATATTATTAGGAGGAACCATTTTCCTTTCTCGTGTCTCGTTCCTTCACAAAGGCATTCTCAAAGTCAAGCCCAGAATCCTGACGTATGACACCGTACCCAGACGATGAATCCAAAGGCCGGCCGCCATGCGCATCCGAGAAGTCCTTCGCCCGAGACATATTTTCCAGTGCTACTTCGGCGACTTTTAATCTGGCACCAACATTTTGGGCGCAACTGATGCCATGCTGAACATCCTTGATACCGAGATTCAGGTTGGACCAAGGGGATTGACCTAGACGAGATGATCAGCAAAAGAAAGAAAAACTTGGATATTCTCAATTGAAGCCATATTCATACCTTCCTCTGGCAGGTAAACCCCCTGCGTCATGCGCCTAGAGCTGGAATGCATCAAACTTCCAAAATTCAGCTCAAGCAACTTTTCAAGCATGCCTGTGCCAAGATCACTTTTCTCTGCTAGCACTTGAGCTTCTCCCACGATCTCCATTGTTCCTGCCACGAGAAAATTCCTAAATGATGTCAGTGGGACAATTACAACACCGTACACAGATTGGTCACAATCTTACCCCAAAGTTTTAAGAAGCGTGGCTTTCTCGGGCTGATCCGAGACAATCATCACATCCCGAGCAATGACACCTTTTCCGAAAGGTGCAAGTTTATCAATGGCAGGGCTTGGGCCGGCCATCGCCATCAACACCGTACCACTTTCAGCAGCCGGGGTGGCTCCGAAGACCGGTGCTAGTGTAGTACATAAGAAACCGCAAATCATGATTGAAGTTGGTTTACTTACCAGCAACGAAGGATGCATTTCGGTTCTTTAGTTTTTCATCTGTCTCCTTGGTAGTATTCGGATGCACAGTGGTAGTATCCACAAACAACTTGTCGTCAATATCTTTGACAGCTAATATTTCGTCAACGATAGCATTCAAAGCCGCATCGTCACTAGTCTGTTACTCAATGTCAGTGAAAAGGGCTCATGATAGATCTGGGGGATCTGTAAAAGGTCTTCGTAAGAAATGCGAATCCATATACTCACAGATATGAATATCAGGTCACATTCCGCGACAAGCTGGGCAATAGACTCGCATCCAATAGCCCCAAGTGCTTCAAGTGGAGCGCCACGAGACGCCGTCCGATTCCGGAATCTTAATTGGGATTTTCTGTCTTGTTGAAGAAATCTGTGAACATTTTGCGCCATTGCAAGTCCCATACTTCCGAGTCCTAGGAGTAAATTAGAGATGTGAAGGCCGTTGAGATTGTTCTTCATTGCCGTACCTATCCATCCCACGACTTGTTTGTTTGACGCCATTTTTTATTAGTCTGTTTATAGCTTGTGTGTGTTGGTGCTGTTTGATATGTGCAATTTATTACTTAACGTGTTCCAAGGCGAAAACATCAGCAGGTATACGTGAGATCTCGGATGTGACCCGAGGGATGACTCACCAATAATATGCCCCCGGGAGGGGCCCCGAACACTCTGTACGTGGTAGCTCCCCGGACCAAAACATCCCCAGATGCGGTAGAATGAAACTCATCTACAAGGCGCAAGGTGCGAGGTATGAGGAGAGATATATTATTCTAAGACTAGATAAGAGAACTTTTCCTAATGATTAAGATCAAACATGACTACGGAAACCCACAGTAGTCAACTATCACAACTCATTTTACCGCAAACCTTCTACATCGTCGTGTTCTTCACAGGATGCAGTAGCATAGGTGGTAAGCAGATTGATCGATTAGCTCTCTTCCACTGCCAGTGGTCAGCACTGATTTCCGCAAAAGAAGCTCAATCTTACCTCCTCTACATTGCCATCCCCCAACCAGGCTCGGTAGAGCCTCCCAGAATATTCCGAATCGAACATGTAGGTCATATTTTTCAGAATATCGTGATGCATATTCCATGTCCAGATACTGTCACTCCGAACACTGATAGCCCCGGGCTCACCGGAATTCGCACGGCGGTTCAGTTCCTCAAGGTCCCATTCCTGTGCATGGTATACGGGCTGGGGAATCTGAACTGACTTCAGGCCATAGTACAAAGCCCAGGAGGTTGGAGACATCTCTGAACCTAGAGCTAGGCCGTTGTCAACAAGATCGGTGTGCATCAAACGGAGCACGCGCGCTAAAAGTCGAGACATGGCAACGGGGGAAGCCCGGCGTGGAGTGCTTTGTCCTTCGATGAACTCGTAGATCACATCGCGCATCGGCCAGCCCGTGCTCGCCGGGTTGAACTGTGGAAGCCAGGTAATCACGTCTGGTTCCTCTCCAACGCCCCATCTCGATCTGTCTATCTCCGCTGTCGGTGTGGGTGCTGGGAACGGTGCCTCCTTTGAAACATTTAGACCCTTGGCTAGCACTGGACCCCAGACAGTTGGACGATCCACCATACTTTGATCTACCATCTTGTTGAACTCATCCCAGGTACCATGGACCTTGGGGATGTAGAAGTAAGAGTTACGCTCCCAGAGGTGTTTCCGGGGTTGTTGTTTCGCGAATGCCGTCGCTTGTTCTAGTAGATGATATAAATGTCCAGTGTACCTGGCATCCATCTCAAATTGCCAAATAAAGTCGTATTGTTGATAAAGCAGCGAGAAGATTTGCACCGGTTGGAAGTATTGATACATTGCCCTGTTCAATGGTGAGCATAGCCGTTAATATGATCACATGGTAAAACGTACTCGTGGACGTCGATGGTCGGATACCAGTCCTCCAGAAGCTTGGTGTTGAAAAATACTGCAAGCCCTCGAAGTTCTTTTGGGAGGTACTCCTCTTTGAAACTATCCATAGCAACATTGTCCATCGGTTCAGGTAATATCTCGTCCTTCGCATCGATTAGAAGAATCACCTCATACTCTGCACCTGAAAGAAGAGAGTGTTCCATGACCATAGCACGGATGTTGTGGATGTCATTCGTTGTGTACTTCATGTCAATGGTTGAGCGTAGAATAACAGCTTTTCTGAGATGAAATTGAGGTAGACGACTCTTCCGATGACGATGTTTCTTGTGCCTGTATTCCACTTGTTGGGTCTGCTGTTTGTGTAATGTGGATTTCTTCGGCTCGGGATTCGACTTGTTGTATCTTTCGCGGTTACTTCCAAGGCAGGCCCGTTGCAACTCGGCCCAATTGACGCCTTCCCAGTTCCTTGAGATTCGAGATGCGACACCATCCCGTGTTTTCACTTCATAGCCATATGTACCATAACGGGACGATAGATCAACACAAAGATCTCTATCGAGATGCCACGCCTCGTACGAACCGAAGATTGGTGTTGGGAATTCTGAGTTTAGTTAATCAAGTTGGAGCTCCAAGTGCTTCGTGACGATCTTGCTCAAGTCACAAACCTGACTGCTTCCAACGATATCCTTTCATGGCCATGTCTTCGTTCTTAGGATCCAAGAGCGCTCCATCGGGGCCAACACACTGTTGGTAGGATCCTCTCCACTTTCTCTTCCACGCAGCACTGTTGTAGTCAGGGTATGGATTATATGGGATAGGTCGTGATGTGGAATCATGGCCGTCTTTCCAAAGGCGCAGCGGGAGGATGTGCTCATTGATCTGTGGACGAAGCAGAATCACCACAAACACAAAAGATGCAACAAGGACCATGCTGAGCTTCTGGAGCGCTAGGTCAGTACCTTTGAACAACATGGCGAGTCCCCAAAACGACCGACAAGAGTGTCTATGGATGTACGTAATTTCCAAATTGGATTTACGCGTGTTCACGTGGATGCACGTAACGCTGTTGATAATATGGGGAAGGTGCACACCGACGTCAAAGATAATCTATTCATAACCTATGGACAGAACACATGTTGCAATGAGTAGCCAATTTCCTACAATAGACAATAGCTTACTCGATTGAACTACACAGGGTCTCAAGATGGCAAGGACAAAAGTTATACATATAACTGGGGTCTTATCCCATAAATAGCATTAAAACTTCACAAATTTTTGAGGTGCCTATACAGGGGACATATCCAAACCGCAACGCCCGGCAAAAGCACTATCTAACATGCACAAATGACCAGAGCTTTACTTCTTCTCGGCCTTCTCGCCCTTCTCAAGCTTGCGTCTCTTGGAGCGGAGCTTGGCGGACTCATCAGCGGTCTTCTTGTTGGAGTACATCATCTTCTCAAGCAGCTTGCGCTTCTTCCGGCTCATCATCATCTTCTGTCTCTCGAGCTCCTCGTCCTCGCTGCGCTTCTTAGCGGCAACCTTCTTGGACTTGGAGGACTTCTTCTTGGCAGCTTCATCAGCGGCGGCGTTAGCAGTGAAAGGCAGACCAGCGGCTTCGGCCTCGAGCTCCTTCTGGTGCTGAGTGCGGGCAGCCTCGTCGTCATCTTCGGACTCGGATGCGGCTTCCTCGTCAAAGCCACCGAAGTCTTCGTCTTCCTCCTCGGACTCCTCGCTCTCGTCGTCGTCGGTGCCGGCGACATCCATGCCTCCGTCGACGGACTCCTCATCGGACTCCTCAGCAGTAGCAGGCGTGGCGTCAGCAGCAGGCTCGTCCTCCATCTCCTCGTCGCTATCAGAGGCCTCGGCGGCAATCTCGGCCTCATCCTCCTCCTCTTGATCGGCGAGACTGGCGCGGGGGTCGTAAGCGCCACGAGAAGCCTTGACCCAAGGGCTCAAGTGAGGTGGGAGAGTGGCACCGGGTGCGTAGAGATCAGCTCGGAGGAGCTTGCCCTCGTTAATGCAGTCCCAGACCCACTGGGGCTGGACGTAGGTACGGCCAGGGATGCGGGATCCAGGCTGGACCTTCTGAACGGCGTTCTCATCGGCAGCGGGAATGGCGGGAAGAGACTCCTGGGGAAGTTGGGGACGATCGACAATTTGGTGAGTGATGCGGGGGTCGCTCTCGTCGTGAGTGAAGGCTCCATCGCCCAGAACGGAGGCCCATCCAACGCGCTTGCAGCCGAATGAGCGCAAGATGAACTCGAGGGGAGCCTTGGGGGCTTCACGGGAAATGTAGAACACGAAGGGGGCGAAGAGTGCGCCGGCCTCGTTGCCGCTCATCGCGGGCTGGGGGAGGGTGTCGGCTTCGGGGGCAGCGGGCTCGAAACGGTCGATGGCATCGGTTGCCTCGTCGGTAGTGTCGACCATCTCCTCATCCGTGCTCTGTTCCAAACCGGCCTTCTTAATCACCTTATCAACCTTGGCTTGAAGTTCCTTGGAAACCTCCTTGTTGGAGTTGCCGTTGCTCTGAGCCTTGCTAGCCTCAAGAGCCTTGGGCACCTCACCCACTGAACGGCCCTCGAGAGTGAAAGCGGCCAACTCGGCACCATTCTCATCACTGCGGGTATCAAACTTAGGGGGGTATCTCAATCCAATTGAGGAGTACAGGCGGAAGTTGACGAAGCCCAACAGGGTGGTGTAAAACTCGACAAAGGTAGCCATGATACGGTAATCGACGTCGCCATTGACACGCTGGACGAAACGGTATGGCACAAGCCACATAATGTCTTGGCCCTGGATCGTAGCCTGGTAGTAGATACCCTTAATGGAAAGGAAGGATCTGCGCAGAGAATTTGTCATGATCAGGTAGTGCTGGAACTCGTGGCAAAGACGCTGGCAGAGCGCAACGGTCTTAGAAGGAACATGGTCGGTAGAGGGAAGGGTAGCGAAGAGGAAGAGAAGAGACAGAGCGTCGTCAAGATCACGGAGGGCATCGATAAAGGTCGGGTAGCGCTCTTTGATGACATGGTCCAAGGTGAGTCTCGGGGCGTTGTTCTTTTCTAAACGGGAGGCATCGCTGACTTCTCCACGGCCGAGAGAGCGAGCGATCTTCTTCGCAAGTGACTTCTGATCACGGAACTTGTTGAGCAGGGGCTCGTGTAGCAGATATTGGATATCCTTGGTGTAATAGAAGGTGGTGTTGGGCGTAGACGTCTTAGAGGCCTTCTTCTTACTACGGGGCTCGCGAGGGTAGATACCTGATATCGGAGATCATGTTAGTCTTGCGATTCAGATGGAATACTCATAGAAGAGGTAATTACCCTTGAAGATGCATAGTCGGCGGAAATCCGGCAAAGAGATCTGAAGTTTGCGCACGGCCTGAGTTCTGGTAATGTAGTTCTTGGCTGCGCCAGAGGTACCTGAAAGGACTGTCAGTAAATTCAATTGAAATTCCCGGTTGATTTCAACATACCCTTCTTCTTAATTTTGCCCATGATGAAAAGTGGTTGTCAAAATATCCAAACGGCTGCTGATAAGAAGAAGAAAATTTCTCGATAACTTTTTTTTCTTACCGCAACAAAAAGTGGTCCGTGCCCGAAGGCGGAGAGAGAGCCCTGGATCCATAGGGACCAGCTGGAATCAACAACTAAAACATCACCCCGTCATGGCTGTAGACCGACGGAAGATTGCTGTGTTCGGCGCGGCTTTTGTGCTGCGTCTGCTTCTGACATGTCTTTTTCCTTCATTACCTGATTTGTTAACGGGGAGAGTCGAAGTCTCAACACCCGTCAATAGCTTCAAACGCCGTACGTGTCTCCGACAATTGACTCCGCATTCTGTAAACTAATTGTGTGTAGTGCAGGAAGGTCTATTCTTGTACACACGAAATGTGTCGCCTTATGATGGAGGCGTCTTTCACCAGGTTCGTGGATCTAGATCCCTCCGGCTCGGTTCCTTGTATTGACAATTCCATCCAATAATCCAGGCGCCGCTTCTTTTACCACTGTTCGCACTTCTCCCGGATGTGAAGAGCTCGCCATTACCAACAGCAATTTTCTACTTCATTGTCGACCTTTTGAACGCGCACGCATTGGTAACCATCTCTGCGTCGGGCCAATCGGTTAAATCGAGACTACACTCAGCGGTTCGAAAACATGTCCGATGGGATGGAGTGTCCGTTGCAGCATGGTATGTATATTCTGGTCTGTCCGATCATAAATATTCATATACTTACCGCGGAATAGGTTTTTGTTCAATCCTCTCACAATTGCGACATGTTTAGCGCGATCAACCAGCGTATTTACGACATCGGGAATCCTCTTCGCGGTCTCCAATGCAGTCGGTGGAAATAGCATCAATGCAATGCTAGCCCTGGGATTTGCTTCGTACCTGTCTCTATACCCGGCACTGCTATTTATCCCATTGGTCCTGCTATGCTATGACCGACGCTTGGAGGGACCAAGCCCACCCAATATTGGATCTTTCATCGTTCAACACGCTACCTTACTACTAGCCAGTGTGGCAGGCCTGCTTGGTCTCTCCTCTCTGATCACCGGGACCTTCTGGGAGTTCATCTCGGCAACATATGGTTTCCATCTGTTGGTTCCAGACTTGACTCCCAACGTGGGGCTCTGGTGGTACTTTTTCATCGAAATGTTCGACTCATTTCGAGAGTTCTTCCTCGGCGTTTTCTGGCTCCACTTGGCCAGCTATGTCGGGGGTCTCACGGCTCGCTTCCGTAGCCAACCTCTATTCGTCATTACCTCGCTCTTGGGTGTCTTCGCCATCTTCAAGCCATACCCTAGCATCTCAGATGCGTCGCTGTTCTTCGCGCTGCTGCCATTATATCGCCACCTATTCCCATGTGAGTATTTCCAAACACTGACTATATCTCGAAATCACCCTGACTAACTTGGCACAGTGATGCGTTATACCTTTTTTGCGGGCTCGGCAATCTTGTACTCCAGTCTCCTCGGTCCGGCTTTCTACCACCTTTGGATCTACGCAGGATCCGGAAATGCCAATTTCTTCTACGCCATCACCCTGGTCTGGAGTTTGGGTCTCTCTATCCTGTTATCCGACACGGTCTTTGCCGCTCTCAGAGACGAGTGGGAGCAAGAACGCCCAGATCAGGTGGGCACAGAGGTGCGACAGGTGTAATGTATATTATTTTTTGCACATCAATATTCTCATATGAACTATTAGCATTCAAATTCTTAACAAATAGATATTCAGCTATTATCATTTCAACATCTTCGACAAGATCAAGTAGTCCACGTCCTTAACAGTCCCATTGCGCAACATGCGCGGTTGGGGCGAATACTCATCAACCTCATACCCAAGCCGATCATAGAACCGCCGAGCAATCTCATTCGACTTGAAAACCGTCAACATGGACTTCTCCAAGCCGACAGCACGACCGATTCCCTCCATCTGACTCATAAGTAAATTCCCAACACCCCGTCCCCGGGCCTTCGGTGACAAGTGAATCTCGTAGCAGTAAACAACCTCCTTTCCATCCTCATAGGTAACCATAAATGAGAGGAAACCCAGCACATTCAGAGAAGCAGCACCAGACGATGAAATGGACTCGTCACTTTCCTTCGAAGGTGGAGACGGAGCATTTTTGTCGGCGATATCAATCTGCTTCTCTCCCGGAACTTGCCCATTAGAATCACTAGAATCCGGTGTGTCCCGCAGAATCAAATACTTCATGTCGGGCAACTTCATCTCCTTTCGCTTCTTGGTGCGCGACCAGCCTGCGGGCGACGCCATGTAGGCTTCACTTGAGGTTTGCTCGATTAGCTCCAGACATGCTTCCAGATCAGCCGCGGAGATTGTTGCCGCTGAGTAGACGTCCACGCGTGGTGTGGGGGTCATATCATGTTGTTGCTGATTTTGGGATGGAAGTGGTTGATCAATCGCATCAATTTTTGCTGATTCTCCTGATTGCGTGGGTGGAGTCACGTATTGAGCGATGAAGTCGCCAATAGATAATGCGTTGGTCTGTTCGACTAGTGGGACTAAGTGATTATTAGCACGCGTCGTTAATTGAATATGGTCAAATCGAGCGAATCAATAAAACAAGCTTTGGGGCTGAACTAGCTTGCGAAAGTGGAATTTACTCACTTTTGTTGGAGACGCGTCGCATTGTGGTTCGCGGTATTTTGGCTTTTAATTTTGTCACCCGGCCTTCTTTGACGGATGGCATGGCTAGATCAAAGATTTCTGAAAGGATGTTTGATATATCGGAATTCGACTAAGTGCAGCTCGAATGTAAGGATCTGGGGTTAATAGCTGAAGAATGTTGTGGGCGAGGGGCGGCGACCCCGGACTTTTGACCGCGGGAAGTATACGTCCTCTGGCAGTGTTCACACTTCTCTAATATCAAAATCTCTTCTTTTCTTTCTATCTTTATCCTCCTTCTGAACTCAGAAACAATCCTCTTCTTTCGCGTCTTTGATTACCAGATCTTCTTCTTCCCCGAGCTCTTATCTCGTTCAACCACACCACCATGTCGCCCTCCCGACTGAGTTCAACCTCCTGGATCCAACTGCAGCAGGCCTAACATGAAAATTAAGCTCTCAAAATATCAATGTCAAAACGACCAACCACCTGCTTCTTGGCGGACATGTGCCGAGACTAATCAGTGGCAGTCGAGTTACCGCGGTACACATTTCTTCTATGGTCTTACAAATATATATATGGAATCTTCACGGATGATTTCTTTCATCACGTAGTTAAAGTTCACATTCTAAGCTTTAATTCGATAAAGTATCCTGAAAGCCCTATGATTTGACAAAATCAAGCAACGATTTCCCTAGATAGGTAACAGGTTTCCCTTAGACTTCTTAATAATCCTTCCGTCACCACCCGGGTGGATCTGTCGCCCAAAGGAGGCATTCGTCAAATACGTCAGAGGTCTCAATATATAACCACCAACCCCACCATAATCAGTTTGTCCTTGTACATTGTTTTGAGAATAGTCATTTATCTTATATACAGCATATTAAAATGTCTCCCTCCACTATGAAGCAATGGGTCGTTGAAGATAAGGAGCACGACTTCAACGGGCTTGTTTACAAGGACGCTGCTGTTCCGAAAGTCGGCGAAAATGAAGTATTAGTGAAGCTCCACGCTGCATCGCTAAACTATCGCGACCTGACTATCCCCAAGGTATGATCTTGCAAGAGAAAAGCTGATATTGGCAAGCCTTATCGGACTGTCTGCGCAAACAATTAGCTATAACCGACCCCTAACTCTCCTATAGGGCCTCTATCCATTTGCTCTCAGTCTTCCCGTAGTGCCAGGTTCTGATGGTGCTGGCGAAGTTGTTGAAGTGGGATCCAAGGTCATTGAATTCAAGAAGGGCGACCAAGTTGCGACTCTCTTCAATCAGGGCCACCAATACGGCGAGATTGACACATATGCAGCGGGTACTGGCCTAGGTGGTGTCATCGACGGTACCCTCCGCGAATATGGCGTATTCAATGAACAAGGTCTTGTCAAGGCACCGACAAACCTCGATGCCCGCGAAGCTAGCACCCTACCGTGCGCAGCTCTCACCAGCTGGAATGCACTATATGGTCTGAAGCCTTTGAAGCCCGGCCAGATCGTTCTCGTGCAAGGAACTGGCGGTGTCAGTATCTTTGGCTTACAGGTTAGGATTGATTTCATTCAGACTCCATCATAATAGACTCGGCTAACACTGTTTGTGGCATAGTTCGCCAAAGCTGCTGGTGCGACAGTTATCGCGACAACCTCTTCTGCAGAGAAGGCCGAGAAGCTTAAGCAGCTCGGCGCTGATCATGTTATCAATTATAAGACGGAGCCCAACTGGGGCGAAGCTGCTCGCAAGCTGACTCCTGACGGAGCTGGCGTGGACCACGTCATCGAAGTGGGTGGTAGCGGAACGCTCCAGCAGAGCTTCAAGTGCATCAAGTTCGAGGGTATCATCAGTGTTATTGGGTTCCTTGGAGGCGTGGACCCGAAGACACAGCCGACTGTTCTAGAGACATTGAGCCACATCTGCACTGTGCGTGGCGTTTATGTTGGTAGCAAAGCTCTCATGAGGGATATGATTCGAGCTATCGAGGCCAATGATATCCATCCTGTGGTGGATAAGAAGGTGTTCAGCCTTGACCAGACACGGGAAGCCTATGATTATATGGTAAGTTGTTTTTCGTCAGTAAGAAGGGGTTGCATGCTAACAAGTTGGAATCCAGTGGGCCCAGAAGCACTTTGGAAAGTTGACTATCAAGATCAACTAGGAAGTGGGATGGAAACAGGCTATGAAGCAGCGTTAGTGTGACATGAGTGTTGCTGGTATATGTTTGGAGCACCTTCCAAGGTTGGGAATCGCAGGATAAAAGGAACTGCAACCTAGTACTAGTATCCCCAACAGCAGGTGGCCTAGTGGTAACATGACAATGTGTACCACGAGGGAAGTGCCGAAGATCTTCCACTACCTAGACTGTTCCGGTTCGACTCCGGTCGTTCTCGCGTATATCTATCCCCCTTTTTTTTTCTGTCTCTCTCATCCTGTTTATAAAGCTCCCAATAAACAAAGATTTAAGGTTTGATAGTGGAGACCTGCCATGCTCGAAACTGTCCCCGATTCTACATATGTGAGCATCTTTCTGAAGTACCTTGTCAAATTTCATATATTAGAACTGGTCATTCAAAAAATAGTGTGTTGATATTTGTGTTGGGGTGAGGCTCATTCTGGTTGGTAGACAGGGCAACAGCCCAGGTGGTAGCTTCCCCGCCACCTCTCCTGCAGGAGTTAAAACCAACCACCTGCAAGCTTCCTTCTTTCTGTTACACCTGAGTATACACGTTTTCTATAGTCTCCTTCGAGATATCTCATAAATAAACATTTTTTTGTTACATTTTTTAAATTTCCATTGCTGGGCCGGGCACCTGATCCAACACCCTACCTTTCTTCAATGCAGGTTAACAATAGAGATATCTCAACCCTCCCAATCCAGGGCCCCGGCCAAAGTGCTCGACAACCACAGGCACCGTTTGTTCAACCAGCTCAAATGGCCATGTTTGCACGGGTAACATCCTATCCCCCACTGGGACAACTCACTTGTCTCCAACCAGCGCTGGAGATATTACGGTCTGAAGAAGATGCGGTGAGTCTCCCAAATATGATGATATCTAATATCGCCAGTTTTATACAATTATTGAGGCTATGATGCAAAGACATACTGACGTCATTAACAGCTGCGTTTTACGGTCACGATCGAGTCCAGCAGCTCATTCCCCGCACAATCATGGGAAGCGCAGATCTGGCATAACATCACTAGCCCGGAATGGGGATCCCTGCCATTGAAGAGATGCGACATGGGTTTTGCAGCCCTGATGACGGGAAATGATAGCGACTACCACTACCATCGCTATGTATTCTCAGAAGAGATATCCCTGCCAGCCGCAGGAGGTCATGCACAGTTCACTGTCCGGTTTCGAACTGGCCCAGACACAGAATGGCAGTGGGCTAATCAAACACACCCCGTGAGCGATGGTGAGATTATATATAGCGCACGCCACTCTGATTTTGAAAAGGCTGTGTCCACGGATGTCGCTGGAAGAGCTCCCAAAAAACAACTGGAGAAGTATATCGATAACCTTCAAGATGACTTGCAGATTGAGTCACGGCTTAGTGAAGCTCCTGGATCAGTCCTCTGGGCTCTTTCTGGTGATATAGATGGTGCTCGGAATGGATCTTCAACTATCAAACGACTTGCACTTGGCACCCCTTCGTCAGTGGTGAGGTATTTCTCACTAGTACGTGTTTCAAGTGCATGGTTAGGTCCTAGACATGGCAAAAATAACTTCCGGATCACCGAAGATGCAATGTTGTGCTCTTTTCTGCGCGAAGATGGCGTGAATCTTGTTCTATTAGCTGTTTCGGGAGTCAACGATGTTTTGACTATGTTCCAATCAGGTGCGAAGGGTGAAGTTGTGATCTCCGCAAAGAGTGACGATTCAGAAGCATCGAAGTTCCATGTGCTTGTCAGCGCTGCAGAGAATTTTGAAGTTGCTATGTCTGCATTGATTTATGAGGCACGGAAAGTGGTCAGGCCATTTGCTGATGGAAGTCATCTTGATTTGGAAGACTCAGTCCCGTTATCTCCCCCCGGTGATGATATGGTTCTTGTCGAGAAAGACCCAAGCGCACAGTGGCTTTCCGAGTGGTTTGACGGCCTCGCATATTGCACTTGGAATGGACTGGGACAGGACCTCACCGAAGAGAAGATCTTGCATGCCTTGGACTCATTGAAGGCCAATGGAATCAACATCGTCAATCTTATTATCGATGATGGCTGGCAGGCAAACGACAACGAAGGGGAATCTCAATTCAAGCAAGGCTGGAAGCATTTTGAGGCACATTCGAAAGGATTTCCCAAAGGTTTAAAGCATACCGTGGGAGCCATTCATCGAGCACATCCCAATATTGAACATATTGCGGTCTGGCATGCCTTACTTGGTTACTGGGGAGGCATTTCACCAGATGGGGATCTGGCCCAAAGGTTCAAAACAAAGCAAGTGAGGATCAAAGATCCCGCCGCCAATGGTCCTATTGTGGAGAACCTTCCAGACGGAACAATCCTCGCTATTGATCCCGATGATATTAAGCGATTCTACGACGAGTTCTATAGCTACCTTACATCTGTTGGCATAGACTCGGTCAAGACGGATGCACAATTCTTCCTCGATCTGCTTGAGGACCCAGCAGACCGCCGGAAATTCATGACTTCTTATCAAGATGCATGGTCTATCGCATCACTTCAGCACTTCAGCACTCGGTCAATCTCATGCGGGTCAATGATCCCTCAAATAATCTTCCATTCACAAATTCCCACCAACAAACCGACACTTCCATTGCGAAACTCCGACGACTTCTTCCCGAATGTTGTTGCCTCTCATCCGTGGCATGTGTTTTGCAATGCGCATAATGCACTACTCACCCGCTATTTGAACGTATTGCCAGACTGGGATATGTTCCAGACAAGTCATCCATACGCCTCATTCCACGCCGCAGCACGCTGTGTATCTGGAGGACCAATCTATATCACCGATGAGCCGGGCAAACATGACTTGACCCTGCTCGATCAGATGACTGCACCTACCGTCAAAGGAACCACGGTAATCTTGCGTCCCAGTGTCATCGGACGCACGATAGACATGTACCACGACTACAGCGAAGGACATGTTCTGCGCGTTGGAAGTTACACCGGCTGGGCCAAGACCGGAAGTGGAATCTTGGGTCTTTTCAATATTCAATCTGCCGAGGCCTCTAGCATAGTCTCATTGATGGATTTCTCAGGAATCCACGAGGATTCCGAAGGCCAGTATATCGTGCGCGCACACAGCAGCGGTAAGATCTCGCATCGCATGTCTCCAACTCGGGACTCTTTGGTATCAGTTGTTCTGGAGCCAAAGGGTTGGGAGATTCTCACTGCGTACCCGACTCGGTCGTTTACGCTGAAGGGGAGCCATGGTGATAATGTTAGCCGGACACATGTGGCTGTGCTGGGCCTTTTGGGAAAGATGACTGGGGCAGCGGCTGTAGTGACTTCGGATATATCTGTTGTTGAGAATGGCCGTTTACGAGTCGATATCAGCTTAAAAGCGCTGGGCACTCTAGGGATCTATTTCTCAGATCTTCAAAACAAGACCATTGCGAAGAATTTCATGGTAACTATTCTGGGGTTGCCAATTCCGCAGAATACAGTGTGGAAGCAGGGTGGGGAGAATGCCCATGTGCTGGCAATTGATGTATTGGCGGCATGGAAATCCATGAAGTTGGACAGTGGATGGAGTAACGAGGCTTTTGTGCAGGTTTTTGTGAGTTAAGGCGACACATCAAGCCAGTCTCGTTTGGACTTTATCATCATGTTTTATTCACAGAGATAGTATCAATCCAAAACAGCATCTTTTCTTTACAATTGACCCCAAGTCGATAGCTTTATACTTCTCTGGCCCTAAGCCCTTAATATAATCCTGCTTGGGAAATCGATTGACATGTCAGAGATAAGGACCGCATCATTAATGTTCCGGACTTATCGAAAGAATCTCGGACATCTGGAGCTAGCCCTGGAGGTATTGACTGTGTCCGGACTTGAGCCCATTGCGACCCATTTCCTTAATATTCACATTCTTAAACCGGTCCAATGCGGCCACAGTCGGCATCGCTCGGCCAAGCGCCATACCGCAGCCTTCTCGCCCCCCGTCGGATCCCGTGTGGAGCGCGCAGCTTTGCCGCAACAACAGCAATTCCGCTGCGCGGTGACAGCAATCGGCCAGTATTGTCCGCCTCGCAGTCTGGCACATGCTTCCAACAGCAGAGATGGATTACACAAAAGTACATTCAGCGCATGAAAGATGGGGAGAAGGAGTGGGCTGGGTTCGCGAAAGAAATCAAGGCCGGGAACAGGAAGAACTTCGCGCAACACTTGGAGGAGCGAGGGTTGATTCATGATGTTGTTGGGTATGTTACACCGAGATATACTGAATTTGATGGCATTGGCTGTGGGGAAGGGTTCGAATGGCTCGCTGATTGTTTCCTTTGGATAACAGTGAACGAGACTTGTTGCATAAGGTCTTAACGGAGAAGCGGGCTGGAATATATGTCGGAATCGACCCGACTGCCCCCTCAATGCACGTTGGACACATGCTTCCTTTCATGGTTCTGGCCTGGGGATACGTCTGGGGCTTACCTGTCACATTCCTAGTAAGTTGCCTGCAACTTCACACCCCATTGAATGCCTCAGCTAACACTGTATAGCTCGGCGGTGCTACTTCTAGAGTCGGCGATCCCAGCGGGCGCCTCAAGGGCCGAGACGCTGTTCATTCCTCAATCCGAAAAGCAAATATGGCTAGCATGCATATGCAGTTGAAGAAGTTGGGCTCCAGCATTGAGCAGTACGGCAGGAGACACGGACACGAGAAAAACCCGATGTGGAAGCGGGCGTTGACAAACAACAACACTTGGTGGAACTCGATGCCTTTCCTTGAAGTCTTGCGAGACCTTGGCGCTTTCATGCGACTTGGCCCCATGCTCGGTAGAGACACGTGAGTTTTGGTATTTCCGACGGCGCTGTTGTCACGGGTTTACTGACATTTTTCTACTAGTGTCAAGACACGATTGAACCAAGGAGATGGCATGTCATTTGCTGAGTTTTCCTACCCTATCCTCCAGGCCTGGGATTGGTGGACACTGTTCCAAAAGGGCACTCAAATCCAAGTCGGAGGTGCCGACCAATACGGAAATATCTTGTTCGGCATGGAGGCTGTCAAGTCTATCAGCCGAAACACTGCCGACGAACAAATCCGCAACCCATTAGAATCAGAACTCGATCGGCCGATCGGTTTCACCACGCCGCTACTGACAACCGCGTCCGGGGAGAAGCTTGGAAAGTCTGCCGGAAACGCTGTTTGGCTTGACAAGGACCTGACTTCTACATTCGAGCTTTACCAGTACTTCGTGCGCACGCCTGACGATGTTGTCGAGCAGTACCTCAAGCTGTTCACTTTCATCCCCTTGCCTGAAATCGCCACCATCATGAAAGAGCAGAACAAGGATCCATCTAAGCGCGTTGCGCAGCACAAGCTCGCCCTTGAGTTTGTCGAGCTTGTCCATGGCAAGGCCGAAGCTGATGCCGTGGCTCTCCAACACCGCCAGCTTTTCCGTCCCCGATCCTCAACTGCAGAGCCCACTCCTCTTCTCAAGTCATCCCCTCCTCAAGCTGGTCACCCACAATCTCCCACTGCTGGCTTCCAGACTCCTCAATCTGGGAATCCGTATGCTCCTCAAACAAACTGGGCCAACATGGGCGATATCAAGGTCACCCTGCCCGAATCTCTGGTTTTCAACCAGCCATTCAACAAGATTCTGTGGTCAGCCGGCCTTGTTTCATCCAAGAGCGAGGGCCACCGAGTCATCGTTAACAACGGTGCCAAAGTTGGAAGCCGTCCTGGTGACAGTGGGCCCATGTCGGACCAATTGTCTTTCACCCCCATCCGGCCGTGGGACGCAGAGAAAACAAAGGAATTTGTCTTAAATGGCAATCTCCTCATGCTCAAGCTGGGCAAGTGGAAGCTCAAGGCTGTTCACATTGTGACCGACGAAGAATACCGCGCGCAAGGGCTCACAGCTCCTGGATGGGAGACCGAGGAGATTGAACCCACTGAGCCGACAGAGCCGACCAAGTCGGATTAAGGCGAATCTCAACTAGATCTGTAATTCTACAATATCCAATCTGTACAATAGTATAAATATTATATCCTCGCCCTTCAAAACAAATAAAATAAAGTACAGAGTAATAATAGTGATGAAAGACAATGTCGCGGGTGTCGATCAAATGGACAGATCGAGTCTCGGAGAAAGTGCTTTACGCGTCGACGCGATCCGCGCCTTATCTCCTCCCCGTCTCCAGTTCCCTCACAACTCCCCCTAATTACCATGTTGATGTCGAGTTGAGAGTGTATTGCCATTTAGTCTCAATTGCTTATATTCTATAAAAAAATATGGCCAAACCATCGGCCTCATCTCCGTCCGCCGCGTCGCCATCCCCTGCGCTCAAGCGCGCAACTCCCAACACCCAGAATATGCGAAACCAGAAGTCGATTCTTGGTTTCTTCCAAAAGTCCTCACCAGCGACTCCCTCGAATAATCGAACGCGAGAACCGGCATCGTCCCCCGCGCAGAGAGCATCCGAGAAGCGTAGTGAGAGTGCTGTCAAGCCCACACCCAAGGAACAAAAGCGAAGCTTCTCAAGCTTTGCGCAGGATTTGAGTCCTGTACCAAGCAGCGATCTCCCCGTACCGGAGGAGGAACAGGAAAATGGTAGTGCTTTAAAGGTATTTTGATCTGGAGTCTACTGTTTGTTTGCTTCTTCACTCTGACTGAATCCTTCTCTCCTTAGACCACCAAAGAGGCACAACAGGACTCCACCATGTCGCCTTCGCGTCGGGTACGTGTCCTATATTATTACTTAATTGGTCTATCCTGCTGACTTATTTGACTAGGGAAAAAATAAGGTCAGCTACAAGGAGTCTGACTCCGAGGGCGAGGACGACGACGAGGTTATCTTCCGTCCTAACCGCAAGGACCGTGTCTCCGGTCGTGCGACCAAGAGAAGACGAACTGAGCCCGAAAGCGAAGATGAATTCAATGAGGCAGGAGATGGAGGATACTCGGACGATGGTATGGTGTTCTGTTGCTGGTTGGTTTTGCGGGCGCACGACTAACCCGAATATAGAAATGGATGATTTCGTCGTCGCAGATGACTCGGATGAAGAGATAGCCGCATCTTCCAACAAGCGGAAACGACCCTCCACACAATCGGCACGCAAGCCCACTAAATCTTCCTCCGTTCCTGCCCCTCCCCCACCCGTCGATGACATCGACCTTGATCTCCCAGAGGGAGAAGGCTCAGCTGGAACCGCGAAGAAATGGGCGTTTGATCCGGAGAATACAGAACCTCGGAAAGAAAGAGCTGCTGTGGCGTCTAGCAAGACAGCATCCAGCGCGAGAAAAGAAAAGGCCTACACCAAGGAGCCTGAGCAGCGCTACCCATGGCTGGCTAATCTCAAGGACATCGACGGCAACCCTAAGGGCCATCCTGACTATGATCCCCGAACTGTCTACATCCCTCCGCTCGCGTGGTCCAAATTCTCGCCTTTCGAGAAACAATACTGGGAGATCAAGCAGAAATTCTGGGATACAGTCGTTTTCTTCAAGAAGGGCAAGTTCTATGAGCTCTACGAGAACGATGCCACTATTGGTCACCAACTTTTTGATCTCAAGCTCACGGACAGGGTGAATATGCGCATGGTCGGTGTTCCCGAGATGAGTTTGGATCACTGGGCAAACCAATTCGTGGCCAAGGGCTTCAAGATTGCCCGTGTGGACCAGTCCGAATCCGCGCTGGGTAAAGAGATGCGTGAGAGAGAGGGAAAGAAGCCCACAAAAGAAGACAAGATCATCAAGCGAGAGCTCGCATGTGTTCTTACTGCGGGTACACTGGTTGAGGGTTCCATGCTCCAAGATGATATGTCCACATACTGTGTTGCAATCAAGGAAGCGATCGTGGACGATCATCCCGCGTTCGGTATCGCATTTGTCGATACTGCTACTGGTCAATTCTTCTTGTCTGAGTTCGTGGACGACGTTGACATGACCAAATTCGAGACTTTTGTCGCGCAGACCCGTCCTCGCGAATTGCTGCTAGAGAAATCTTGTGTTTCGCAGAAAGCCATGCGCATTCTCAAAAATAACACTGGGCCCACCACTATTTGGAATCTCATGAAGCCTGGTAAGGAGTTCTGGGAATCTGATATCACAATTCGGGAGCTGGAGGCAAGCGAGTATTTCGTCTCCGTGGACGATGATAATCTCACAGCCTGGCCTGAGACCCTGCGTCAAGCCCGCGAGAAGGAGCTACTGATGTGTGCATTCGGTGCTCTGGTTCAATACCTGCGAATGCTGAAGATTGAGCGGGACTTGATCACCATCGGCAACTTCACGTGGTACGATCCTATCAAGAAGGCTACGAGTCTTGTACTAGATGGCCAGACCCTGATCAACATGGAGATCTTCGCCAATTCCTTCGATGGAGGGTCTGAGGGCACTCTCTTCCAGTTGCTCAACCGATGCATCACCCCCTTCGGCAAGCGCATGTTCAAGCAGTGGGTATGCCACCCATTAATTGATTCGAAGAAAATCAACGCAAGATTGGATGCAGTTGATTCACTCAATGCCGATCCCAGTGCTCGGGACCAGTTTTCTTCCCAGTTGACAAAGATGCCGGATCTCGAACGACTGATCTCTCGTATCCACGCTGGTATCTGCAAGGCTCAAGACTTTGTACGTGTTCTGGAAGGATTTGAACAGATCGATTACATCATGGGTCTGCTCAAGGAAAGTGACACAGGCTCAGGTGAAAGCATTATTGGTCAATTGACAGCCGCGATGCCTGATCTTGCCTCTCTACTGGGATACTGGAAGACCGCATTCGATCGCCCGAAGGCAAAGGAGAATGGGATCCTTGTTCCGGAGTCCGGTGTCGAAGAAGACTTCGATAACTCCCAGGAGATCATTGAACAACTCCACCGGGATCTTGATACCGTGTTGAAGAAAGCTCGCCGGGATTTGGGGTCGTCTGCCATCTGCTACCGGGACAACGGCAAGGAAATCTACCAACTCGAAGTTCCCATCAAGGTGAAGAACATCCCCAAGGATTGGAACCAGATGTCTGCTACCAAGCAGGTCAAGCGATACTACTTCCCCGAGCTACGAAGCCTCATTCGCAAGTTGCAAGAAGCTCAAGAAACCCACAGTCAAATCGTCAAGGAGGTGGCTGGACGGTTCCATGCCAGGTTTGATGAGCATTACAATACATGGCTGGCTGCTGTTAAAATTGTATCGCAGCTCGACTGCCTGATCAGTTTGGCCAAAGCTTCCGTGGCCATCGGCCACCCTAGTTGCCGACCAGTGTTTGTAGAGGACGAACGAAGTGTGCTCGAGTTTGAAGAGCTCCGTCACCCATGTCTTCTTTCCTCTGTTGAGGACTTCATCCCCAACGACATCCAGCTTGGTGGCAATCATGCTAGCATTGACTTGCTGACCGGTGCTAATGCTGCCGGAAAGTCTACTGTTCTCCGAATGGTGTGTCCACCCAGTCTCTCCCCTTTATTTTAATAATTTTGCTAACAAGTGTAGACCTGTGTCGCTGTTATTATGGCCCAAATTGGTTGCTACGTTCCCTGCCAGTCAGCTCGACTGACCCCGGTCGACCGGATCATGTCTCGTCTCGGCGCAAACGACAACATCTTCGCTGCTCAGTCAACATTCTTCGTCGAGCTGTCCGAAACAAAGAAGATTCTTTCTGAGGCTACTCCACGCTCACTCGTCATCCTTGACGAACTCGGTCGCGGAACTAGCTCTTACGATGGTGTCGCCGTGGCTCAAGCCGTGCTTCATCACATCGCTACCCATATCGGAGCCCTGGGCTTCTTTGCCACCCACTACCACTCGCTTGCCGCCGAGTTCGAAAACCATCCTGAGATCGCGCCCAAGCGTATGGCCATCCATGTCGACGATGTCGAGCGCCGTGTAGCGTTCCTGTACAAGCTTGAGAAGGGTGTTGCAGAAGGTAGTTTCGGTATGCACTGCGCATCCATGTGTGGGATTCCAAGCAAGGTCATTGAATGTGCGGAGAATGCTGCCAAACAGTGGGAGCACACTAGCCGGCTCAAGGAGAGTCTGGAGCGCCGTAAGGGCGGTGGCTACGTCGGTCTGGGCTGGTGGAGCGATGTGGCCTGGGCCCTGCGTGAGTCTGTCACAGAGGAAGACTCCAATGCTGGCGATGTCTCTGATCGCGGCTTGGATGTCTTGATGAAGGCAATCGAGGCGCTCTAGTGTGAGATACTTGTTCGATGGTGCTTCGTTCTTTCTTCCGTCTATCCTCATAATGTGAGTCTATGATATTTGTCTCTACCTATCTTTCATTTCAACTGGCCGTTCGTGTCAGATTTCATTTTGTTTTTTTACATGTTGGTTCAAAAGGCGTCTCAGGATCTGTTCGGTTATCTAGTCCCCTATTCCTGAGAATATGTATGTATCTCCATAGCAAAGCATGTTTTTCATTTCCTAATCAGACTTAAATCCATCATCAAACCCATCCAAGTAGTCATAATATCCTTGCTGCTCCGGGGGCTTTTCTTTTTTCTCTCCCTTTATTTTCTTTTCTTTCTGATCCTTCGGACATGCCAGTCGAACAAAACGCACAACACAACAGAAAAATCGCCACAAATTCGCAGTTGAACCATTCATCAGTTTGTCATAGTCCATGTAGATTCCCACCTTCCCTTCTAGCAGACATCATCACACTAACTAATCATCATCAGTCATGATCCGAATGAGCTTCCTCGTTCTTCTCAGAGATAGAGTCGTCCCCTTCATCAAAATTTTCTTTTGTTGTCCTCGCAGCATGGCCATTTGTCTTCGGCGCATCCCCATCCAATGTAAGACCATCCATCGCTCCCCGAACAAGATCTTTATCCAGAGACTCAGCTAGTCCGTTGGGTTTATGAAGCTTCTTTCGATTCCCAGTCTGTGATGTAGTCTTGGCTACAGTGGACTTGGCGTACGTCCGAGCGGGTCGGCGTTCGACTTCTTTCTCCATGTCACTACCGTTATCCAAAGTATCGGCTAGGCCACTGGGCTCTGCGAGTCGCTTGCCCTTGGCTCTGCCATGACTTGGGCGGGAAGAAGAAGCGTTCATCTCGGCACTGGATGACTCCTCGCTACTTCTTTCTGTGGAACCATCCTGGTACTTGTATGGGTTTCTGTCACGCTTCAGACCCCTGTTGTGCTGGATGTTATGGCGGCCCGCGCGGGTGGATGAGGACTTGATGTCTGTGTGGAAAAGACTGTCTCTTTCTTTTCTCACCCCATGGCTTGTAGAGTACCTGGTGTGTCTCTTCTGCTTCGCAGGCTTTTGTTTGGTGCTCCGGCGTTGGGACTTGCTTGCGGGTTTGAAGCTCGCTTGAGAAAGCTCGTCGTATTCGACCTCGCTGTTCTCGCTTTCGTTGCGCAGAGTCGTGATCTTGCCCTTTCCCTTGCGTTTAGTATATTCTTTGCGCTTAGCCTTCTGATAATGGCCATTTGATCGAGAGTCGTCGATCTCTGATTCGGAATACCCTTCAATACTTTCTTCATCAGACTCGTTGAGCAAAAGCTTTGATTTCTTGTGCTTTGAATGCTTTTCTGCTTGCTCGGCAGATATCTCTTCTAAATCACTCCGATATTTATGTTGCGACGCAATCGACATAAACTGCGGATCAATAGCACATAACTTGAGTAAGTTTTCCCTGGCAATTCTGAATGCATGCTGAGCACGTTTGGGGGTTACACCTGTAAGACGTGCCAGTTTATCGCAGTCAATTTCCTGAAGGATGTTTAGCAGATACAGATGAACATTCAGAGTATGTAGGTAACAACCTGTATAGGATAACAAAAGTTTCCCAGAAGTAGGTACTTGACGTCAGCCCCGGGAAGACCCATCCATGCAGGACTCCTGACTCCAGGGTAGTAGAACATAATGTGTTCGTAGATAGCCTTAGCTCTCGATGACTGAATGAAGATGATGAAACCTGGAATCACAGAATAAGGGAGTGTGTTGAAGGAACATGAAGAATAAAGGAAAAGCAAGGGTAATTTATACCAGAAGATCGCACACAGACAAAGTCTGCGTGCATTTGTGGGCGACTACATCGTGTTGTTGTGCAATGGATTTTCATTGTTGGGCAAACATGTGCTGCAGTCATTCTCATACGAGAAGGCGAACTAGATACACTTGATAAACACCCCTTCCGTTATGTACCTCCAGTCAAATCAAGTTCTCAGATATCTCGAATCTCATGAAAGGATCCGTGAAAGGATCCGTGAAAGGATCCGTGAAAGGATCCGTGAAAATTTCCGTGAAAGGTTGACAGTCAAGAACCTTGGGAGAGACTGAATGGAAGATATGACCACTTAGTAGGTAGGTTCGGGCTTGATTTCGACATCGCTATCGCTCTCGACCTTCACCGGACTGTTGTTGTTGTCTCCGGATTGAATCTCAACCTTCATAGCATCCTCAGTACTCTCAGATTTAGCCTCAGTCTTGATCTCAGGTTTTGCCTCGAGCTGTTCTTCAACAAATTTGCCAGCACTCTTCTTCGCTCGGCTCTTAGCTGGGGACTTTTCCTTGGCAGTGGATGCATCCTGGTCGTCATCTAGGGCATCCAGCTGATCCTCGAACATCTTCTCGAGCTTGCGCTTGATGGCTGGAAACCGGCTGGCCGCGGATTTTTTTTTCATGTTGCTCAGCTTTCCAAGCTTATCGGTGTCAAGCTAAATTATAGGTGTGGTTAGCTTGAGTCACGGTTTGAAATATTCAGAGAGTATGCATACCCTTCCAGAGATGCACAAAACACTAGCCATAATCAGCTTCATTTCACCGACTGTGAAATCACCCAAGTTCCCAGACTTCTTCTTGGGGGGCGGGGTGGTCGACATCGCGTCAGTTGGTAGCATTGTGACGATGCGTCTGTTAATGAATGGGGTCTTTGACTGTTTGATGAAATATGAGTTTCGGTTACTGTGTAAGTTCACGGAAGATGGGTGGTTGTGGTGAAGTGAAATGTACGATCTGTTGTGTGGTAAAGGGAAGCAACCTTACGTGCAATTTATTTGTGGAAACAAGAGATATTCATTGGAATCGAGTACTACACTCTACCTACACTCTACGTGATATGCTCTGAGCTAGCCTACGATCGAAATTCCATGACCTTTCAAATATGGAGATTCAAATTCTGTATGATTCATGGTGAAGGTGAATGAAATTTGACCCTAGGATGGACCTTAAACAAAACATGTAAGCTCCCCAGAACCTTCAATGTAGGCGATAGTCCATAAAATTGACCACAATCTTTGGTCTGACCACGCGTGGATCTCGTTCCATCCTAATTCTCAGCATTCTCGGCGTATCCATCTTCATCAGCCTCATTAGCATCCTCGGTATCGTCCTCGACCTCTTCAGCTTGCTTGGCCTCCTTCGCAGCGGTTCTCTTCTCCTTCCATTCCTCAAGCTTGCGTCGGCCCTTGCCGAAGACAGTTCTAGCCGAAGTGGGTGTAACGTTGCAAAGCTCGCCGAGCTTGTTCCAATCGACCGACTGAGAATCTTCGTCTTAGACTCAAATACTATGAGATTATAACACACCATCTCACGTACCTTGCGCTTTTCCATACATAGCAATGCCAGTAGGAGGTGCTCCACCTGGGTTGGGGTGAGTCCCGATACCTTTACCAGGTCAAAGGTCTTCTCTTGCTTCTGCGAGGACATGCTTGTTGCGGTGATGCTGTTGCAACGGAAGTTTGATAGAGGAATACAACCAAGACGCGTGTGGTTATACTACATACGCCAGAAGGGAGTCTCGTAGGCAATTCGCGTCCCAAGCTCGATGAGCCCCATTAATGAAGTGATGCTTTGAGGTTCATTGAAGGAAAGAGCGTCTGAGAATGCCTTGACATCCAAACTGATATCGACTTTCGACTAACAGTGCTTGAATGTATAAATATAAATTGTAAAGTATATGCCTTGAGCTGGTCTTTTAGATATATTTGAATATGTGAAGGTAGTAAAAAAAGCGTACTATGCCCAACCGACTCTCCTACGTATACCCAGTGATTTCCCAATGGGTTCCAATCCCCCTGGGTGAGTCTGTATTGACCTTTCCGTAGTTAATTTGCAGCGCTTGAACAACTACTTTCCATTAAACCTAGAGTCAATATCTAGTAAATGCACTTTAGCCCGTTTTTCAGTCCCCCATAAACATCAGTTTTGATCAGTGTAAAAGCTTGGGATATCTTTCACGAATCGAGTGGAACTATACGAATAGTGCCAAAATGAAATTGTAAAACTGTCCAATCTCTTTGTATGTACAATTGAAGGCATTTTTATACCTTCCTCCCACCCCTGCAAGCCCATTGAATCCCACATTTTATTTGTAAGAGAAACATAAAAAAGTGGTATCTATTGACCACTTTCCATTTGACTGAAAGCAGGCCGAATTGGAATGTCAAGCTGTAATTCGGGAAGATGCAGTTTCTATGCAGAAACTGGTAATAAAGATATCAAACTGTACCGGCGGGTCCAATCTTGATTCCATAGGAGTTCAGGATTCTTGGTAGTTATGCAGAGAGTATGGTGTATATAGAACGCCATGTTAGGGTTAGTGTTGAAAGCACCGCAATGCCATGTTAATTACGAAGCACAATTATTAAAGGTTATACGTAGAAAAAATTCTCTTACATAAAGTAAGCATTTTGTGTTACCTTCACATATATCTAGAAAAACATCTGAAAAGATTTTCTAAAAAGACTAGCTAAAAATACTTCATAAGACCGTATAACCGGCCGACTACTCTTGTAGAAAATTGACTGGGATTCTTAACAAATATATCCCCGATACTAGATTACCTTTTGCCTTCACAAAGCATTTGAGTATTACTCTTTATATGCAAAACATGGTCTTAATTTAATCCATATCGTAGGTTAAGGGCGACCTATAGTTGGCTACTTTGGGTAAACAGGGTTAGATACTGAGATCATGTATGAAGTCGCCACCCTGGGTCGCTTTGCAGTCGTCCGTTTGTAGCATCATACATAGTCCCCTGCGACATACTTAACCCGCTACTATGTCCAAGTAATGTCTAAGTCACTCCATGTCCAGACATGCAAGTTGTGTCCAAGGGTACACGACAGCCACTATCGCTCTCTAATCACGCGAGACCTGTATTATAGCTTGTTTGACTCCAGATGTGTGATGATCCTTAACTATGACCATTATGAACATCCAAGTTAAGTAACGTCTAACTAACTTTGAGTAACGTCTAGCCCAACCAATGTGTAAATAGCCGAGCGTCCAAGTCACGTCCAAATAATCTCCAAGTGATGGGAAAGTGCCACGACATTCAGGGGTCTTTTGTAGGTCGACGGTTGACTGCATATGAGTATTATCCCGGATGCCTATATAATCTCCGATTGTCAACATGTACGTGAATTTGGATACATAGGTATATAGCTGGAGCAACAAATGGAATATCCTCAGTGTTTCATTTGAGTGCTTGATCACTAGTTTGAGACACAACCTAGTAGATACACTGTGGTTTTCTTTTTCCTTTTTTTTTCCCTTTTCTGTTTCCTTTTCTCTTTCCTTTTTTTTCGCTTAAAAGCATTCACGATTCTCCTTGGTAACCTCCTCGCATTCTCCTGCAAAACATCCTAGCCATCTGGTAAAAAGCACCACTCTCAAATCCGTTCCACGTTGTGCTCTAGGAGTTTCTGAACAGGGAACTTAGTTCTCGTGCTGGTTGTCCTCCTACTCCTCATCCTGCTCGTAGGCGTCATCCTCTTCATCGGGCAAGGGGGACTCAGGGAGGTGCTGTTTCACAGCCATGTCAAGCGCAGCCTCGTCGTTCTCATCAGCCTTCTCAGTCTTGACCTTGATGTCCTCAGCGGTAGCGGTGGGTCCAGCAAAACTTTCGGCGAGGGATTCAATGACGGGTTCAGCGGTGAGTTCACGGATAGGCTCAGCGACAGCGGTCTCACGGCTAACACCTTCGGCGAGGTTGGTAGCGGACTCGGTAGCGGTAGGATCAAACTCAAGCTTGATGGAGACCTGGTCTTCATTTTCCTCAGACTTGATAGCGGCCTTGCCCCCCTTGGGGGTCTTCGGGGTCTTGGTCGCCTTGGGGGTCTTTGGAGTCTTGGGAGTGCGAGGGGCCTTGGCGTTGGACTTTCCTCGCTTGGAGGGAGTGTCCTCGGGGGACATGTCAGACTGGCCACCGTTACCACTGCCATCAGCATTGTCATCGCCGTACAGTTTGTCTAGCTTTCGCTTGGCATTGCGGAAGAGCGTCTGGGCAGAGGATGACTTGATGCCAGCGTTCAAAGCAAGTTTGTCGTAGTCGATCTTCGTGGTTGATTCTGTTAGCAGTCAAATTGGAATGAGGGAACTTAGGACCAAATGGCATACCTTGTCATTCTTCAAGCAGACATGGGCCAGCGCCAGGAGCTTGGTTTCAGTGGCGGACATGCCAGTGATGAGGCTTGTCTTCGGAGCAGCTGGAGAAGACATTTTGGATCAGTTTGGTGAGATTGTATGAAGATTCGGTAGTCGAGCTTGAGTATCAAAGTGGATTGAAGTTGAAGTCACGAGTGTATGATGAAAGAAGGAAGTTGTACGACAGGTCAAGGTGAAAGAAAAGGGCAAACCGCGGTGATATGACGGGGAACTAAGACTGTATTGACGTGATCCGGGCTTGAGAATGCGCGTGCAAACCGGGCTTAGAAACGCGCGTAGAGCATGAGGATGTCAACGCAGGGTTGTGGAAGTGAAGGTTGATGTGAACCAGGGTTGAAAACTCGCATAGAACAAGGCTATTAATGCAGGAGTATCAGATTGAGGGTAGACGAAGAAGGGAACTTCAACCAAGCTGCAAGTGACGGGTATTTAACTGTGTTCGAAGATTTAATCACGAGGAATTACAAGGGAAAATATGGTTTCTTGAATGGACTCTAGTTCGGACCTGCTTGATATGAGCTAGGTAAGATTTCAAACGAATTGAGGCCATATAAACAGTTTTGATATTCTTCCAAAGAATGGGAAATGGCTTGCTATGAGATGACTTTGTTGCATTAACACGCTTCATGGAAGTTAATTCTGACTAGGACTTCACATAGTTACTATATAGTAACAAAGATCCAAGAGCCATCAAGTCACGGATATATATTTTATCAACGAGGCTGCGACTTGGCCTTTTGGATTTGCTGGTAAATTCCATTCCACAATTCTGGGTAGAAAGCCGATGTCTGTCTCCCCGGCTTGCTGTGGGTCCCAGTATAGAACTGGGTTGGGGCTCTGCCTTGCCACCATCGTTGTGGTGACGGATTCAGATTTTGGAATGTGACTGGCCGCAACGCGTCCTTGAACGGAACAAGATCTCCTATACGAACAGTCGTTTGCCGGGGAATGGTGTTGAATCGCATGCTGGTGAGATACAGCACCGCTGTTGGAGGCAGATCTTTTGCGTACTGGACGGCGGCTTCCCGCGACTTCCTCGCAAAGGCGGGCAGCGCCAGATGGATAAAGTTCACATACGGTGCGGCCGTGTAGGAGACAAATAGCATCGGCAGAGCGCCAGCAGCAATCACTATAGTACAAAATCAGCATAGACCCTCAGGTGGTATGATGTCCAAATTAGCTTACCCGCAGGTGTGCTGTACCAGGGGTAATCATCAGCCACGGAGCATGCCGGTGCAACGATAAGACACGCTGCACCGAACAAAAGCACTGTAGTGATTCGCAGCGTCCCTAGAAAGATAGCTCTACCCGTCCCTCCATAATAGACCAAGATTCGCTCAGGTGGCCCTGCAAGTCTAGCTCAGTACACGCCCGTAATGACTGACGGGAGGGTTGAAACTACCTGTCCTAGTGGTTGTCTTTGGTGGTGTGAGCGTTCTTGTGACTGGTGAACGCGTAGCTGGGATGGTTTCTTTCGATTTGGGTAATGGTGAAAGATGCTTCTGCGACGGCCGAGGGATTTGCGACTTGAACCGGACCCAAACGCTCCTCCGAAGATTGCGCTGGGCGCACTCTGGTAGAGTTGTGCGCAATTGAGGGTGAAGTAGGATCTGTAGTCGCATTGTGCCTGTGTAATGTGGTTGGCTTGGAATTCGGATGTTGATCAATCCCCAATAAATCGGCGTTGCGACGCCGATCACTCGGCAAAAAGGTGACCGCCTTAGCTTCCGCTCTGTTTAGATTGCTGGATGAGCTGACCCCTGCCAGTCTTTGGCACACTCTCCTTTGATCTCATTCCTTCATACACCGTTGATTGCCTAGCTGGACTAGGCTTTGAAGTCTATCCGAATATTTCTTTGATGCAGGTCATGAGCAGCTAGCGCGAGCTTTCCTTCCACGCCATGTCTCCGGCTTATCGCATGCCACCTGGCATTGTGTTACTTTGGGTAGGGCTCGTAATGCTTCTAGCATCTGTACAAGCATACGAAGAAATATCAGATAAAACGTTGACCGAACTTCTACGGCCCAATAACGACTTCGATATTCACAATGGCGCTTTGTTGTCCCCTATACTAAGGACCCGCGTCCCTGGCACCCCCGGCTCCACCGCAGTGCTCAATCACTTCGCCGACTTTTTTCGAACCACATTACCCAAATGGACTATTGAGATCCAGAACTCTACAGCCAAAACACCACTATCAAAAGGGAAGGAGGTACCTTTCCGAAACTTCATTGCTACTCGCGATCCTCCTTGGGCCTCGGTTGGTGACGTCGGCCGGCTCACTCTTGTCGCCCATTATGACAGCAAGATAGAGCCGGAAGGCTTCATCGGGGGTATCGACAGTGCTGCGCCATGTGCGATGATTCTGCATGCCATGCGCAGCATTGATGCCGCGCTCGAGAAGAAATGGTCCGCACTGCAGGAACAGGGACTACACACCTATCTTGAAGAGGAGCGGGGTCTTCAGGTTATATTTTTAGATGGTGAAGAAGCCTTCCAAGACTGGACTGCCACTGATTCTCTCTATGGGGCTCGTGCCCTGGCTACACATTGGGATGACCAAGTCTATCCCGCAATGTCGGAATTCAAGGGTCCCTTGTCGTCAATATCTCTTTTTGTCCTTTTGGATCTGCTGGGCTCGAAATCCCCGACAATTCAATCTTACTATGAGACAACCCACTGGGCTTATCAAAGCTTGGGGACCCTTGAAAAACGGTTCAAGACATTGAAACAGTTCAAGTCTACCTCGGCTGATCCATGGTTCGTCGATACAGAGAAGGATGGACACAAGCTCACACCAATGGGCGGCATCCAGGATGACCACCTTCCTTTCCTCGCAAAGGGGGTAGAAATCCTCCACCTCATTGACTTCGCCACTTTCAAGGGATTCCCTCCTGTTTGGCACACAATCGACGATGACGGTGAGCATTTAGATTTGGATACCGTCGAGGACTGGAGCATGCTAGTTACCGCCTTCGTTTCTGAGTGGATGGAGTTGGAAGGATACTTTGACCACCCATCTGCCCCCAGTACACGCAGTGACGACGAATCTGCCGAGTGGGAAGCACTTGGCATGGACAGGAAGACTGACTTGTAAGCCATTCTTCCGTTTACTCACCTCTCTATGTTTTTGGCCCCCGTCTAGCCTTTGTTATATACCCAATGCATTTATTCACGGACCAATGGCATCTATTCTCAGTTGAACCGACTATGTACATATTCTATGGCATTATTTTCTTTGCTAATCAAGCCTCGGACGCAGCTCCTGATATATTCGGACTTCCATATTTTCTATCCTCACAGCATCATGCACCGATCTCGACTCTATTCCCCCGAGAAGACGCCAAAGTTCGATAAAGCTAACGAATAAATAAATTTCTATAATTTCTATATTTCTTTCATCTTAGATGAGGTTGCCCAGCATGTATCCACCCATCGTGATCAGCCCCCAAGTTGGTTGTAGGACTGTTCGCAAAATTGCAGGGCCTGGGCAGACCCCTCTCAGTCCCCAGGCTAGTCCAAACGTCGCTGCACCTGCAACAAACCGCCAATCGATGTCACTCACTGTGGCTGTTGGGAGTCGCCATTTCTCAGCAAGGGTAGGCTTCGAAACGGGCTTTCCCTTCTCAGCCGCTTGGCCTGGTTTCTTAGCCAGGAAAGTAAACAGCGAAGGTCCAATCCCAAACAGAATGACCAGCGCCAGCGACGGATCAAATCGGGATGGGTCAGTTACGAAGGCAAAGAACCTGAGCACCTTGGCTGGGTCCGCCATTCCAGATATCAAAAGACCTAGACCAAACTCCAACCCAGCCACATAGGAATAGACGACTCTAGATTCCTCCGACCGACGGACCTTCCGCGGAACAGTGATGAAGTTCGTGATTGCCGCTAGCAGCGCTGCACCAGCCATGAAGCCCAACTCCGACCCAGATGGATACACTGGTGTATAGCATGGGGTTGTACCACAAGATGGGATGTTTGATCCGCCCTCAACAAAGTTCGCTGTGAGCAATGCAGTTGTGAAGAAGATAGCGGTTGCAATCAACGAGCGGGGCGAGAGACGCGAAAGGCCACACAGCATGTGTCCGGAGGTACAGCCTCGACCGTTCTGTTTCACTTAGTCAACTTGTTCTTTGGTCTCCAATTATATCCGGTACTCCTCACCTTTGTTCCCCATCCCAATAAGAAGCCAACTCCCAGAGTTGTTACAGCAGAAGCCCAGGAATGTGGCGGTGTGGGATACTCCGGGATCAGTGATGGTGCCAACAAGTACACCGGTACAATGCTGGACACCAAACCCGCGATGATGGGCACGTTGTCACGACTCGGGTTGAAGGCACACCCGGATAGGAGAGAGGATATGCCGAAGACTGCGCCATTGTGTACGAGCAGGCCGGATGAGCCGTGGAATAATAATAGCGCGCCCAGCGTGGTATGAATTGGGGTGAACATGACTTTGATGTTCTGTCGGATCGTCTTTGTTAATAAAGTTTTATTCCTGATGTCATTGCGGGAAAGGTAGTCTGAGGTTTGATGGTAGATGACGGCTGGGGTATAGAACACCCAAGGAAGAAAGGAAAAAATGAATCTATAGCCGGGAATTTTCTCAATTCAATGGTCAAAAAAGAAGCAAAGAAACAAAGGAGTTGAGGTAGGGTTTCTATGTTCTTGCAGGATTTCCGGATCGGGGACCATTCACGTCGCCGTTATAGATATAGTGGTCCCCGAGCATTTTCTTTCGGCATCTCTCGGTATTTACCCAGGCCATTATGAGCTCATTGGTTGACTATTCTATTCAAACACTTACTCCTCATTTCATCATTTCAAGCACTTTCATGTACTAATTCACCGTGTTACACCAGACCCTGCATACAGTAGCATGACAAGACAACTCGAGTAACTATGTTTAGATGAAGATTCCCAAAGAATCAGAAGACCCCCTGGATATTAGCAATCAATGTGACAATAGTAACAAATGTAACAACTGTGAAACAAAGAAAATGAGACATCGGAGTGAGCAGAAGACTTGGCCGGACTCTCCGTCTCGTGAAGCACACTCAATCCAGCCCCTTCTACGTATATGTTGCGGCGGTCATTGCGGATATTGTTGCAAATGTTAGTTTTTTCAGCTACTTTCTAATTAACCCTCTCAGAAGTGATCTTCAATTTTCATTCTCGTTCAGAATGGGGAACACATCCAGCGTCGCCGGCCGTGAGTGCTTCATGGCCGCCGTGGGAGGAAACCCTACAATGGCTACTTTTCGGGGAGATCTGTTATATGAATTCCGGGCCTTGCCATCCTATAACCTAGCTATTCCTGTTCATCCATCGGTAATCACCTATCCAAATACTACGACACAGGTCGCTGAAATTGTGCGTTGTGCCGTTGATACAAATTACCGGGTGCAGGCTTACAGTGGAGGTCACAGCTACGGGAACTATGGTATGAACGTAAATTTCTAGTCTAAATATTACCCTTACTAAACCAACTCTACTATGGTAGGCCTGGGAGGAGCCGATGGCCATGTTGTCGTCGACCTAAAAGCTTTCCAGAACTTCTCCATGGATCCGGACACCCATATCGCCACAGTTGGAGCCGGTACAAACTTGGGTGATCTCCAAGACCGTCTTCTGCGTGCAGGTGGTAGAGCGATGTCACATGGATCATGTCCGCAAGTCGGCGTTGGTGGTCATTTCACCATTGGTGGCCTCGGTCTCATGTCACGACAATGGGGAACTGCGCTGGATCATGTGCTGGAGGCTGAAGTAGTCCTGGCCAATTCCAGTATTGTGACAGCGTCGGACACACAGAACCAGGACATCTTCTGGGCTATCAAGGGTGCGGCCGCAAGCTTTGGTATCGTCACTGAGTTCAAAGTTCGCACGCAGGAAATTCCCAAGGGCGCTACGCAATACACATATACATTCAGCCAGGGAGATGTACTTGACAAAGTCAAACTCTTCCAAGCCTGGCAATCCATTATCGCAAAGCCTAATATTACGCGGAATTATTCCACCGAGCTCACAGTCTTCCGGGACGGTATTGTGATCACGGGCAGCTTCTTTGGAACCAGAGAGGAGTTCGAAGAATTTGAGCTGGAAAACAGTCTCCCAATCCGAAACAAGGGCAATGTGGCATACATCACCAACTGGCTAGCCGTAGTAGCCCACGCGGCTGAGAATTACCTAGTCTCCATCGGCGGAGCCTTACTGACTTCATTCTATTCCAAGTCAGTATCATTTACAGTCGACGAACTGTTCACCGAGCGCGGCCTAGTAGCCTTGTTCACATACCTCGACTCCGCACCGAAGGGCAGTGAGAATTGGTGGGTTATCTTCGACCTCGAAGGTGGCGCAACCAACGATGTTCCCATGAATGCCACAGCCTATGTTCACCGTGATGCTGTCATGTGGATGCAATCCTATGCTGTTGTCGGGTTTGAGCCTCCTGCATTCATTGCCAGGAGGTTCCTCGATCGCTTGCATCAAGTTGTCATAGAAAATCGACCACCCGGTCCTCTGCGTTCCTATCCGGGATATGTTGATCCTTACCTCGAAAATGGTCAGATGGCCTACTGGGGATCGAATCTTGAACGACTTCAAAGTATCAAAACTCTTATTGATCCAAAGGATGTCTTCCATAACCCGCAGAGTGTGGCTGTTAATCCCATTACCAATTCTCACAATTAGGGTTGCTTAGGGAGAAATCCTGTGCCAGCTTCACATGTTTTAGTGACACAAGAGTGGGTACTGCGATGCAGCCTTGTTGGTACTGGTCTTGGTATATTTCACATGGGCATGCAGTCTTAAATTGAATAAATTTTCTATGTTATATATCTTACTCGATACTCCCACACAACCCTACCTCTACTGATAATGATATTTTGGTTCGACCTCTCTGAGTGGAATAGATAGGATGTTTGCTTTTCTCTCATTTACCGACCTGTTGAATACCTCGGGCATTTTTATACATATTTAGTTCTTAGCTCTCGGTGCACGAACCACGTCGGGGTACGGGTTTAGGGGTCTCACACGCCGATTCTAAGGCAGTGATATTTCTCTCCTTTCTAGTGCTGTCATGAGCTCCAGGTGTCTGGAACAAGTATAGCATGTTGTGTGATTGGCTCTTTCGTGAGATCGTGAGGTGGCCCAGCAGACCAGGAATACTTCCCAAAACAGCCAAGTGCCATCTTAATTCACAAAAGGCTCCACTTCAGGAAAGTAGAGTGGTCCCAGCATTCCATGCATTCATTGACTTAGAAAGCCCTGTGTTACGACGAAGATTTATGCATTGGAGAAAATAGCATTCATATAGAATGTTACATATCCCCTGTACCTTTTGGTTTTTCTGTCGTAATCGCCGCTGTTGATCCTCGTTGGTCAAACTATACATACTATATATTTGTATGTGACCTTGGAACCTTCCAAGTTCCAAGTTGAGAATCCCGGAAGAGCCGCTTGTTACTAAGCCATCTGCGACCCCAGGGTACCGGGATATCTATTCTACTCCCCATCTATAAAAGCCATACAAGTAACACATCGATCCAATAGTGCCAATGATGCATATCACGGCTGGGAATCTTGCTTAATACTGGCTGTAACACATCTCCGTCCAGGCACTCCAGTCATGAAACGCACCTGCAGCCCAGAAACCAGCCCGGAGCATGAGCCGAGAAAGGAAATCCCACTAGATGACCGCCCAATCCTCTCGAGCCTAAATGCACCTATCTCTCCGCCCCGAAGAAGATCATCCATCAAATGGGTCAAGGGTGGGGATGGGGGAGACGCTACCCCGCTGAACGCATCGCAGCTAAACACTTCATCCAGCCTCGCTGCCATCGAAGCAGGCCAGGTTGAAGTGACCGACCATTTGAACACAATTTCTGCAAAGCTCAAAGAATGCGTTCGCCCACTTCCAAAACAGTCCTTACCGCTGCTGCCCATCAAGGAATGGATGGAGCTGTACAGACGCAACGAGCACTCAGAGGGACGGCATTTCGTCATCCATCAACATGACCATCCCATCGCAGGGCCCCATTATGATCTCCGCCTCCAGTTCTCAGAGACCAGCTCTGTCAGTTGGTCGGTTATGTATGGGATGCCTGGCGATCCGAATAGTCAGCGATTAAACCGCAATGCGACTGAAACTCGGATCCATTGTTTATGGGTGGGTTTATGATCTGGCATGAAATGGTATAATAGCAATTATTCACACCTTCACAGAATCATCTGATTGAAACAGCTTCTCACAAGACGGGGAGTCTGATTATCTGGGATACTGGAGAATATGAAATTCTACCGTATCAAATGGACCCATCTGGCCCCGTGACCGATGACTCGCGATCAGATAGCCATGTCTCACTGGAGGAGCCAATCTCAGATAGCGCGAAGTTACGAGAAGCTTTTCAGAATGTAGGTTTATCCCTGTACAACACGGAGACTAATAGGCTTAATTCTCTAACGCTGAGCCACTAAGCGCAAAATCCGACTCCGACTCCATGGAACCCGTTTACCAAAAGACTACACCATTATTCTGCGAATGGACAAAACTACCAATTTTGCGAGGCCCATCCGTGAGGGCCCTAAGCGGCGTCGTCGGCACCAATCGGGGGCAAGGGTGCCACAACCGCCATCTACTTCGGACTCCGGATCGCCTCCGCCGGCACTTGGTAAAAAGAAATTGAGAGTGGATCCAACACCGCAACGATCTCAATCCGGATCTCGAACCAGCCCAGCTAGGGATGCACATGCAGATGATACCTACACCGCCGACCTCGAAATACAAAGAAATAATGCTTACCCAGGATCTAGCAATACGATTGGCTCGATTCACCAACGGCGATGGTATCTCAGCTTAGATCGGCAATCCTCTGGATTTGAGCGGACGAGAAATACAAGGGGGTTGACAGAAATAGACAGAAAGTGGACTCGCAAACCCGTCGGACAAGGATTCGAGCCGTTTTACGTGCACGGACCGGATTATGAGCGGAGCGTTGTGACTGCGCGACGAGGGCGCGATGTCTTGGATGATGAGGCCGTAGAAGAGTTTGTGCCGAGACGCGGGTGGAGGCCGGTCCTGCATTAGGGAGAATTAGAGAGCATTAGGGAGCATTAGGGAGCACTAGGGAATAATGTGTGGACATTTATGTGGACATTAGATGGATACAAGCTATACGAATTGGAAGTGAGCAATTGTTCCTAAATGCTTGGTGCTGACATCCTATTCCGCACATGATCATTGGAAGACGCAATGACTCCAATCTCGGGGTTCGGATATCGGAGTTACCCAGTTAACCTGTCCAGATATGCACAGTAGTTCCCTGAACACGAGACTCGAACAATATAGTGCATACGTATGACTCAATACACAGCCCTGCTGGGAAATTGATCTGACAGTTGATATCCATTATGAAAGGGTCAAGTATCTAAGTATCTGAGTCATTGGCGGTCTAAGGTCGGTCTATTCCGTATTCCCTCTTTCGTTCCCCGCCCGAATGTCACGATGGCTCGCGCTAACATACTGCGTATTCGTTATAGTCGCTGATAACGCCTTGATGTTTCTTTTTGTCGCTTCCTTTTTTTGTCTTTCTTTTTTTTCGCGTCTGAAAAAACATGGCCTACTTGGCGACATCTAGTTATCTAGCCTTGTCGCTAGTTGCCCTGAATAGTATACCTGCTATTCGGAGTATCGCCCACCGCATTTCACGAGCGCGAGATTATGAACCCATTCAATTAGCCAAAGAGGTTTACCGCGATGAAGATGGAGAAGCGACCGACGAATCCCTTCGAGCTTTCTCTGATAAATGGCAAAGAATCGCGATCGCTCTTTTTTCTGTCGCCGGGTTTTCGGTGACTCTCGCATTGGCCGTTCTTGCGACATTGAAGCTTACAATCACGAATTCCACGCTATTGGTCTGGCTGCAATTCGGAGTATGGGTATGTACAAACCCTGACAAAGGACACAGAGGCAATCAATTTGAAACAATCTTAATAGCTAACTCTTATTTTCTAGACTCTGCTCGCTATTCAAGCTGTTGCTTTCTTCACTGAACCCCGACCAACAAGCCGATATGTTCTCGGCCACTTCGCCTTCTGGGGGAGTATCATTGCCATTGCAGTTCCAAGCATTGAACTGGGCATCTTGGTATTCTCCCAACTCGGACTTCACCATGGGCGAGTTTGGATCGGACTGCAATTGGGTCAAATTGCTAGCGCTGCTCTTCGTGCCGTATTCTGTGTTCTAATCCCGCGTCGTCCAGATGTCTACTATGAAGATAAACTGGTTGAACGGGAACTTTCAGTTTCACTACTCAGTCGTTTCACGTTTAGCTGGGCCAATGGGTTGCTAAACTACGCAGTGAAGCACAAGACCATGGACCTAGAGGATATTCCCAAGCTAACGGCATCCAAACGTGCTAATTATCTCCGTGAGAAATTCGAAATTGCCAGAAAAAACCGGAAATTGTGGCTGGCCATTGTCTTCGCGCATGTGGGCCCCCTGATCGCCCAGACGATACTTAGTCTGGCGATTTGCTTTCTGAGCTTTGGACCCCAAGTCGCCCTGTTTCAAATATTGCAAACACTCGAACTGCGCGGGACTCCGGATTGGAATGTCGGAGCATCCTATATCTGGGTCCTGGCCTTGGGTGGGCTGATGTTCCTTGCCTCGACCGTGGAGGCATGGCTGTTCTGGGTCGTCTACTCTAAACTTGGAGTTCCGATCTTCGCAGAGCTGTCGGCAGTCATCTTTGCTAAAGCTATGCGTCGGAAGGATGTGAAGTATACAAAGAAGTCCAAAACGCCAGATGGATCCGATAGCTCCAGCAAAGGAGCTGCTGAGGCTGACGACGACGAGGACGCATTGAAGAAGAGCCGTCAGAGCATTATCAACCATGTGGCTGTGGATGCTCGACGTGTTTCCGACTTTGCCTCTTTCAACTACATTATCCCCCAGGCGATCTTCCGAATCATCATCGGTGCCACCTTCCTGGTCCAAATTCTCGGCTGGCAAAGTGCCTTTGCCGGTCTCTCGGTGTCTCTTCTTGTGACACCTTTGAATATTTACGCTGCTAAGAAATATTCGAATGCCCAGGACCGATTGATGAAGTTTCGTGACCAGAAGTTGGCAATCGTTACCGAAGTGCTGCAGGGAATTAGGCAGATCAAATTCTCGGCTTTGGAGGAGCAATGGCAGAACCGCGTCCAGGAGGCTCGAGAAACCGAACTTGGCGCATTGTGGGCTTCCTTCCTAGCCGATATTGGCCTGCTTGCGATCTGGGTCCTCGGCCCCGTCGGTTTATCCGCCGTTTCCTTGACTGCATACGCTATTCTTCATGGTACTTTGTCGCCTTCTGTGGCTTTCACAGCTATGGCAATCTTCAGTTCTCTTGAAGCATCGCTCGCTATTATACCAGAGCTCATGTCAATGGGTCTGGAGGCGAAGGTTAGTTCGGATCGTATTGACAAATTTTTGGCTACCTCCGAAAATGTTGTCAACACTGTCCCTGCTGAATATATCGCTTTTGAGAACGCCTCTGTTGCTTGGCCTGCGGAGGAGGAAGATATCAAGGATTCCGAGGATCGTTTCATTTTGCGTGACATGACCTTGAAGTTCCCGACGAAGAGTCTGAGCGTGGTCTCGGGCAGAACTGGCTCTGGAAAAAGTCTTCTTCTCTCGTCGATCCTGGGTGAATGCGATGTCCTCGCCGGTACCATCAAGGTGCCCGTTCCACTTCCCGTTACAGACCGATTTGACCACCTTGCGACGAAGGCAAATTGGATTATCGACTCGGCAATTGCCTATGTTGCGCAGATGCCATGGATTGAGAATGCTACGATCAAAGCGAACGTTCTCTTTGGACTCCCGGACGACGCAGAGCGCTACCAAAAGGTCATCTCTGCTTGCGCTCTAGCAAAGGATTTCGACATGCTTCCAGACGGTGATATGACCGATATTGGTGCGAATGGTGTCAATCTGAGCGGTGGCCAACGTTGGCGTATCTCCTTCGCCCGCGCATTGTACTCCAGGGCTGGCATACTTATCATGGATGATATCTTCAGCGCCCTCGATGCCCACACAGGTCGTCACGTCTTTGAGAACGCTCTTACCGGAGAACTCGGTCAGAACCGAACTCGCATTCTGGTCACTCACCATGTTGCACTGTGCCTTCCTCGCACGGACTACTCCGTGCTGTTGGAGAACGGTCGCATCAAATACGCAGGTACCATTGATGACCTAAGGGAATCACATCATCTAGAGGATATCCTTCGCGAGGAACAAGCCGCTGAACAAGCGGATCTTGCAGCAGCTGGAGAAGACGGTGAATTCCTCAATGATGAGGAGACAACTCTCCAAAAGGTAATCTCGAATACATCCCACCACAAACCGAGCACGGCTACAAATGGCCAAGCTGCCAACGGAAATGGAACCGCTGCTGCACAGACGCCTACACCGAAGAAATTCGTTGAGGACGAGAAACGAGAAATCGGTTCTGTGCAACTAGCAATTTACATTGCGTTCTTGAATAAAGGTGGCTCCGTGCTCTTTTGGTTAGCGACGTTCGCAGTCTATTTATCGTTTTCGTCCCTCTTGGTTGGAAGGGTGAGTGCATAAAACCCCAAGACAGTCCCATTGTCTATATACTTTATCTGACCCTTATTTACTCTAGTCCTGGTGGATCAATATTTGGACACGTTCAGCTTCCAATACTCAGGCTCATCCTCAGCAATACAATGTCCTATTACAGCATGCCATGCGGCCAACTGCACCGGCCCCACAAGATGACGACCTCTTTATGTATCTCGGAGTCTATGTTGTTCTCTCGGTCATTGCCTGTATAATGGGGACAATCCGTTATTACTGCATTCTTTCGGCATCAGTGCGGGCCTCGAGGAACCTGTTCAATGCCTTGATTTATACTATCCTCCGCGCACCACTCCGGTGGCTAGATACTGTCCCCTTGGGGCGAATTCTCAACCGCTTCACAGCCGACTTCCACGCGATCGATTCCCGAATCGGATACGACATCGGGTTCTTCGTGGGTAAGATCCTAGAAGTTATGGCAATCATGGTTGCAGGCATGCTTGTCAACTGGACGGTGATCTTGCTTGGCTTGGTCCTGTTGATTATATGCCTACAACTGGCCATATCATACTTGGCAGGTGCCCGTCAAATCAAACGTCTCGAGAGCACTGCGAAAAGCCCTATCTTTGAGCAGTTCGGATCTAGTCTCGCTGGCCTGATCACCATTCGTGCCTTCAGCAAACCAGACACCTACGTCGAAATCATGTACGGCAAGATCAATCGCCACGCGCAAGCATGGTGGACCTTGTGGCTGTTCAACCGCTGGCTCTCATTCCGCATGAGCATCGTCGGCGCTATCTTCTCAACTGTCACTGCTGGGCTGGTGGTCTATCTGCCTGGTATCAGCGCTTCTCTTGCGGGTTTCGCTCTCAGCTTTGCGTTGCAGTATAACAGTGCGATCACAATGGCACTGCGACAATACGCCAACATTGAATTGAACATGAACGCCACAGAGCGTGTCATCGAGTATTCCAACATCGAGATGGAGAACCAAGGAGGAGCCGACGCACCCGCGGCTTGGCCTACAGAGGGCCACCTCGAAGTCCACGACCTTGTCGTGGGCTACGCACCGGATCTCCCACCGGTATTGAACGGTCTCAACTTCTCTGTGGAGAAGAACCAGCGCGTGGGCGTCGTTGGACGCACAGGAGCAGGCAAGTCCTCTTTGACGCTTGCACTCTTCCGATTCCTGGAGGCGCGGTCTGGCCAGATCTTCATCGACGGAATCGATATCTCCACAATCAAGCTGCATGATCTCCGCAGCCGACTTGCAATCATCCCGCAAGACCCAGTGCTATTCTCAGGCACCGTGCGATCAAATCTAGATCCGTTCGACGAATACAGCGATACAGAGCTCTACGATGCGCTAGCACGTGTCCATCTCATCTCGGAGGCCGATGACGACGAGCTCACACTCACATCACGGACTGCCACACCCCGCCAGCCCAGTGAAACGGGCGCCACCACACCACCGCCGGCACAGAAGACCAACTCTAACGTTTTCACCTCTCTCTCTGCGACTATCTCCGAGGGCGGCCTCAACCTCTCACAGGGTCAGCGCCAGCTCCTCTGTCTCGCCCGTGCCATCGTTGCGCGGCCCAAGATTATGGTTCTGGACGAGGCGACCTCAGCTGTTGATATGGAGACCGACGCGTTGATCCAGACTTCTATCCGGGCGGAATTCGGCCGCAATGCTACCACCCTGTTGGTCATTGCGCACCGACTTAGCACCATCGCGGACTTCGATCGCATTCTTGTTATGGATGCTGGAAAGGCGGCTGAGTTTGGCACGCCTAAGGATCTTATGGGAATTGAGGGTGGTGTTTTCAAGAATCTTGTTGAGAATAGTGGGGAGAAGGAGGTGTTGGAGAAGATGATTTTCGCGTGAAAAAGTATTTGGAAAGAGGACATTTGGGAGAAGGGGACTATATTTATTTAAATTGTTTTGTATACATTACTCGACGCTGGGAAATATCAGTGCAACATATACATATCAAAATGCATTGATGCGGTTCAAATTTACAAGTTGCATGAAGACCTACAGCTACCTATGCCCTGGTAATGAGGTAGGTAAAGATCTCAATTGGTTCAAGATTCCTAGATTTGCATATTGTCTCTGAACAGTGCAGGATAACAGTGAACAAGTAACAGATACCCGCTACCTGATATTTCAAGTTACTTTCTCAACATCTTGCCACAAAAGAGGTCGCCAATTCGACCTTCTATATCCTGTCGTAGATCAGTAGGCCAGTGCCCCTTCAGCTGGTGCGGTGGGACTTGTGGGACAAAATTCCCCGAACGCATCAATTTCCCAAGTTGCAAGTGATGCCAAACATTGCTGAACCGCATATGACCCGTATAGTCTCGCTCACCGACTAGAAACGCGTCCGTATACCATCGAAAAACCGGTGGAAGCCTGGAAGGAAACCAGTCGCTAATGACGAAATGTAATGAGAGAAGGTTTAGGGACGCTTGGTCAAAGAACTCGACAAGGGCACAACATGTACTCTGGTTAAGGTTAGGATAAGGCCAGGACGGGAAGTGATGACGAGCTCCAGGTAAGTTGAGTTCTAAATGTTGAAGGTGAGTGTGTTGAACAATGCCGGCGAGAATATCGTACGGCTATAAGAACATTAGCGACTGGGATGTCGGAAAGCTTCTATTAATAGTAAAATAATAGCGTGGATACTCACCAAGTCCTCGTCAGGCGTTAAGCTCAAATTAACACCAAGAGAAAGTAGGTTAGGCAGTTGATCGGCTAGATTGATGAGGTTATGAATGCTGACAGGGGTACATTTGTTCTCAGAACATTTTGCCCTGCCTAATCCATATCTAAATCGGAGGTGTTGAAGAGATTTGGCATGGCATTCTGCCAATACCTCTAGAGTCTTTTGCGGAAATCCATACCCGATAAACATTTTCAAGGGTGGGAGCTCTTTAAGAAAGCTGTGGAATTGCTCTACCCGTTCAGTATATGCAGGGCAGTCTCTTTCATATCCAGAATGCGAGTTCGGAATGCTCATCTGTAGATTTTCTAGCGCATGGAAGCAGCCAGGCAGAGTGATCTTTGGCAGCAAGTGGATCCAATCGACGGCGATTAAGGAGAGATATTTGATGGTTTGCCATTGTAGTTGTGTGGCCCATAACGTGCTCTGAAGTGGTCCAAATCTCATACTGTCAAAGTGAATATTTTTGACCTGAGGTAGAACATTCCCTTCTTTTAACGTAATTAGGCCTCTCTGATTCTTCCGAGCTTCGAGTTCCCTCCTTTCGAAATGAGGTGGGATGTCGCTATAGCGAATTCGGCTAAAGTGAAGCGGTCTCCATCTTCCTATGCTGACCAACTTGAGACTTTCGAGATTGTGACTTCGATAAACGATGTCGTTTAATTGCGCAGGATAGCTTGCAGTTGAACTTGGCCTGATTGGCCTATCATACTCTCCGTCGTACCACTCAGCTTCGATTGAACGGATACCGGAGAGTTGAGGTGCCGATGAATGGTTGTGGTTTATTTTCTCACATAGTGCAACTTTTGAGCTAGCTATATGGACACTTGCTTGCGGGCAGTGTTTATAAAGGTAGTGCAAAATCTCCCCTGGCATATATCTCTCATGCCACCAGCTAGATTCAAATCAAATCAGTATTATGTCAAATCAATAGCGAATGTAACATACTGAAAGTTTTGAAGATTCTCCGCTACCCTGAATAGGTATGATAGGAACTCCATAAATTCTTTACAGAAGTCAAACCAGCGAGGTACACCATGAGAGCGCACTACAACAATATTTCGAACATGTACACACAATCGAAAAGGCCATATACACTTCTTCCATGGGCTTTGGTCAGAGGGAAAGTCTATATTTGACTCGAGATAGAGAGTCTTGAAGAGTATCGAAGCGGCGATTTTGTAAACCCTAGAGCTGCAGAGCATAGCGGCTTTGAGAGAGGAGGAATCCAGCTGGAATGTGATGTGAGCTTGGCACTTTATTAATTTTCCTGCGTTTGAGAAGGCATACCATGCTCAAAATGTGATGCCAAATCTCCGAGGGCAGTTCCTGCGGCAGCGGTTGGTTCGTTAGATCCATCCTGTCAATTACATTACTTGGATATCAAGAAAAGAAGCGAGGTAAGATCACTCTGGGGAAAGATTAGGACAGAAGAGATCTTCCAGAGAGAGCAGGGAGAAGCAACGATGGGAAAGTGCATTGATTTGCTCAATCGAAGACCGGGGGGGCAAGAGAAGGGTACGAAGACTTATAGGACTCAGGATTCAAAACCCCTTTTGTAAATGGTTTAGTGCCTGAATGCCTTGCTTTAGAATGACAGAAAATTAAGATACCTGAATTACTATTACACATATCTTCATAATCTAAGTACACTGATTCTGGTCGCGTTCGAGTCCAAAAATGAAGCTTTTGATATTTGAACAATTATCCTAAAAAGACATCTCTAAAGATAACAAGGCCACAAATACAGCCAACTATTCTTATATAAAGATAGATTCATTTCTATAGGGCCAAAAGCTTCATTTTTAACAGTTGTAGTATTAATAAATTTACCATACACTGTAATTATAGAGCGGTGCAAAAGACGGTGCTAAGCTAGGCATTGAGGCATTAATTCCTACCTAGGTACTCCGTACATAGATATATGTTTCGAAATAAAACACACGAACACGAATTTAGGCGGCCCTTTTAGAAGCAGCTGTAACCGTACTAAATCAAACATAAGAGATGCATGCGAGGAAGTTCTGAATATTAATATGGTAATTTTGATTGAATCTTTGGTATTTGCTTAGATATCTGCTGTCTTCTCATCAGCAGGCTTATAAAGTCAACGGTGACACAGGCAACTATGCCCGAGACAATCGACTCTGCTATAATCCTACATCCGAGAAGAGCCTTTATAGGAACTAATCCCAAGGCCAAAGTATAGCTAGCTAGATGGGACTGTAAGAGCCGAAAGGAGAGGACCTCGGACATTAAAGGTATTGTTTCCAACACCCGTCCAACATCCATCTCTCACAGCTTCGAGAGGAACCCTCAAACCATGGCCCGAAGCCAATGGTCACACCTTCAAGTCTTGTGAATGGGATCAGAGATGCCTTCATCGCGTCCGTCATGTAAACAAGGTTGGTATGCCGAACGCATATATCACATACCCTGCCCTCGATTCGTACAGCCCTTAAGCCCTCCGAAGAGAGAGAGCCGCACGTCTCAGAGGGAAGAGACTGTCTCATATATAACACACTAGGCTTTCATCATTCTGGGAAACAGTCAGTACAACGATCAAAAACGGTAATGCCCATTGAAAGGGCTGGGAACAGTAATACTCACAAGTATAAAACTTGGAAGGATGAAGAAGAAAAGAAAAACGGACGAGCGAAAATCCCGCGCTTTTTATTTCTGCGGGCGCTAGTCCGCTTCTAGGGCGGGGTGGTTTTCTGCCGGTTCTAATGATCAGGTTGTCCAAGCTTATCACTTGGTTTCTTCCGGTTTGGCTGCAATTGCATTCACGACAATTGAAATATGCCAATTGCTGCCGTGCAGCTCCGCTCTTTGCGGTTGAGATCCAGCTACGTCGAGATCTCGAATCTTCTGCGGGGTCGATCCGTCGCTTGGCCGAGACAATGTTATAGCCCCGTTCAGACTCCGCGGCAGTTTCATGCTCGGGCTTGTCTGCGACAGGAGGAGCCTCCGAAACAGCTTCCTGCGTTTCTAGAGGCATACAAGCGGGCTGGTATGTGGATAGCTTATGCTGAAAAGCTTGCTTTTCCATAGTCTCAAAGAGGGCTTTGACTAACACATGATGCTCTATAGTGGACTTCCCACCTGCCACCCACGACTTCGAAACATTCTTCGCACAGGCCGAGCCAAACACAGAAGTAGTACTACATGGATACCTCGGAAACCGCGCAGACCTGTCCAAGAAACTATCCTTCGTGCGCCTATCCGATCCCACCCTGCAACACAGCCTGCAAGTCGTAGCATTCGCCAAGAACGATGCCTTCGAGCAGCTCAAGACCGTGAACGTGAACAGCCCTGTAGCTGTGCGCGGAATAGTTCAAAAGAAAAAGACGAAGCCATCAGAGGCGGAGAACACACCAGCCCAAGACCAATGGGAGCTCGCATTGGAAGAAATTCACCCCCTCAACGACTTCCCCAAGGAGATTATAATGACGCCTGAAACGGTCTTCCCACCTGAGCAACGATACCTTCAACTGCGCTCGGATGCAGAGCTGCGCGAAGCATTGCGCTTCCGCGCCCGCGCGCACAATCTTTGCAAGAAAGAGCTGGAGCAATGCCGGCCGCCGTTTGTGGAGATTGAGACACCGCTGTTGTTCAAGTCTACGCCGGAAGGTGCACGGGAGTTCATTGTGCCTACGCGGAGGGAGGGGATGGCTTATGCTTTGCCGCAGAGTCCGCAGCAGTATAAGCAGATTCTCATGGCTAGTGGCTTACCGAGGTATTATCAGTTTGCGCGCTGCTTCCGGGATGAGGATTTGCGCGCGGATCGTCAGCCCGAGTTTACTCAGGTATGGATTTGTGTCTATTATTTGGATGGGTGAAGGGCGATGGATGCTAATTGAATATGTACAGCTTGATATGGAAATGTCTTTCGCGACAGGCGACGATGTCATGCGCACCGTGGAAGGGGTCATTCGCCGACTTTGGTCGTCGTTGATGAAAGACCCTGCCCCGGAAGGCCCATTCCGCAAAGTACCCTACCAGGAAGTCATGGCCAAATATGGCTCCGACAAGCCGGATACGAGATACGGGATGGAAATTATTCGACTTGATCATGTTCTCCCCGTGGATCTAGTGGGCAAGATTTCTGACCTAACCAATCCCATCGTCGAGGCTTTCAAGCTCGAAGGAAACAACAATGATCCCGCTGAAACACACAAGTTCATTACCGAGTTCCTTGAATCCCCTGCTGGGGCACCATTTAACAACAACCCAGACGGCGGCCCAGGTGTCTTCATCTATAATGGCAAGCAGCCCCTCTGCGGACTACAGCCCTTTGGCTTCGAAGCCGCCGAGCAAGTCGAGGAACTGCTGGACCCTGACCACGGTGACCTGATCGTTCTACAAGCACGTCCCCGTGCTCCTTTCTCCGGGGGTTCAACCCCCGTTGGCGACCTACGCCGTGCGCTGTACGCTGCCTCAGTCTCAGAAGGCTTCAAGCCCGCCGCGACCGGATTTGACTTCCTCTGGGTCGTCGACTTCCCCCTCTTCTCCCCCTCCTCAGACTCGGAGCCCGGCCAGGGCGGCGCAGCAGGGTTATCCTCCACACACCACCCCTTCACCGCACCCAAGACCTCCGCCGACGTCGACCTCCTCCTCACAGACCCCACCAAGGTGGTGGCTGACCACTACGACCTCGTCGTGAACGGCGTCGAGCTGGGTGGTGGTAGTCGCCGTATCCACGACGCAGCAGTACAGGAATTCATCTTCCGTGATATCCTGAAAATGCCAGCTGAGCGGTTGACCGACTTCTCGCATCTGCTTGATGCCCTCCGCTCTGGCTGTCCGCCGCACGCTGGTCTTGCGCTAGGCTTTGACAGACTTGTCGCTGTTATGCTCGGCAAGGAATCGGTGCGTGACGTGATCGCTTTCCCGAAGACTGGTAAGGGGGGCGATGATGCCATGGTAGGAGCCCCGAGTCCTATGACCGAGGAGGCATTGAAGACGTATCACCTCAAGTTGAGGAAGTAGATATTGGCTGGCGCCACTCTCGATTGTAAATCACATTGTCCTCGTGGACGATCTATCTTGTACTATACCGATGTACTATACAGGTTTCATGGGCATTTGTCTAGGAAATTCTATAACATAATTCTCTTCTCGACACAGCATCAAGCTACGTGCACCATACTTCGTACTTTGTACGGTGTTTTCATACCAGGGGGTTGCGCCCGACCTCCCAGTGGAGTGCAATGATACACTCCAGGCTACTCCGTATACCCCCTGAGCATCGACTAGGTCCCACCGAGAGTTCAACAAACCCCCCTGATACGATTCCCGAGACTGGTATTCCCCACACTTCCGACCTTTTTTTTAGGCTTGTCTCATACCGTACGACCCAATGGCTAAACTTCCCGATTTATTTGTTAATGGACTCAATTTTGAGATTATTCCCAACCTTGCTGCCTTGCAAGGTTTGGTTGGCTTCATTTAACTCAAACCCTAAAACCCTGTCTCAGGACTTTTGTGGTTGATCGGTCAGATCGTCGCAGGTATTGCATGGATACACCGAGTAGACAGATATATCAATTGAAGATACATCAATTGAAGATGTCTCAGAGATGATGATTGTATAAACTATAGGTAAAGCTCCCGAGGTTTGTGTTAAGAGACATTTGGGGATTTTTTTATCTGATCAGGTAGAGATCTGAACACAAAAGACGGGAGAGCCCGGGATCCATTCAAGATCTCTTGTAGGGCTACTCCGTAGTACTCCGTTTGTTCTGCAACTACCGGACTATGTTATAAATATAAAAAAAGCAAATCCCCCACAGCAGGGGTCCAAGGGTGTGAAACAGGGTCCCCGTTTCACTAAGATTTTAGTTTAAGACATGCTCCAAGTATACGATCCTTCCGAGGTACGCCCGAATCCAAGTGCCGAAGTAAACGAATATAAAAACATAAGACTGGATCATTCCTCGACAGTATTCCCATTCATTCACTCCATTCTTCATTCTTCATTCATTCACTATTCAACCCTGCAGAGCTGGTCTCTCAAATTCATTCTTTATAAATTCCAAATTTCAAATTCCCTCGTTTCTTTCAACATGAAGTCTACTATGATCCTCGCCTTGGCTAGCATTGCCATTGCGGCTCCCACCCGCACCATCGAGAACCGCCAGCTGTCCGGTCTGGGTACCAGCAGTGGACTGGGTGCCCTTGAGTCTCTCTTTCCAGGACTCTCGGGCTCCAGCAGCAGTTCCGACAGCTCAAGCTCCTTGAGCAGTGGATTGGATGCCCTGAAGGGTCTTATCCCAGGACTGTCGAGCTCTAGCAGTGGCACCAGCAGCTTGGCAGGCAATGGACTTAGCAGTCTCACCGGTTTGAGTAATATCTCCAACCACCCCGGTATCCGAAACCCCAGTACTAAAGGTCAATTTCTAGGCTCAGGCTCTTCAACCGAGAACGGCGTGACCCAGAATGCCGGTTGCAAGGAGTACACGCTCATCTTTGCGCGTGGAACTACCGAGCTGGGTAACATGGGCTCAGTCATTGGACCCCCTCTCGCGACGCAGTTGAACTCTCTCACTGGCGACAAGGTCACCGTGCAGGGTGTTGATTATCCAGCGGATGCAGCGGTATGAGAACCCTTTCCTTTCCTTCTATTTAGTACTTGACTTGTATTTGCGTACTGCTGTCGAGATCAAAAACCGGACCTGTTAACTAACGATCCATTCCAACAGGGCAACGCACTGATGGGCGCATCCGGCGGCCCCGCGATGGTCAAGCTCGTCCAGCAGGCTCTCAGCCAGTGCCCTAAGACCAAGGTCTTGCTGGGCGGATACTCCCAGGGTGCCATGGTCGTCCACAATGCGGCTAGCAGCCTCGCTGCCGGCCAGATTACCGCTGCCGTTCTCTTCGGTGACCCATTCAAGACCCAGAGTGTCGGTAAGGTTGCCAGTGATAAGGTTAAGGAGTTCTGTCACGTTGGTGACCCGGTATGCTTGAACGGAGCAGATGTAATGGCGCACATTACTTATGGCACTGATGCTGAGACGGCTGCGAAGTTTTTGATTCAAGCTGCCGGCGCTTCCACTTCTTCGTAGGTTGATGGTGTCTGTATGTGGTGGTTGGTGGTTGGTGGTGGTGATGACAGGGGGTGGGTGGTCTGAAAAATGTGTGAAATAGTTTTGGTTGTATAGCTGATAATCACTGTCAACGCAACCATCTATTGGGAGCTCTGTTTCAATAAGTAAACATGGAATGTGTAGACGGGCAGATTGGTGTTCAAGGGAAGTATCATGTATATTATGGTATTCCATTGGTACAGAAAAAAAAAAGAAAGAGACAAGAATGAAAAGTTGTGTATGGATTCCATATAGGAAGGAGATGGGTGTTATACAAAGTCAAAAAAAGAAACGCCACTCGAAACCGCTGTATAAGACAAAATTCCAGAACCAAAATGTGATTCCAATAGACAAGGTGATAACTCAGTGAGATGAATGAGATTGGAAGCTATCCAGTACGAGAGACTTGCGGGCCAAAGCTCATGCAGTGGACAATGTACTCGTCCGAGTTGATGGCGCACGGGATGATGCAGCATCTTGGAGCTTAGCTTTCTCGCCCTCAAACTCTTCTTCATCCTCATAGTACAGATACTCCTCATCCTCGTCGTCGGCTTGCCCGAATATATTCCTCCAAACGCCATCCCAGAGACCCTTCTTGGTCACTAGGCCGCCAACCAGGAGAACAGGCAGTTGCCAAATACTGGCCCAGAAGAGGCCACGTGCAGTGCCGTTCGCACCCTGGTGTTTATAGAAGCGGTATGCCTCGCGGACAAGCCAGCCATTGGCGAAAGTGCTACCAACGAGGAAGCCATGTCCAACAACATTGACCCACCAGAGACCAATAGTGATGGGGAACATCAGAATAGAGTAGCGCAGAGCAACTCGAGCATTGCAAGCTGGGTTCACCCAGCACAGCATCCTGTAGCCGGCTGCTTTGTACTCATCACGGATCAGGTGGGACAGGGCGTTGAAGTGAGGGAATTGCCAGGCGAACAAGATTGCACCTAGCAGCCATCCTCCAATGCTCTCTTCGCTGAAGAGCATGTCGCGCCATGTGTCATGGCCAATTGTCGCCGTCTGGCCTGCTGCGGCGATCCATCCCATGAGCGGGGGGATACCACCAACCACCGCGCCAACCCAGGTATTGATTACATGGATTCGTTTCAAAGGTGTGTATACAAAAGCATATAGGAAGATATTGGCGGCAGATAGGGCGGTAGTTGTCGGGTTAGTACCGATATAGAGGAGCGAAAGGCCCGTGACGGCGGTGCCAATCGCGAAGAAGAGAGCTCCCCGGCGCGAGACGAGTCCGCGAACGATAGGACGGTTACGTGTGCGAGACATGAGTGCGTCGTATTTTGGTTCGAACATCATGTTCAATGTATTGGCGCTGCAGCAAGACAGGAAAGTACCCACCGTGAGGTATATAAAGGTCAGGGTTGAGGTCGAAAGTGTGGGGAGTGGGGTCATGGCCGGATCGAGGGCGAGCAGGGACGAGATTGGGTACATCCCGTATGCAGAGGTGGTGGTGAGTACAACCAAGAACGACAATCGCGGTTTCGTCAGGGCGAAATATGCAGCCAACTTGCGGCGGATGGAGGTGGTGGGGAGTGTAGATGAGAAGTTCGACAATTGCGCCGAGGCATCCAGCGGTAAACTTTGTTCTGGTTGTCCGGTAGGGTTGCTTTCCTCCTTCAAGCGCTTGCGCCGCCGATGTGGTAGTTCCTCTGGTGTTGCTTCTGTCGCAATCGCATCGGATGATGCTGTTGCAGACGAATTAACCTGACTGAGTGACGGATCGCCGGGAGACGAAGAAGCGGTTGATTTGCTTTTCGCATTGGAGGACGCAAGTGAAGACAGCAAGCCGCCTTTGCTATTTGACCCGTCGTAGAATCGGTTGGCCGAGAAATATGATTTGTGGAATACTGAAGGGGACTGGTCATCCGCAATCCCGGTCCGCCGTTTCGAGGATGATAGGAACCCCCGAATGGCCTCCGGGCGCACAGAACGAGGCCCGAAGAGACATTGTGAGCACACAAGCGCCTCTCGAGGCCTCCTTAGAATGGATGGCCGCAGAGGGATCATGGCGGGTCGGTCATGCAGAAGGAAGAAAAGTGGACGAGAGAAGTTGAATTTCCCCGGTGGTGCACGGGCCACATCCGTTCACCTTGGAATGTCAACAAATTGTTCTTTCTAGACATTGCCTGATCAAACACCGTCCACTCTTTTCCGGGGATTATTCGCACTCAAAATGGATATCATTCAGAACTCCGTCATCACCCCTCTTCAGCCTTATTTGGCACCGATTGTCTCCGCCATCCCAGAGCCAGTGCATGATGCTGTCGTGTCCTTGATTGGAAAGTCTTGCCACGGCGCACTCTTGGTCGATCTCGATGTCACTAAGGACCCTGCTTGCACATCACTCGCCATCTCCAAGGCCCTCGGCATTGCCATCGTCGGTGCCAGTGCAGTCGTCAAAATCCCCCAGATTCTGAAGCTGATCAACTCCCGCTCCTCCGCCGGTGTCTCATTCGTCTCTTACGCTCTCGAAACCGCCAGCTTGCTCATCACTCTCTCGTACGGCGTGCGCAACCAGTTCCCATTCAGCACCTATGGCGAGACCGCTCTCATCGCTGTCCAGGATATCGCTATCGGTGTCCTGGTCCTGAATTATGCTGGACGCTCCGCCGCCGCCGCGGCTTTCATCGCTGTCGTAGCTGCCAGCGTCTATGCGCTGTTGTTCGACCAGACTCTTGTCGATGCTCAGACTATGTCCTACCTGCAGGCTGGTGCGGGTGCTCTGGGTGTTGCTAGCAAGGCCCCTCAAATCTACACCATCTGGCGCGAGGGAGGAACTGGACAGCTTAGCGCATTCACGGTACGATTCTCTTTGCCCTTTAACATAATCTCAGCTCAGACACTAATTGCTTTTCTTCAATCAGGTGTTCAACTACCTCCTCGGATCCCTGTCCCGAATCTTCACGACCCTCCAGGAAGTCGACGACAAGTTTATCCTCTACGGATTCATCGGCGGCTTCTCCCTTAATGTGATCCTCGCAATCCAGATGCTCTGGTACTGGAACTCCCCGGCGCCCAAGCAAAAGGCTGCTCCTCGCCCAAAGGCAGTTGAGAAGGCACCCTCAGCCCAGAGCACGGGTGCGTCCCCCAGACCTAGCGTGAAGACACCTACCACCCGCCGACGGGGTTAGATAGCTCAGATATTGCTTACCTTCGCTTTTTTCGGGTTTGGTTAAAATAGTAATAACGCCGTCCGTTTTTGGAATCATGCAATTGTAGGAACGAGCCACGAGAAGCTGTATTCATGGGAAACCGTGGACCAAGTAGAACTGTAAACACAGACCACATGTCCAGAATCGAGACTATCAGGTCTGTAGAGATCGCAAGACTACGGCATGCGGCCAGTAGTCATATGTCTCAAAATAAGATCCAACGGCACGAATGGCTGCACAGGATGCGGGTGATGAGGAGCAATATTGTACTCCAACTCAGCAGCACCAGGCTTCCGATGCACGCCAACAACATCCATCTCCTCCGCATCCCCCTCCTCTCCCTCGCTCTCCTCCTCCGACCCATCATCATCCTCCAACTGCCTCCTCAACCCAGTAACAACATTCTCAATCCCAGCCTCGCGCTCCTCAAGCGTAAAATTCCCACCCCAATTCCTCCGCCGCGCTTCCTGATTCGCCTCCAGCGGAGCCCATTCCCACAGTTCCGCGAGCTGCGCTTCACTCAGCGGTTTGTGCGCGGCATCAGGGTCGGAGAAATTAGAGGACGACCCTGCGGCGGGCTCTGTGCCGGCTGTACGGCCGCGCGCAACCCAGTCGTCGACGCGGGGATCGAGTTTTGTGCGGAGAAGTTGCTCGAGGGTGTTTGCTTGTGTTCGACCTGGGTATTCTGGGCCTGGGTAGGCGACTAGGTTGGAGAGGAGGTCGCGTTGGTCGGAGAGTTGGTCGGAGACGCTGATGAGGTTGTTGGAGATGATGCTTGCTTGGGATTGGAGGGAGGTCCTGGTTTTAGGTTAGTTTGATTGGTTTGAATATAAATAGTCCATTGCATTTGGCTGGTTAGGTCCGGGAATGGGATTGATTGGAGGGGATGGTAGAGCTCTTACCACGGCGGAAGAGGGTCGCTTTGGTTTAGACTTGCGATCAGCGAGCCCAGTGAGCGAGTGAGCTGCACGAGACGCTGCCGCGATTGCTCGAGGACTTTGATTTGTTCTTGAGTGAGATTGGACATGGCTAGTTGGGAGCTTGGAAGGTCAAAGAGCTGTGATTCTAACGTGAGGGGACAAGATAAAAGTGTAGATCCACGCCCTCGGCCGAACGTTACAGTTGGTTTCCCTTACACCAATTTTCTGCAATTTTCCTCAATTAGTGGTTCAATCATGTCTTCAATTACTAGATTCATAGTGAAAATGAGAGTCTTTCAGTTTATTCATTTGATATCAAAACAATATATCAAAGCAGACAAATGACAACGCTCAAGTCAAGCCCATACCGCTAAGCACTCAGCACTAAGCCTTCCAACACCACCAGTCTCCCATAATCAAACCCAGAAAATTACAACGTTGTCCACAAATCCAAAAATAACCTCGAGATCGCCCATCCCTTCCCCCATTGGGCCCTTGGACACTTGGCGGTGCGTGCTGAAACGCCTACAGAACGGCCGACCAATCTGCACCGACGCTGGAACACCAAGGACAGTAGCCCAGAGATTATATAGCCGATCATCTCGTATTATCTGACAGTTTGGCTTGCATAGGTTTTGCCTGTCCGTTGCCATTGCTGGGCGGCCTGTCAATGCTATTTTAGGATCTGTGAGATATGTTGTGTGTATATTTAGGTTGTGGAGGGGGTGAGGATTGATACATAAGTCCTCTTGCCGCCCTTCCTAGTGATGCTGGGTGTTGTTCTTTTGATGTTCTGTATCCTTCTCACTCGTCTATTTTGGGCACAGTGTTATATTTTACCGGGAATTTTCGGTGCTGGACACTTTTTCTCCATTGGACTATTGACTATACTATATACGCCAAAGACATGCAGACATTGCAAGATGTCGGGGATATATCGACGCGATGGAGCAGAACAACTCCGTAAAATAATAAACCCAAACGCCGTCAACAATGAGGTGAGCTGATATCTTGTTCTCATTACATCCAAGCCACAAACTGACTCTGCTATCCACAGACATTTCATCAATGCTATACAGCAACAAGGTAAATACAACTAGGTACAAGTTGTCACAACAATCACTGCCACTGCTGAGGGTCCTTTCGGTCTGGGTCTAGGACCTGGGGGTGAACAGGAGCCTCAGCATGTTCGCCCTTCTGATCCGGCTCAAAGATTTGAGTGTGAGCAGGCACCTGAGCATGTTGCTGTTGCTGTTGCTGCTGCTGCTGCTGCTGATATTGTTGTTGAGCATGCTGTTGCTGTTGCTGCTGGTACTGTTGTTGTTGTTGAGCAAGCTGTTGCTGCTGGTACTGCTGTTGAGCAGACTCGTCTTCAATAATATCCTGCGAGAAGCCCGACTTATCCTGACCTTGGAAGTGCTGCTGGTACTGTTGGTTTTGATACTGTTGGTCTTGACCAGGGCCATATGCAAGCTCCTGTCCACGGCCATCATTATCAACAAAGCCAAAGCCTGCCCCGTGCCCATATGCGCCAGAGTTATACATCTGTTGCTCGGCCCAGGCTTGCTGCTGCTGCTGCGCGCTGATCGGCGATGCACCATTCCAGTGGTTGTACGGATTCACCGTGTGACGGTTCCGACGGGCCTTCTTGCGTCGATGCCGGATGAAGAAGTAGCAACATATCGCAATCGACGCGACAAGGATTAGGAATCCTATGACTGGTACCGCAATCACAACTCCCAGATCCACTTTTGAGAGTTTGGGAAGGGACGTTGTGAGTGAGAGACTTGAGGGGAGAAGGGATTGGGTGAAGATTCTGGTTGGGGATATATCAAAGGTAGTGCCCGTTACTGTCTTAAAATGACAGTTGTAGCGGATGGACTCGAGGACTGGATTTGGATGATGGTTAGTTGTGGTTTCTTTTTGGACTTCTGGCTTGGGATTCGCTGATATCACATGGACACAGGAATGGGTTGCAGGGCATACGTACAGTTTGCCATGTAAACTTGCGAGGTTGTCAAGTTGTAGCAGAACTCGCAGGTGTTGACGACATTATCCGCGAACGACGGGGTATCACACCACGAGTTCAGATTCGATGTGTCTGGGTCTTCAATATTGGTTTCAACTGCTAAACGGACACCATCACATGCTACTGGGCACGGTGACGAGAGATTTGAGATCGCGTCTGGAAATCCAAACACACAGGTTGAAAAAGCGTAGCGCAGGTTATCTGGTTCGAATGGTTAGATCTGAGCGACAAATTGCAATCTGCGGTCTTTGGAAGGTGGTACGACATACAGAGTCCCCAGTTCACATCCGATTCCCCAGTGTTCTCATCGTTGAACTTGCTGTCCAACTGGCAGGAGACACAGTCTCTGAAAGTTCTCCCTACTGATGTTTGATTGTACGATTGATCCGCACACGCAACCTCGGAAGATGTAGTGTTGGTCGTTTTACCGCACACATCTGTGCAGGGCGAACCCGGTGTGGTTATCAATCCGAAAACCACTGGAGCTGGACTATTCAGCAAAATGGCAGCCAGAACAAAGGCAAGCATCCTGGAGGATCTTGAGCCGCCGTCGCTTAGCCCGAGCATGGTGAGCCGGAGTGAACAGAGAGTCCGAGAGCTTCTGTTCTTACAGCGACCGCCAAGGAGGTGGGATAAGAGTGGGCAGAGTGCCGGATAAAGTGATCTCACGTTCGCATGAGAAACGGTAAATTGTAACTCAGGATTATGAGTCTTTTCTCGGGGGCGGGAACGCTTCTTTTTTTCACTGCGAGCAGCTCTCGATCCGTCCCGTATGGATGTGACGGCCAGGTGGAGAGATTCAGCTAAAAGAGCTCGCTGGACAGGGAAGTACTGCACAATCCAAGCACCTGCAGAGCTGCTAATGCTTGGGCGAGGCAACGGAAAGGATACGCCGGGCGAATCAGGCGCATTCTCTTGTTCCCAACGATGGTCCTCGGCGCTTAGAGAACGCCGCCTACAGGCTGGTCGGTGACTGCACTCTGGCTGGGAAATCGAGGAACGGTTGGTGGAGATGGAGTGATCGCTCCATCATCCTGCTTCCAGTGGATATCCTGCAGGTGTACAGAGTGTGATGGACGCTGACGCTTGATTGGTGAGAGGCGGTTGTGACTGTGATACCGTCTGCATAATGCACGGGCGCGTGTTCACCCCCTCATCTGAGCAAAGTCGCAAATTCCGGTCAGGACTTCGTTGGAAACGGGTGTCTGCATTCCTCGACTGTAAAAAGAGAAAATTTTCGAAGTTTTGATCTGCCAAGGGACCCCCTCTTGTTAGGGCCGGGAGAAGAGAGGACTCCGGATTTTGAAGTACAAGATCCAAGTGTGTTCTATACCGTACGATATCAACATACAGACGTACAGAGGTGAATTTTGTTGGTATTCGGTTCAAATAATTATATGAAATAACTGAAATTGCAAATAAAGCCGCCATAATGCAAAATTAATAAAATTGAGGCGAATTCAGTCCAACGGCCGACCACAGGGCTTCCGAACGAGACTGATTCAACAAGACTGATTGGCCGACACCCAAAAACAAAACAAAAAACAAAAAACCACCACATAAAGACTTCTAGTTGAACATAATTTGTTCCGCACATATCAACCATAGAGCTCATCATAGGAAGGTACCATTTCTAGTCGAGGCGCAGGCTCGGGTTCCCGATGTTTTGTACGGGGAGGGTATCTTTTCTCTGGGAAGGGAGGTTGCTTTGGGGTGTTGTATGCAACGCGAGGTGTAGAGGGTGACACGGAGGGGACAGAGATAGAGGATGCAGCAGTAACGCTCGTTCGTCTCGAGTTGGTACCACCAGATATAGATGCTGTGGGTTCTGTTGCACAGCTTTGGAGGCTGCAACGGCGCATGCGCGAAGTTACAGAGAGTGGAGGAGACTTGGCTGGGATATCAAAATCTTCGGGATCGTCGCGTGTTGTGTGCAACATATCTCCCATGCCGAATTCTCGAGGGCTTACTTCAATTCGTGGGCCCAGAGTATCTCGTTCTTCCTCCTCTTCCTCTTCGTCGAATGAGTCATCTGTAGTGCATTCGTCATTGATAGAGCTTGGAGGTCGGCGACTTGGCCCACGCCTGAGATCGCCAAGGCCGAGTCCTTGACCTGGTGGTGTATGAGATGGCGGGGTGTATGCATCTCTCTCTCCCACACGACGACGGATGTTTTGGTCGAAATACCCAGTGGGAAAGGAGGCAGCGTCTCCCACTTGGTGTTCTCGGGTGCCTGTGCTTCTCGACCGTCTGCTCGAGGCACTAGGACTGGGCTGGCGTAATGGGCCAGCCGGGAGATATTGTTGATTTTCTTCAGACTCTCTGTCTGCCCTCGGCGTGTTCGTGACAAAACCAGAAGTTTGATCCCACTGATTCCAGGACCCTTGGATGGGATAGGTGATAGAAACATCACCCCAGCGAGAGTGGAGTTCTGTGGAAACTCTTCGCTTCCTTTTAAACTTCTTCATGAAAGTCGCCATGATTTTTAACCAGTTTTTCATCGGAGCTGGAGGGGTGACGCGTTCAAGGTGCAAATTTACCAAAGGGAGGACAAATCACTCCCTAATGCGGTGCTCATCTCAGAACTTATGAATCTCCCCACAGAGAGCATGGGTTGTCTCCCCAGGGCAACAATTCAGGAACAGCCAAGGAACAAAGAGAGACAGAGAAAGGTGACTAGGCAGGTAGATCGCCCGCGTGTGTTGAAGTTGTATCAAAATGAGACGTCCATGGAGGCGCACTAGCCAACCACTGCATATCCGTTGGTGACCAAGAGGAGCGAAGATCTTCCGAATGAAGCACTTGACGGGGATGGTGTTAGTAGCAAATTGACCCAGCGAGTGATTAGAGACCCGGGAGTGAACCCGGTGGTCTGGTACCCCTCTGCTGGTGGCCCCAGGGGCGGAATCTAAGAATCGAGACAATGCTGTCTCTCGCAGAAACAACAGCGCCTCGAAAAAAAAAAAGCGAAATGCAGGGCCAGCAGTTGGCCGGCTGAGGGACCCAGGCGACTCGCCATAAATGAGAGGCTCCCATCGCTGCAGGGTGGGTAAAAAATGCATGTGGGAGGGGTAGTTGCAATCCCTGTCACCCCTGGTCATTCTCTGCGGGATGGTTACAACATGGTTAGTTGTGAGGTGCGGCGCAGTCAACTTGCGTGGACAGATTGACGCGGGTCGGCCATAGGTTGCATATAGTGTGCCTGTATCAACGCACCCTCGTTCTCTGTCGTCTTGGCATGGCGCTTGTCTAGTGATCTGCACTCACAAGAACAAAGACCCTCGAGAGGTGATCTGAGTTGGGGCTAGACAATTGGAGTGGCAGGTTTATCTCCTAGATTCAGGGATCACGATGCAACAATGGGTGTGATAGAGACATTGAAGCACCTTCTTCTTAACCAGTCATTTGCTAGCGGCGACGAGGAAGAAAAAATGCTAGGTGAAAGACAGGGATCAAAAGAGGGGGTAGCCCCCCTCCTCTCAAGGCAAAACCGCGGAAAAGGGCGAAAAAAAGCACTGTTTCACTGTGACGCATCCGAATCCCTGCAATGAAGTGGAGTTGAAGGATCAATATTCACAATTGAGTGGGCGTAAATGGGCGTAGTGTAGAGTAAACAAAGTACCTTGAAGAATTAGCAGATTCTGAGAGAGGAAATAGTAAAACCAGGTTAGTTGATCCAGTTGGGGTTATATCAAAGTACTATCGTAGGCGCCGAGAGTGAGTGAAAAGGGGAATTTCTCGGGCTGATCGATGGGACGGAGATCCATAGCACACAGACCAGGTGTCTGTCAACGATCTTAACCATTTTACTACGATTTAACTACACTTATTAGGGACTTCCACCGGTTAACAAGTTTTGATTATTGCCGAAAACTTGACTAAATCAAATAAAACAGAATAATAAATAATAAATAACCACCCCCCCCGTCACATTTTCCAAAAAGAAAGCGCCATGTCGTGATAGTCGTAAAAACAAGAAAACAAGCCCAAGCCACTGTCACAATCTCAACGGAAATTGGTGATCAGCCGCGACAGAACGGGTTTAGGTTGTTTGGGGACGGCCTGGGCCGGCAGCGTTGGCTCAGATGCACTCCTTTCCCTCCTATCCCTCCTATCCCTGTGTTCCTGTCTGGTGTGCTGCTCCGGTGGAGGTGGCATAGCTGCCTGCTGCCTCGACCTATTTGGAACAGCTACAGGCCCAATTGGAGGACCGTGGTCGGTCATTGAAACCGGCCGGGAGGTTGCTAGCCTGGCGTCACTGTAGTGAACTGCACTCAGACGGGAAGAGGGACCAGGGTGTGGATTGGCATGATTGGTGGGGTTATAGGTATAGGTGTGGGCGTTAATATCGCCCACCATGGACGTTGGCCGAATAGGTTGGTATCGTGATGGGTCATATGTTGGCAATGTGGGGTATGATGGGGGTTGATCATATGAAGGCCGAGACAGTTGCTGTTGGTACTGTTGCGCGTGCTGGGCCTGGCGACTGTAATCCGGCGCAAAGGAAGACAAGGGCCGGGGTTGGGAGTGGAGACCTCGGGGTGTGCCTAGCTCGTCCGTTTTATAGGCTGGTGGAGGATCCAGAGGAGAAAAGTCCTCGGATTGTTGGGCGTTTCTTCTTCTGGCCCGTTCTTTGCGCGAGAAGAGATATAGTAAGCCTCCAGCCACTGGTTTAGGTTAGCTTGCTTCTGGGTGGGTTGCGGCTCGGGCTGCATACTTGCTAGGAAGATGAGGCTGCCAGCTATCGCACCAATAATAATCACGGGTGTGCGAGAAGGGTAGTTGTTATCGGAGCGGGGACCAAGAGAAGAATTAATTGACATAGCCCAATTTGTGAATAATTCAACGGGGATGTGTTTGCTGGGATGAGGACATCCAGGGTATAGATGTCCAAAGTAAACAAATAATCGAAGTCAAGACAACTTTGACTTGCACCACAGTATTAATAAAAGACTAGTAAGTCTTTAGAATTGAGCCTCAAGCCTGTGAGCCGATGCTAACAACAATCCATGCTTTGAAACTGCGAGGATATAGATATATAAGACCCTGAAACGGATCAACGAAGCTTAGTGCCATCCTGACACACGGTCCCTGTTTCAAAGATATTTTGAGCGAATCGCGGGGGAAATAAAGATAGTATCAATTAGCTATAGATAGATTTGCCCAAAGACGACAAAATTAGCCAGCATTAGTTCAATTAACCTGCATTAGCGGACTAATCCGGCGGGCTAGACCCTCGTAAATGCGCCTTAATTTCTAAATTAAAACTGCTGCATCTTTGAACAAATCACATCTATGCATTTGCCGTCACCAACAATGTTGTTGTGCGTTGACTGGTTCGTTCAAAGCGCCCTGTAACCGGCAAATGATACCCCTCGTTGAACCCAACACCACTGTACGGAGTACAGAGGACTTCAAGCAAGTATAAATGAAAAGGTGATCACCGCTCATTCACCCGGGATTATAAAAGGTCTGCAGAGTCCAATGAATGTTGATCAGTTGCCAGTGCTTGGGTATGGTTATCTACGCTCTTTTGATTTGACGAGTCTCCTACCAGATAGGGAAAACCATCACAGGGCTTCAACGCCCGCATACAACAAATATGAGACAACGCAAGCCCTACTTCAATCTTCCAATCCCCGATTTTCAAAGTATTCTCTTTTTTAAATATCATAACAATTTATACCTGCCTCTATTCCCTCCATCGAAAATGAGTCACTTGAAAGCATCAGCCACTTTTACTCCGCATACGCCCGATAAACAGCCATGCCCTTGTCCGTCCCAAAGTCCAACGCAATACCCTGCCCCACAAAGAAAACATATCCCTCCTTTAACTCAGAGGTCTGATTACCAGGGAATTTCATCTGACCACCACCCTTTGTAACAATCATCAGACTCGGCCCAAGAATGGCCTTGTGGGTCTCGCTCTCCCCAGCGCCAAGGGTAGTACACAATACCGCAAATTCACTGATAGGCGGTGCATAGACATCCGTCTTGCCATTCAAGCCCTTGTCACTCTTTCTGCGCGGCAGCAGCGCATCCTGCGCATTATGCGGAACAAAGCTCAGAGCCTGTCCGAACAACTCGACACTGTCGCGGTCTGCAGCTGGACAGAACCCTGTGTTGATGACGTTGTCTGAGCGCGCCATGCACTCAACGATATCGCCTTCCAGGTAGGCGTGGATACTGTCTGCGGGAACGAAGACGGAATCTCCCGGTCCCAGAGTTAAGTAGTTCATCAGCAGGGCGGCGACTAGGTTTCCGGTATCGCCTTCGCCGTATTGTTTTGCTAGACGACCCAGGAGGCTGGGAATGTAGGTGTGTGCGCCGAACTGGGATTCGGGGATGGCTTGCAGATCTTTCATTGTCTGTGCGACTTCTTTGGGTGGTGCGCTCAGTAGCGCCTTGCATACTTGACGTAGGGTTTCGTCGTTGAATTGTCCGGATTTGGGGATGTATTTTGCCAGGTGGTTCAACGCAAACAGCGCTTGGATGTCTTTTAGGGGCTTCCAGCCGGCAAAGAGCTCGAATTTTGAGAGCGCAATTGCAATCTCTGGCTTGTGCATTGTATCGCCATACTTCTCGGGGTGTTCTTTGTGTAGTTGTGCGGCGAGTTTCAGGTCTGGGTGGATTTGTAGGGGTAGCGCTTTGCTGAAAGATAGAATCTAGACCAATGTTAGTTTATCTGTGCGGCCACACACTATAATTCTTGGCTTTTGGGCTTGCCTTTGGCAGGAATGGAATCTCCGGACCCCATCGGTCGTGGACGGACTTGCCCACTAGCTCGGGGTATTTCTTCAGGTACTCCCCAAGGTGCTCGCCCGTGGAAAGCAGATAGGATGGGTTTGATGGGTACGTGCCCAACCACATCTGCTCAAAAGTCAACATAAATTCGGGCTTGAAGTAGTCAATTATTCTCATGAGAAGCTTACTTCCGAATAATGCTTCGAGTCATCAATGGGTGCATTATTCGGGGTTTTAGACCATAGCTGAGCTACAATGGATTCTTTTCCTTTCTTTCCCCAGTCATCGTTCTGTTAATTCATGGTAAATAATTAGTATCGATGTAAAATATCTAGGCAGAATATACTTGCCTTGACACCACACCGAAGTTGAACTACTGCGTCTACCATTTTGGCCAAGATGATATTGAGATGGTAATTTTTTTGTTAGTGTTCAATGTTCAATGTTCAACTCGACAATTACCTTGCTTCATATCGTTCCTACGTGGGATTTTCTATTGGCTGGGGCAAAAGACGTTAATATGTCGTCATGGTGATTTATCAAGCGTGTCGCCCCAGGCGTTCAAATACTTGGCAGCGGCTCAGGTCAAAAGTTGAATTCCATGATACAGTAGAATGGGGGGAAATCCACCAATTGGAATTCTGTGAAGTGCTTGAATCGCACGTCACTGAGCGACCGGGATTGAGCCAGGCGTATTGCAAGGTACAATACTTCACAAATGAAGTTATATATCATACATTTAATCTACCAAAGCTACTGTTATGAAACCTTAAGCCGATTCAAAAAGTAAATAAATAGTTTCATTCTGAGGCACTGTGAAAATGCCCAGTAACCACCAAAAACACCCAACACCGTGCAATGATGCTCAATAAAATCAAACCGCAAAAATAACCGAAATAAACATGGACCCATTACTCATAGAGATCGTCAGGATCAGGAACCATAGCCACAGTCATAGGCCTCGAGATCGAAGAAGCCCTCTTGCTATCAGCCGCAACAAAAGGTGACGTGCGCCGTCTCGGCGGCAGCCCGTGATTTCGCCGCGAACTAGAACTGTCCGAGCTATCACGGAAGCTAGTCGAGTGCAGACTGCGATGGTCGTCCTCGTGGTAGGTGCTCCCTCGGACATTCGGAGTATGGTGGTCACGATCGCGACCGCTGTATCGCTGCTCACTTGACTCGGACATCGAGCCGCGCCGCGAGAGGAGGGTGCGGGACGAGCTGACGGATTGGCTGCGCGGAGTCTCGGCGCCTGAGCTTTGAAGGTATCGTCCGTTGGTCGGGATGTACTTGAAGCGATTGTTGGGATGAGTGGCATTTTCGACTACTTCGGAGGTGTAGTCTTGTTGAATTGGTCGATATGCAAATTCGTTTCGTTTTCGCTCGGAGCGCTGGGCATCTCTTTCCATCTGCGATTCGCCCCGCAGTTGTTTCGGGCGCGACGCGAGGCGCACCGAGAGCCGGCCCGGTCGCAGGCTTCCGAGAGATAGTGAGCTCCGCCGCGAGACTGTTGATGCTTCGCTGCAGACGCTTTTGGCGTCGTCGTCTGCGTCCTCTTCTTTCATTGGACGGGGGTTCCGGCGGTCTTCCGGAGAGCAGTCGGGGACGTAGCCTGGCCCATATGCTGCTCTCTCTTTGACGGGTCGATGGGGATTGTTGTATTGATTCCATGAGCCATCTGTGGGCACGGAGATGGACACATCCCCCCATCGAGCATGGAGAGGTTTTGGAGAGTCCGACTTGCGGAAGAGAGAAAGGGGTCCGTTGACGATTCCCGCCATGATGTCTGTGAGAAAGTCGTGTGATATCGACTCGTACAGTTCTTATATCGCCCCTCAGGAGAAGCAAAAGATGACATTCGTTTAACGGGGGGGAGGAAAGTAACGATCGAGCGGGGGAAGTTTAGGCCAGGATGGATATTAATGCCTTCTAACAAGAACCAGCAAGCAACTGGTGACGAGGGCCAGCCAATAAGTCCGCAAGTTGGCAGAGTGACAGGATTTTGGTGGCTTTTACGCAAATTCCCTTCTGCACTGATGCAGAAACAAACAAGTGGCAACGGCCGCGGATTGGATACCGGCCAGGATGATGATAAACAAGGGCCTCGAAGGGCGATGGAGGGGTCGCCAATGAGCTGAATCCTTGTAAACAATCTGAAAATGACAAAAGAAAGCAAATCAAAAGCAAATCAAAGCAAGTGCGAGTCCGCCAGGGACTTTGGTCAAGCCAGTCTGAAACTGAGAAAGAAAGAAACCTTCATTTCGGCGGAAGGCGTCCGGATATAAAGCTTGGTCCCAAAATGGGGTTACCCTGAGGGGTGTGTAAAGCGCTTTGTGCTAGTTGTTGAAGGTCTCATTCATTGTAGCTGTTGACACCACCGACCAATAAGACTTGCGCGTTACCGCCGAAGGTGATGCACAGATCTGCAGGTTGCGCTTGACAGGGGGGGTGTTCATATGTTCCTTAATTAGTTCGCATATCGGCCGCTTTGGGTCTTAAAAATAGAAGTCAATTAGCTGCACTTTACATTCCCAACTAACTTGCAGCTTGCAGTTTGCATAAAGTACCTTCGGAAAGTATTCGTCCAGTTCGTCCACTTTATATCTCTTGTTTCATCTCTATTCTGGAGGTTATGTGAAATTATTGTGTCCAATTATCCTCATTTTGGAACATATAACCAAGAGCTCCGTTGGATCTTGATTTAAGAATGTCTATCCAGTATTCTATAAATTCTTTTATTTTATGTCGAGTGACTACTTTCGAGGCCACGCTATATACATGCAGGACGAATGTAACACACCACGAACAAATCCAGCTAATTAATGATATTTATAGAAATCCTCATTAATGCAAAACTGTAGTTAATGTATGTCTTTACTAAAGCGGGTGATCTCGGGATACCTACCCTACTCTAGGGCTAGAATGTGAAATTGCATGCAAGCATCAAGTACGCGGGGCCGAAAATAAAACCACAGGCCGAGTTTGATCCTTTTACTGAGCCTAAAGGCAAAGAATACAACAAAACAACAAGCGCCTATGGAATGCTTTCCTTACCTTGTTCGCCCGGAGGCTAGATTCACCCGAGCTTCCGTCAAAAGGCAACTGGTCTCAGACAGAAGGCCGCCCCCAAATATTTACTTGTAGTAGTCTGTGGAGAAGGCAGAAGGAATCTCCCAACTTCCCCCGCGACGCTTTACGTCACGTAGTTGTGGGTCATCATTGGCGCTAGCTTTGGGTCCGCATAGTGTTTGTTCGACTTGATCGTATCCTTGATTACAAAGACCATCTAAAATGAATAAGCAAACGCAAATTATTATGTTCTTACATCTAACGTCCCTGATATTATCTGAGATCAAATTCATGGATCAGATTACAGAGTCCGTATAAGCGGCCGACTCTTCTTGTGTTTTGTGAATATTCTAGTGTACTGCCGTCGCCTTTAGGCAACAGGCCCCAATCGGTATGGGACGCCTTAATCTCTGCCAACTGCCAATTCATCCTGACTAGGCTCTTTATTTTTAATCTAACAATAAGTCTAGCCCAACTTCATCTACGATATTCATCTAGATAGAATAATGCTTGTGTGTCATTGAAAAGAACAGATTTCCTAGCACGATCACGAAAGAAAACGATTTGAGCAACCTCTCATCGCCACAACCTCGCCCACCGCCGTGGGCTCGACCATATCTGCAGTGTCTTGTCACCCACACCAATCCTCAAATTTCTGTCACAAACAAGAATCCACTGCAATAAGGTGTGAACCTTGAGTGTATGGCACCTAGTACGCGTGGAAACATGATATGCTGGGCTGTTTAGCTGTCCTCTGTGTCGATAGCGTCAACGGGAGTATCGTCAGCCTGACTGCCATCTTTATCGTCCTGGCTGCCGTTCTCGGCATCCTCCGCGTTTGCAGGGTTCTCCTCGTGCTTTGGTTGAGCCTTTTGAACCAAGTCCTCCTGGTCCTCCATGAACTCTCCAATCTCCTTCAGCAGCCGACTCATCTTCATGCGAGTGGCGTCTTTAGATCTGCCAATTGCGTTGCCGATGGCTGCATAGTCAAACTAGAGGAAACCAATGTCAATATAAATTAATATCCAAGAGCATGCGTAACCCAAATGAGGGGCGACAGACCTTGGTTCCGCCATTCTTGATGGCCTGATAGAAGAAGACTTCATTTTCGGTAAACTTCTTCTTCGGGGCGGCTCTGGGGCCCCTCGTTTTCTTGACCTTAGATTCAAACACGAGCTTCGCCGGCTGGCTATCCTTCTTCAAACGAGGTGCCATGGTGAGAAAGAAGGTTGTCCCTTGGCAAAAAGTGAAGTATCGGTATTGGGTGATAGGCCTTCCAGATGAAAGGTGGATGAAATGTGGGATGGGTGAGAGATGAAGGAGAGATGGAGCAAATGAGAATTCGAAAGTTTTCAGCAAACGGTGTTGGTCTAGAAATAGCCAGGCAAACGTGTATACCTCTCGATATAACGAGACACATGAGACACGCGTACTACGAATATCTTAGCTTTTAGATCCGCTCTGATGCCGAAGTGAGGCCAAAGTAATGTAATTCAGATACGAATCGAACAATGCTAACATCATTGAAACGGAAATCCAACCTTTTCGATGGCCTTTTCAATATCGCACGCCTTCAAGTTCTATCCATAGTGACTTGACACTGTCTATGATCTGAAGTGGAACCACCTCACGGCGACCTTGACTTGATGGATAGATTCTTTGAGTAGGGTTCGAATGTCTTTCCTTTCGCTACATAAGGCTAAGCACAAGAATCCAATACTTCTACCCCGATCAACTCAGGAAGTATTGGACGAACAGGGCACACAGATGGCCTCTCTCAAGACAACCACATTTTGCAGGTCCTCCCTGCGTCGGTCACCAAATGAAGCAAAGGTAATTGACTACTTGGGTTAAGCCCGAGTCTTCATAACTCTGAAACGACTTATCTGCTAGCGAGATCTTTAGAATCGGCTCAAGATCGGTTCCGCGTGGGTCTTGAAACCACAGGAATGTGCTAGCAGAGTAATGAGCAGGAAGCTCCTCTAACGAATAATTCATTTGACTGTTCTTTCAGCTGCTAGAGAGAGAGAGAGGAAAGAGGAAGAAGGAACCTTGATTATTCAATATATGAAGAGCAGGGTATTTATAGCCTAAAATCTATCAAAGAAGCATCCATGGGAGATGGGATCATCCAACAGTACACTTTCGGACTATCTATCGTTGAGATGTTATGAAATACACCGCCACTTTCACTGCTGGCGATATAGTTTATGTTTCTTTCCCTTTACTTGTCTAGAACTAACAACTTTCAGAGCTTAGTATAAACCCATATCCCTTTTCATCGATAGAATGAGAATATACCACTTTTACCTTAATTCCGTGGCGCGTGCGTCGAATACTAAAGAACTAGATCGGTAGGTTCTCTCAAAAGGGTAGGTTGCTCATATATATATCCACATTTCACAACGGCACCAGCACCTTCTTTGACAGTGGAACCTCCTCGTAACCATCATCCAAGAATTGCCCCAAACGTTCCAGTCCGATTTCGAGTGTTTTCGTATGACAAACATACCCCATGCGAACGTAGCCCCGGAAATCCTGATCACGTCCGAAACAGAAGCTCCCGGGTGCAACCATCACTCCTGTCCGTTCAAGAAGCTTCTCACAGAGTACGGAGTCATCCACCGGCTCACCATTCCTTTTGAAGCGAATGAACGCTATAGTGCCTGCACGAGGCTTGGTCCAGTCACAAGCCCATTGATGCGCATCGATGAATCTCTCAAGAATCGCTAGGTTTGTCCGGGCAAGATTGATGTTCCGATTGAGAATATTGTGCACGCACTCCGGAGCTAGGGCAAAGCTAGCAATCGTATCGTCGATAAGGCCGACGGTAATTGTGGTGTAGTCTCGAGCCGCAGCGCAAGCCTCGATGATCGATTTATCTAGTGATGCGATCCAACCGATGCGCAGCCCGGCGAGACTGAACGCCTTAGAGACAGATCCTGTTACGATGGTTTTCTCGTAACCAAAGGAAAGAAGCGACGGGGGAGCGGCGCTCGCATCTTGGAAAAGGGGGCGGTAGACTTCGTCGGAGAAGAGGGTGATGGAAGAATTGCGAGCAATATCGACCAAGCTCTGGAGAGTCTCGCGCGAGATAACGGCTCCTGTGGGATTCTGTGGGTTGCTAGGAAAGCGGGAACATGGTTAGAACCCCAGTATGGCATCTAGGTGTTGAGGTTAAACTTACTTGATGATGATCATTTTGGTGTTCGGGCGGATGAGCCGTTTCAGATCCTCGATATCCAACTCCCAACCATCATCTTCCTTGGAATGCCAAAGACTAACCTCGGCCCCTAGAGATACGGGAACAGAGTATAGCTGCTGATAGGTTGGGTAATGGCAAATGACATGGTCTCCCGGCCCAATTAGTGTATATAGCAGAAGGAAGTTCGCCAGAATCGCGCCTCCCGTGATCAACACGTTTTCTTTCGGTAAGGGATTTTGTGCTTCGGCGGAGTACAAGGAAGCCAGATTCCCTCGTAGTCGGTCGGAGCCAGGAACTGTCCCATAGCCGATTGTGGAAGACTGGAGTTGAGCCCATAGGTTGTTGTCCTTGTCGTTAGAAAGTTCCTGGAGATCTTTGATCGAAATTGGCGCGCAGCAGGTTTCCGCAATGTTGTACTTAGCGCCTGTCTCATACTTCCCCATCCACTATCCTTGTCAGTATTTTTCATTCGTTTTGAGCGATCACATCGAACACCCGAGAGTGACAATGCAAATCATGAAGTGGAGTGTTGAAATTACCTGTTCGACCGTGAATGCCTCAATCTTTACCATTGTGCCTTGTATATAAGTTTAAGAGCCTGCGTTAGAAAGTCTTATGGTGTGTCCTGGCGAACAACCGGTCCTTTTATATTGGACGAAATGGGGGGCTGCATTGGTCAGCTGCGTATCGATCTCGGAAGACTTCATCTAAAAGGACTTCTGTATGTTGTATGTTGTATTCAGGTTAACAGAATATGGAGAAAAGAGTGGAGCTGCTCGATAAGCATTCGACGGGCTCGCCTGCCAAATTCGAACAATACCTGGTTAGCGTGGTTTGAACCGTGGGTCGCCTCAATAGTCCGAGCCTATTGGCGACTCCCCTTTCGTCCTAGGACCTTGGAAGCCGATGTTATTTTCACTATATCAGTAGGGAATCTTGGTGATCTTCCCCAGCTCTGAGTCAGAACCAGACTAAATAGATGGGTTCAGTTTCACGGCGGATTGAAGAGAAAAACTATCCGTCCATGTGATTTTCTATGGGATTCCTGAGAAAGGAGAATGCATCCGATGGTAAATTAGTCAAGAGAAAACAATAATTGTGAATGCCATTACTTAGTTGTCCTCGTCTCGCATGTGCATCTCGGATCTCCTGTGGTATTGTATTTTTCGATTTCATCGCCAGAAATCCAGTTCTTGTAGGATATGAAATCGATTCCTGAATAAAGCTCGGTGGATCGCATTGTTCAGTTCATAGATGCAAACCGAACTACAGATGTCATCATGCAATTCATTTTGATTATGGGAAAGACTTCATTCAGGGAATACTTCGTACAGAATTTGACAGAACATTTCATGCCAAGGTTCAAACCCCATCGAAGTGAGCAATCATTCCTGAATAGGATTCAGAATCCGGTATGTGGTATCCAAAACTCGCATCTCCACGAGAGTCAATCCCACAAACCTAAAGCATTCCCAACAATCACATGTAATTCCATTGGGCGGCCCTTATCCACCTCAAAAGGGATGCTTGGCCGGAAGGTTGACTCAATTGGATCGTGATTTATCATCACATTGACTAAATCGGGCTCAAGAACGTGCCTATCGAGCTTGGCAACGGCGACGATTTCTCTCATACGTTTTCGAATCAAGCCTTTTTACCCTCTAAACCGCCGAATAGTAGACTATTCAAGCTGTGTGATAGCATAAATCTGGTTGAAAGTACCATTCTAAATTAGTTTGCGCTGGTGATGAAACACAATTTCATCAATACCATTGGCATCAATAACGTTATTAGCGCTATAGATTTATGAGAAACTTGAAGTTACGCCTTCTGATATTCCCTTTACAAGGCCTGATTGTGAATGCTCAGCTACATTCAGTCATAGTCACTATACGTGATATGGGAATTATACTCATGCGTCCCAATATAACTAGCTCTAGAACCGACAACATTTCAATGGAATCTTTCAATCACGGGCGGTTCGATGATGTTATAAAATTGATCTCCGGGGTGCCTTTTAGGGTTACCACAATATAGTCAAATCTTTTACATTCCAAGAGTCTCCTTGTATCCGTCATGCAACATAGCGGGCTTACATTGCAGATAAATTCAAGAAACTCAGTTACATAAAGTCTTACTGAGTCACAGTAAACCTACGGGGTCACTTGCCTTTTTGAGAATGAGCTCGGCGGTTGCCTTGTTGATATCAAGCCTTTCGCGGCCAGCCGCTGCCGCTGTATCTGCGGCTAGCTAGACCTGCCAGCTCTTCTCCATCAGCAGGAATAGATCTGAAGCTTCATCAACCATGCTGCATGACGTATTCAAGCAATCCTAAAATCATAGCCTTGCAAAGTCTGTATTGATCCACTTCACACAATTGCTGTGAGTGGAGGTTTAAAACGACGTCAAAGGCCGTTCCTGGCCTTCCATTCCGCATCTCATCTTATTGGGACAAATTACGATCTAAAGATAAGGGATGGATAAGTGAAGAAAGATTAATATAAGCACCACTACAACACATATTCAATGACTATAAAAGACAGGACTTCGTTCTTAGCAAATGATTGTCTCGCGTGGGATATGGCCTTTACCGGCTGCTTTCCCTTCTTCAACGTCGAAAACAAAGCAAATCAAGGATTTGAACGAAAGTAATGCGGCGAGCAATAGAGAGAGGTGAGAGGAAGAAGTAGAAAAAAAGGATTTGGGTGTATTGTGATAGGTGGAGGCTTTGAGAGAACATTCTCCAGCCAAATGCAGGAATGTCTCCATCAGATATACTTGATTAGAATAGCTATGGGTGAATTTCGATCTTATAAATATATAGAAACAATTATTTATAGGCACACAGTAAGAGTCATGCAAAAGATCAGTGATTTTCCGTAAGCAGGAATAGAAAGAGGATTCTGGGCCCGTGAAGTGCCTAGTTAGAATGAGACAAGGGGCATGATCACTTAGTCTGCTTCTAATATTCACGGGTGTATCATCACTGAGTTTGATCTTGCTGGGAAACTTGTTCTTGGGGTCAGTGCTGCTCAGCATGGGCAGGACATCAAAAACCCGAAGCTTGTCAAAGGAAAACCGTTGTGGGCTCCCAGTAGAATATTTAACAGCGTAACCTGACAGCTCCCTATAACCATGAGAGCTGTAGGTTTGTGAGTCCTTCAGGATCTCACTAGAAATATATTTTTCTGTATTTACGGAGTTTGCAGCTTCGCGGTACTTTCTTTGCAATCGCTTGGTTGAGAAATCGTCTGACCCAAAGCCTTTGAATCAATTATAAGAGTCGTTGGAATCTCTAGCTTCTTTTGAGTTGGCGTCATGTGCTTCCAAACCTAGCAAATATAGGGTGAGAGCGAGGATAGCGAAACACTGCTCACAAGGCGACCAGGGTCAAGGAAGCGAAGTGTGCCAAGGAAAGACGCTCAGGGCTGGGACTTTTGTACTTTGACTTTGGACGACATGATTCGATAATGGCACGAGTAATTCGACATTGCCGACTCAGGTAGGGACTTAATTTGGCCTTAGGGAGATAGTTGTATATGCGCACACTGATGACAAGGAGGTCACTCTCCAGTGCGAGGGTCACGGTGATCTAATGCACATTTGATTTAGTTTAGGATCTGATAGTAATAGTAGAGTAAGACACCACTAAGGACAAAGTGAGAGCTCACTGGCTTTATTAGGTATTATCCTAGCTTTCATGTTTCCGAGAGTCATATTGAACGATTTCATATAGCCTGTTGGAGATGTAATGTGTTTACCCTGACGAGGCATATCTGGAATACAATAAGAGAGCAAGGCATGGTGCCATGTGAGACTATCCAATAAACAAGTTGATGAGCGAAGATATCCATGAGAAATTAAGAAAAAGAAAGAGGAGAGTGAATTCTTTCAAGAGCGAACTGAAGGTAAAAATTATAGTTATTGGAGACCTGATCTCCCAGGTATCAATAAGAGACAAACATCTCACTATAGTGATGGATAATGAGATAGGCAGTAGACTCTGAAAAGAAAGTTATATTCCATTTAACCGGGCCTCATAACATTGGGGAAATTGGCATCTACTTAATGTAAGGTTCTGTGTGTCGCCATCCTTTAGACCATCTGGGCGGACACTGCTAAGCTACGATCCTACAGAATTAACAGAATTGTGAAGTGAGAGTAAAAAGTCGATCCATTGTTGCATTTCATCTCCCCCTCCTCTTCTGAAACATTAAAAATTGCCAAAAGAATCCTCGCCCGTGGCTCAGTTCTCGGTGGCTTCCTCCACGGTCTCCCCGTCAACATCGGTATCGTCCTCGGCGACACCAGGCTCTTCAACAGGAGTTGACTCCTGCTCGGTTACTGCGTCCTTGTTGGTCAGGACAGATCTTTTTGTTCGGGGAGTACCCTTGATGCCCTTCATCTTCAGGCCGTGCTTCTGTTGCAAGCGAATATATCGCATGCGGCATGCGGCCTTAGTGATGCCAAGGGCTTTGGCAGCAGCCTCGTGGTCAACCTATAGTGAGATTTTGTTAGTATAATGTATCATCAAGCAGTTAAGCATCAAGTAACAGATAACTGACCTTCACGTTGCCGAGAAGGGTCAGGAGAAAGACTTCGTCACTGGCTTTGGTGACCTTTGGCTCAGTCTCCTCCGAGACTTTGGCCTTGCCCTTGTCCCTGGGGGTATGGATGACGCGAGCCATGATGCAGGTTTGCAGTGATTGATGTTTGAGATGAGATGATGAGATGATTTAGTGGTTGGACCAAAGTTCTTGATATTGTTAGACGAGAAGTCCAAGAGGGTATGTGTTGAAGAGAAGAAAGGAACTGAGAGAAACAAACAATTGGAGGGGCTTTTATACCTCTGGGTTTCGATCAAACGCGCGAGAATCAATATAACGAGTACTCATTTATGGATACTGTACCAATGCGACACTTCCCAATACGGTACATGTTAGAAGCTCGTAAAACGACCACATGCTTGTCACTATCTGTATCTCAAATACGCAAGCAGGAACACTCGGTTTGGAAACTACATCAACCCATTGTAGTCCCTCGAGACACCGACTTCTATTTGGGACTTGACTAGAGCTGAGATTTACCCTCCCATTGATCCCGACGGCGAGGCATCGTAGGTGACAGATCCCATCTCTGTCCATTGAGTGGACGAGCTAACATTACTTCCACTTTTCAGTTACATTCACGCTCGTTCCACTCTAGAACCCCTCCGTCTTCGAGATTAACGTCGCGAACATGCTTTCGAATCAGCTGCCTAGAAGCGAGGAGAATGAGGACGACCTCATAACTCATAAATCTTTCATTTACAGTAATGGGGACATCTACAAGGGCTCACAGTCTCTCAAATAATTGCCGGACTCAACCAGACGAAGTCTAGGCAGGCAATGCATGATTAAGGCATTCGCTCTTTTGCTACTGCTTTGCCTTCACTAACAGTCGAACCGATCGTTTTCCTTCAATAACATGCTGTTTCTCAGCGCCTGGGTTAGTCTCTGCCGTTCCGAGGTTAGAGTCGAATTCGTGGCGAGTTGAGATCCGGACGGATGATCTTGGGTATTTCACATCGTTCAAAGTCAAAGTACATGTGGACTACATCTATACTTGTGAATATGCAGTTTGTTACCACTCATCTCTAGTGTTAAGATGGATGGATTCATTATGCGACTATAATCGGCATGGCTTTTAGTGTGACAACATATGGAATTTCAAGACGAACTTGACAATAATAAAATAGTAGTTTCCTTCGGGTCACTGTGTACTAGTTACTTTACAGGATATGAAAAATTGAGCCATATAGGTATGTACCATTATGTCCTACGTCATTTGAGGCTCTTGCAATTCGTCTGCAGGGGCATCCTCAGGTACCCACATGTGCTCCACTTTTAACCTTAATCTTAGGAGATTGATACAGAGACTTCCTAATTCAGTGTCGCACCCGATTAGGAAGGCGGTACTAAAAATTCAGGCAGGGGGTTGTTTCTGTATCAATCCCCTAATCTTAAGATTGAGATAAAAGAAACGCATGAACAAACAATGAGCAAGACAGAAAACAAACGGCAGACCAAGGCTACATCAAACAGCAGGGAAAAAATGAGAGAATACACCCACACGTTAGCTAATTTCAGGTAAACTAACACCGAAGGGCATATAATATATGCAGTCAATGTTAACTTTGAGGAAATGAACACTATGTATCCAGCATTGATTCACTATATGAATTATCCATTATGCCATGTATCCTAACCATCCATCTCTGGTACGCCCTTTGACAACATTGTATGAGTTGATCTGCAATTGGTTTCTTGCCCGATATGCTCGCAGTGTATGTGCCCCACATGATAAACTCAAAGGGCCTTGGCTGATGCCTCTATATCCTCAGTCTTCTTGATCTGATGAGAAGGAAGTCTTTTGAAGGGAATTAAAAGGGAAAAGACCACGGTGAGAACAGTACCGGCCAGGGCGAAGGCAAAGACATCCTTGATACCAGCCATATATGCCTCTCGAACCAAATTCAGCTGTTCACCCTTGTACAGGTTTGCGATATCTGAGACTCCAATGTGCAAGATCTCTGCTGGATCGATTTGAGGAGCAATTCGTGCCAAAGTCTGCAGCAGGTAGTTGTTGAAGATAGAATTCGCAGCCGAAACAAAATAAGCTCCGCTGATAGATTGGGCCACTGAGAGAGGAAGTTAGCGGAGAGGATCGATGCCAATAAGATTTTCTAGTACTCACTGAAAGCTACCCCCGTTATCGCTGCTACGGTTTCTGGCGTCGCGAAACCCTGGAGCGCCGTCACCGGAACCTGGTTTCCTAGACCAATTCCGAGCCCAAAGGGAATCTGAGCGCCGATATACCATGCCTTCGAGGTGTCGACGTCGATACAGTAGATCAGGGTGGCGCCAAGAACAGCTATGAGTCCACTAGTAAACTCGATGGGTTGTAGGAAGCGGGTCTTCCCAACAATCCCACCGCTGACTATAGCCCCGCAAGTATAGAAGGCCATGAACGGAAGACAGTAGACGCCACTTGTGATAGCGGACATGCCATGAACAGCCTGGAAGTAAATAGGAAGATAAAACAGTATCTGAAAGTTGGCTAGGTTGGCACTTGAGAACAAAATCGGAAATTAGCTCGAAAGTCAAAGCAGACAAGACTTCTGGGTAAAAGGAAGCATAAACCATACTCACATGAACGCGTATAAGAGCTGGGACCATGTAATACGGGCGGACAGCATTTTCAAGGGCATGAGAGCGTACTCGCCCTGGAACCACTCGACAACCACAAATGCAATCGTCAAGACAACCCAGACAATCAAGGTGGCAATAACAGAACCATTGCTCCATGGTTTCCCCATGCCGCCCCATTCCAGAGCTAAGGTCAAGCAGATGATTGAGATGAATAGCAAACTCCAGCCGGGGAGATCGAGATGCAGTAGAATCTCCTTCCACGTCGCAGGGGTGGGCTTAATGTGTTTCGGCATTCGCAAAAAGAGAAACTGTAGTACGATAGCTGTGCCTCCCACCGGAAGGTTCACCCAAAAGCACCATCTCCATGTAGCCTCAGTCGTAAACGCGCCGCCTATTAAAGGGCCAATGGTCGTGGCAACCATAAAGACACCCATCCATAGGCCGATGAGCATGGGGCGAGTCTTAGGGTGTGCCGTGAAGTTGATAATTAGAACAGAGCCACCGAGGGTGCCCGCACATCCCCAGCCCTGTAGAGCTCGACCCACGATCAGCGCAATGCTGGTAGGTGCGGCCGCGGCCACGATACTTCCAATCAGGTATAAGGCAAGTGCTGTCATATACGTCCATTGAGCTGAGAAGTATTTGTACATCTTACCCCATGGGGCGGAGGTTGTGCCGACGAGAAGGAAACAGGCACTGCTGTACCATCCGATATCGCTAAGTGCGTGAAAGTCACTGGTGATTTTCGGAATAGCCGTGGCAACGATCCCCTACAGATCGAATCGATCATGTTAACTTCGTACAATAATCAAACAGCGTAGTACTATAGACGTGAGTAATACTAACCAGGTCCAAAGCTGCGATCAGGGTACTGAGACTCAAAGTGGCCATGATAATCATCAAGCGGAAGGACGTCGCGTACTCCAGGTCTGATTCCTGGTCCAAGTCCTGGCTCAAGTCACCAGTGCCCTCGGTCTCATCGCTTCCTCGTTCCTTGATTCTGAGGTTGCTAGTTTCAGGCGAATGGCCTGCTTCATTCTTGTTGAACTCTGAATGGGAAGTGGGTGCCGACATATTTCACGTTATTGCCTGGCGATAGTATAGTAATGCTCAAGTTATCTGCCATTTTGAGACATATTTGAGGAGAGCAGTTTATATTTATGCAGCCCTGAAGCCCTTTTAAACCCACAAACTTCATTGCAGCGGACAAATAGCGTGAATGATGCGATGTATGAATCCGCCGATATCATGGCGGAGTATGTAATTATCGAACAAGGCCGGTGGTGAGCTTACCGCACTTTTGTCCGAATATTACCGGAGTACGATAGGTTTTAGACAACATCGTGCCAACCGACCAAGCAGAAAATTACCTAGGTAGTAATAAATTAAATCAATAACCCATGCCTATAGCCTAGGGCACGAAGGTATTAATGCCTTCTAAAAAAAACTATCTAGAAAGAGATAAAAAAGAGTATCTAAAAAGACCATCTAAAAAGACATCATAAGGCCGCAAACACAGCCGAATATCTATACCATACATTGCTATACACGAGATTTCTGTCAAATTATTTATAATGGCGCGATGGCGTCTAAAACCTGTCGTACCGGAGATCTCGTAATTTACGGTCACAAAAGATGATAACACCACTGCTCCGCCGCATTTCCGGAGGTCCAAGACTCTAGAAAACCCATCATGCTCATGCCCTAGTGCTCAAATCACTTAGTTCCTTTTTATCGATCACCTGAATCTGGATCATTTGCCTGCGAGAAAACATATCGCCAGGCTATACGAACTACTTGTGTGCATCAACGTGCAAGCCACCAGATACACATAACCCATCATGGACGCTACCCCTGCTCAGCGTATAGGACAAGCTCGCAGAAATCCCACCATCGACCTAGATGATTGGGATTCAGCGGTGCCGTCCAGACGTAAGAAACCTCGAAGAGGAACACGCAGCTGCTGGGAATGCAAGCGACGAAAGATGAAATGTGTATTTGATAGCCCCGATGACGCAGTCTGCGTTAGCTGCCATAGACGTTGGACCAAATGCGTGAGTCAGGAGTTCCCCGAGAAAATGTCCACCCCTTTGGACAACAGTCAGTTACGGGATCGCCTGCGACGAGTGGAGTCCCAACTTGACCAATTTCTTGCTGCGGGCGACAATGGCCAAACAAAGAACCCAGATCGACAGCTAGACCACGGTATCCCAACCCCGACCTCGGTGTACAAAGGTCCCTCAAAACATGCGCCTCCTGCATCGCATCAGCCCAGCCATACCCCGGCCGAGGATGAACGTTCTCATGACCATCTCAATCTCGACAGGTCATTCCCTGCCAATGTTGGCGGTACTTCCAGGGCAAATGCATTGTCTCAGACTCTCTACAACTCCTTGCCCTCGCAGGAAGATACCGCGAGAATCCACAGGGCCAGTGCTCGCCACAATTTCATCCCATTTCATGAAATCCTAACCACACCGTACGGTATTCTTGACCGGGATGGCTTTCGGTCCCAAAGCCGCCTTCTTGAGATACCGGGCCCGAACGTAAACCCAGTTCTCATAGCGCATCACATGCTGCATCTAGCGAGCTTCCTCCAGCACCTGAACCCCGATCTTCATGAAGACCTTCGGGATCTCTCGGAGCCTCCACAAGTCATACGCGAACGACTAGCGGATAAAGCAATCAATCTGGTGACCACCAATGATAGGTTTGTGGGCAGCATTGAATTTCTAGAATGCGTTATGATTGAGAGCCTGTATCAAGGCAATTGTGGATATCTACGACGAAGCTGGAGGGCTGTGCGGAGAGCCATGACTATTGCGCAGTCGATGGGGTTTCATCGGTCGGGGGGCCGTCCTCAGTACAAGCTTCTCCATCCGGAGACCAAGGCGTACCCACACTTCATGTGGTTCCGCATTGTCTCATACGATCGACAGATGTGTCTTATGCTCGGTATGCCGCAGGGGGCCACCGATCGGAGTATGGCGTCCGACACGATGCTCGACGATTCGGCCAGCGGTCGTCTTGAACGAATCCATTGTGTCATCGCATCACGAATTTTGGAGCGCAACGAATCCGACTCGGCCAGCTATGATTATGCCTGGACGCAGGACGTTGATAAGGAGCTGCAGCGATCCGCCCGGAGCATGCCAAGTCGATGGTGGTTGGTCCCGAACCTCAGTGGTCAGACGAAAGACTCACAGGCCTTGTTCTGGGAAATGCGGCGACTGTCAGAACAATTATTTCACTACAACCTTCTCAACCAGCTTCACCTTCCCTACATGCTTCGCGAATCGGTTGAGCGTAAATTTGATTACTCTCGAATCACTTGTGTCAACTCCTCGCGAGAGATCTTATCCCGCTTCATCATGCTGCGCCGCTGGAACAAAGTAGCTTTTAGTTGCCGCACCATCGACTTCACCGCATTAATGGCCGCCATGACCCTGGTATTGGCACATTTGGATGGTCATCGCTCCTCCAAGGTTGACAATTTTCTCGCCCCCCAATATTTGAGCGACCGTGCCATGATTGAGCAGGCACAAGAAAACATGGAGGAGCTCAACCGTCTGAACCCCGACACTCTGAGTGCACGAAGTGCTCAATTGCTGGACCGGTTACTCGCCATCGAGGCCAAGGCAGCTGAAGGTGACCTCCAAAGTGCCCAAAGCGTAAGCGTACAAGCGCCCCATATTGAAGAATCACAACCGGACGACTCGACAATTTCTGATAAACACGACTATATCCCATATTTTGGGGTCATTAAGACTGCGGGCGAGAGTCACGCTGACGGGATAAGTTCACAATATGTGCCACCGGCAAACCACCAACAGAGCAAATCTCCGGTCATCATGCGAGCAGGGACGGATGCAGAGACGCAAGCACAGCCCACCTCTCTTGCAACATCAGTACCTCCAGATCCCTATAACAATACCTACTGTAATAAAATCAACAGCAACGGCAGCAACAATAACGTCACAGCCCTCTTTGCGCCGCTACTCTCGGAGGTTCTCTCGGATGATCCCATGCAGGAGTTTGAGTACCCTGGGACGGCAGCTAAGATTGATGACGATCCATTTCAATATCTGGACTTGGCTTTCTTGGATAACCTGATGAGAGGCACAGAGGAGGATGGGCAAGGTAGCGCATAATAGGCCGCGGTAGAAAAGCGCAACATCTATGCCATCTGCATGTAGACGTAAATTACGTGCTTGATGCACATAGGTAACCAGATATTTATGAGATTTATCTCATAAGGCTGCTTGCTATTGTTGACAACATCATATTAGTTTGGAATTGTATTTGTAACGGTGGTCCAAAGCGGTTGGCTCTCACAATATCTTAACACTCTTCAAGGAATCAACTCTCCTCAGAGAGGCAGTTTCTGTGATTGCATCCTCTGGTCATTTAGTAACCACTGTTTCCATACAAGAAAGCAACTACCTACAGATAACCACGATGATCATGATCTACACTAATACCGGTGGCTCAAATGAGTGTGTATTCCAACGCTGAAGTAAGAATATATTCAAATCTAATACCTGACAAAGAGCCTGCGCGTAATTCATAAATAATAAATCGTCTCGCAGACCCGAATCTAACAAACGAAAAACCATTTCAACAAATCTATCCTATGACCCGTAACCCATATATCCTGTATTATATACAGTACTGGGCACTTGAGTCAATCAATCCCAATACATCAAATCCTCACCCCCAGTTTTCGATATGCACAAAGCGCGAGAGCTATCTTGTATGCAGCATCAAATATCAATCCACATCACAGGTTCAAGTCTGAACTCAGCGCAGCAATAGATGGTAAGGAACCACCCAGTCGCTCAGCTACTCAGTATTTACTGAGGGGAGGCTGAGAGAGGGGGGCCAGTAGGGGTGGGAAGGCCAGTGGAAAACTCCTGGAGCTTCTCAAAGGGAATAGAGAAGGGCAGGTCGGTGGGGAAACCGGAGGGGAAGGCACTCGGAATTCCACTAGGGATGGGGAAGGGGAGCTCTGTGGGGAATTGGCGCTTCTCAAAGCTACTGGGGAAGCCGCTAGGGAAACCGCTAGGGAAACCAGTAGGGAAACCAGTAGGGAAACCGGTGGGAGTGGGGAATCCCGAGAAAGGAGGGCCGGTGAGAGTCGGGAAGCCACTGGGAGGTCCGTTGGGGGGAGGGCCCTGGTGGCCGTGTCCCCAGTGCAACTGACGCTTGTCGAAGGGGAGGCCGGTGGGCTCAGGGAACTCAGTGGGGAAGCCACTGGGGAATTCAGTGGGGAAACCACTGGGAATTCCGCTGGGGAAGCCCGAAGGAGGAGGACCAGTGGGAGTTGGGAAGCCGCTGGGAGGAGGTCCGTCTGGGAACTGGCGCTTGTCGAAGGGGAAGCCGGTGGGAATAGCTGTGGGAATGCCCGTGGGAATGCCGCTGGGGAAGCCGCTGGATAGGGTGGGCGCATCACTAGGGGCGCTGGCGAAAGGAGGGGGACTCTGAGGCAGGGAGCCGATGAAGTGAGGAGGACCCTGGGGCAGGGCGAGGGCACAGCCCATCATTCCCATAGCAGCGATGCCGGTGTACTTCATTGTGATTGGTATAGATTAATTGGAAGATATATCGAAGTAAAGAATGGAGAGATTTGAATCGAAAATCAGACTCAGATATATGGGTTGTATATCAAAGACAGATCTTATAGTTTGAAGAAAATTATAGGAGGGCCCAGGACGGGTTTATAAGACTGCCGATTTATTAGGCTTGTTGATCTGGGAGCTTGGTCCTATGCCGAAGTGGATTCCGTGATCGCGCCATGACTTCAGTGTGGTTGCCTCGTCGGAGGCTGCACTGGCCAGAAAGTGGACTGGCCGGACGACGATAGTACCCTGAAACGGTAGGAGTGGGCTTGTCGATCTTAACTCGAGGGACCTTAGGGTCTGCAGGGACCAGGCACAAAGCACCCGTGGACGGGTAGAGGTACATGCCCTGTAGCTGAGGCATTTTCCTTCAAGCCTTCGCTGGCCAGCCAACGCGTAAAAAAGGTAAAAAGTGGTTCTGGTGCGTTCGACGAGGCAAGTATCGACGGTATGGTTGAGCTACAGACGCCACACCCAGGGACCAAACAATAGTGCGACGATCATCTTCCGTGTGCAGAATATCACAAAAAGCAAATCGATGATTGTCGGGATGGTCTGACTGCATCAAATGCCTTCCTTCGAATCCTTCGTACCTATCGGGCTCGCAACGTGGTACGGCCGAGAATTCTCACTCGGCACCAGCGCGCCTGGCGCCAGTTGCCCCTTTTTTGAGGCTGTAGCACATCATGTCAGAGATGATGTGCTCATACCTCCATTTTCCAGCTTCATCATACTTTGTCCGTAACATAATGGCTGGTTATTCGTTTCATGTGAATTGATTTCGCCACATCGTGCGTATCAGGAAGGCTGATACACAGTCTGTGTCAGGATATGCTGGTTGTCCACGGGTGAGGGTGGACTCAAGGTGGCTGGAAACGGTTGGGAGAGCCACAGATTGATAAGTGAGGACGAATGGTCACCGCCTGATCGGCGAAGTGGAACACTTCTGGACCAATATTTTCTGAGTTGGGAACTTTTAGGCTGGTTTTGCATCCGCAATGGAGACGCGCGCAGAACGATTCAAAATGATAGTCTCCCCAAGGTTGAGTTGTAATGTTCCACTAAAAGACAGAAAACATTGCCTGTTTCTACAGAAGTTCGAGAACATAGAGATACAGGCCGCAGTCTTGGAGATGGCCTGGAACATCAATCGATGGCCGAGTCGTCGTCAGCCCTGAGGTGAATGGGGTCTAACTGGCCCACAGTGGGCCCCGTGACATCGAATCGACGTTGAGAGTTGACACTTCCACTCTGCCCTTAAAACACTTGCAACATGGACATCACGACAAAATATGGACCTGTTTCGTATTTAGATTCAATATATCGGTATATCGACGTGTATCTTACATCCATGGATTGCACGGACGCGTGTACGGAGTAGGTACCGCATGTATCCATCATCCATCATCCACCATCCGAACTTGCGAAACTGCCGATTGTTTCCTCATGTTGATTTGCCTTTTCACTCCACTAGCTTCTTTTTAGTTGGCTATACACCAACGGGGCCAAGCATTTTTTGTGACTATTAAGCTCACTCAGCGGCATGTTCTCGGGACTTGTGCTAGGAAACAGCTTAGTTTCAGGGCTATTAGCGCTGACGGTGGAGTCTCATATTAACCCTAGAATGTTGAATAGTATATTCCGTACGGAGTATCCTTATTTAAGTTTAAAATATGGCTAGCCGTTTGAAGCTTTAAACTCAAACTTCATTTCATCTGGGGGTTCAACGCCCCACGGTGTGTACGTGGAAATTTTCCCCGCTATATACAGAAAACCGCCGTATACATGTCATAATTGATAGATAGCAAAAATGAAACGGGAAGGGAAGAAGCAAGCACCGCGAATCTAGCGGGTTCACAGAAACGGAGGGAAATCCAAGAGGGGGTCTAGTATGAGGACGTCGGATTGAATGGACAAAGAGAGGAAGTCTAACCGAGCCAAGAGATGTAATGGATGCTTAGGCCTCAGGTGTACGGAGTACAGGATCGCAGAATCGACATAGATCAAAAAGCCTTCCGGTCTAAGTGTCCTACATCGTGCAGAGTACGGGGCCACAAAATTAGTTTGATTTCAGGGGCGAGCTTATATGTGTCAAGGAGTCCGGAGTCTGCGACCCGCGACTCCTGAAGAAGCGAAGAATGGAGGATTAACTCTATATTCCTCAATGCCGCTGTTTGCGCATTAGGGAGTCAGGCGAGCTCGGATGGACTGTTGGCGTTGGAGTCATACTGAGCAGATGGCGGGACGAAGGTGGTACGGTCATGGAGAGATCGCGAGCCGACGGCGTATAAGCCTGCTTTGAGGAACTGAGACGAGCCGTAGCGGAATAATTGTAGGCCGGGGTAGAAGAGAATGAGGATCGTCGGGACTGGACGGGGCTACGGGGTGCGTGGCTCGCAAGTGCTCCACCAAATGAAGATGAGTCCAAAGACGCTCTGTGACCCGCGAGTTTGGGACGAAGCATGTATGATCTTTCGACCTCGTCGTCGCTGCTTGACCCGATGTCGAATATCGCTCCGTTAGTGAAGGATACCGAGGATGTGCGGCGGTGGGTCCTTGCTTGGGTTGAGATGAGGATTGACTCACTCGACTGCGAGACAGACGGGTTCTCTAGTGATACAGTGCTTCGTGCCTTTCTCAGTTCCCGGGCTGGCTGATGCCGTGGTTGCCCGTCCGAGTGCCTCTTTTCCAGCTCGGGGCTGTGGGATCCTCTTCGCCTGTCGCGATAACGTTTCCTTCCGCTGCTGTCTGCCGAGTCAATCGAGTGACGGTTACGGTTTGGCATACGTAGATCAACCTGGCTGGGGCTGAAGACCACCCGGGCCCGCATGTTTTGAATTGCATTATCGAGTGCCAGCTCAATGGCGCAGTGATTTCGGATACGGCTTAGTCTCGGCCATGTCGCCCGCTCGCCACTTAGGCATGCTGAAAGCATGAACTCTGTTGTTGGATTTTCCAAAAGGCGTGGGAAGTTGGAGGAAATGAGCTCCGGGTATATGTTGATGTCTCCATGATATTTTTGGTTCACAATTGAAGCAAACTTGGTCATTGATGTTGGGAAGACTCCAAGTTCCGAGAGGACGTTCATCCGATGCAGAACCTCGTCTTTGGCAAGGTGTGTCATCGTGTTCATCCATCGAGGGATGAATGAAGGGCCGTCGTCTGTCTCATTCTGTGGGCCTGTTTCCTTTGGAAGGAATGGCACCACATGGGGGTTAACTTGGGAGACAATGAAATGATTCACATTAAACATCTCTGATAACCGTGTCATAGGCAGATCTCCATCAACAGAGCCATCGATATACTGTTTGTGAAGATCATTCCACGGGACTGGTTCCCCTGTCAGTGGATCTTTAGCCATTAACGTGAATGGCCTGAAGACAAAGGGAACAGAGCATGATACCGCCCTTGAGAGACATTAGAAATGGTTTGATAGTATGAAAAAGGGGGAACTTACACCGCAGACCAAATCAACACATTGGGCGCAGAAATATAGTTCAACAGCCGTGGAAGCTCATACATGCCGGCACTCGACACACAGATATTGAGGATTCTGCGGGTGCGGTTATATGCTTCCTGAAAGGTCATATCTCCAAGCCAGTTCCTGATAGTCTTCGCCAAGTGGGATATGTCAAGAAAGGATCCAAACTTCAAAAAACGAGTCATCTTCTGCAGGATGTTTTCCTCTTGGCCCTTCTCATTAAAGACGTCAAAATCTCCATGTACGTAGGTATCCAAAAGTGCCGGCAGCTCTTCATCTGTGCGCGTGCAAAAGACCGCGCATACAATGCTACCAGCAGAGGCGCCTGAGATAATTCGAGGGATCATGTTTGCCTCATAGAGTGCCTTGAGAACTCCGATGTGGGTCATTCCAAAAGTGGCACCACCGGAGAATAGGAGCGCACTGCGACCAAATGCCTGTCGAGCTGCCAGCAGCTGGTCCAGGATATACTTCAGCTCCAGGCCATCGCAGCGATCATGCACCGACAGATCTACCAGCGTGGCGATGGTCTCCAAAGCTGTGGTAATGTACCTGTCAATCAAGTCCTTGGTGCCGATATGCGAATGGCGATAGAGAGAGGCATTGCTCATATGCGCCAGATCCCGACTCAGCGCAGTGCGCACCAGAAACAGCATCCGGCTTACGTCGCAGCTGATGCGAGCATCTTCCAACTGTCGCAATCGATCCTGTACCAAGCGAGGATCATATTCGGTGGAATCGAGTGTCTGCTTCCAGGCATTGTTGTTCTCTAGTTCATCCAGTTCGATGGCGCAACTTCGCCATTCCTCGTACGATACAGCCTGGAGCCAAAAGGTTAGAAATGGTCACTCTGCAGATGCGATCGCCCGTCCCAGGTACACCGCGTGTACTTACATTCTTTATTTTCAGATATAGGACTTGTTTGCGATCCTCGATGTCCGCCCTTTGTTTCCGCTCTTCCTTGGAGAGGCCATCACGGTAGGTGTGCAGAGTATCACCGGCCCAGTTCCACGAATCCCTCACAAGCGATGATACAACTGGGATGGAGATTGTTTTTCGGAGGCGCCGCGGGGGTGAGGGTTGGGATAAAGGGTGCTCTTGAGAGTGTTTGCGGCCATGATGGCACTGAACTATTGTGGGGTCGCCCAACACCGACATAGCAGGCCTGTGCATTGGGGAAGCAAGCCATCCAGCCGGGGTATGAAACGCGGAGATCTTTTAACTTTAAACTCGTAAAATAAGAACCAAAGTAAATGAGTTGTAAAAGTAGAGATATTCTACAGAATTGAAGTCAAAGTTTGGCGGTGACCTAACAAACGTCACGAGGACCAATGGTAGCCAGTTTCCTCAGGCTTTTTTTTGGCTGACCACTTTGGTTCCTTGTTATGACGATTTCACTCTTACTCGATTCCTAGTGGACTCTATTAATCCAAGTGGAGATATTCAATTTATAATATTTCAGCTTGTTTGGTCTCCTGTAGCCGATAATATCATAAGACCGATTTTTTCCCCATGATCTCACCCCACGATCATCTACCCCATGCCGAGTGGGGAAGCATATAATATTTCCCTACAATGTATACTGATAGATTTTTCATAATTTCTCACTTTTTTCTCAATCGATTCTCAATAGAGATGCCTCTAATTTCTTTTTGTGTAATTATTGGAACATAATGTTCTCAAATAATTGGGCATCAACCTCGTGGAGCCCTGGCCGGGGGCTTCTTCACATGCCGCTTGCATGTGAGCCCCCAAGGGCTGATTTTCGCCTTCCTATGTCATCCTTTGAGATTGTGTCGCTACAATGAATACGTATACGGAGAGTGCTGAATATAATTGGACAGCATAATAATCAAAAGCAGAAGGTTATCATATTTCACGGAGCCACTCCTTAAGTGCATGTCTTGCCCGCACCTCGACCCCATTCTCGCGCCAGAAGTGGCCTGCCCCATCGATCATCCGAAATTGGAACTGACTGCATGGCATGTGCACCATATCGCCTGACCACCTCTCCAATTTCCCAACGGAGGTAAAGGTATCCTGGTCCCCAAACAGTGCAAGGGTGCGATGCGTGCTCTGTTGGTCTGCTGGACGCGGGCAGGGGATGTGAGAACCTTTAGGCGTCTCCGTTTTCAAATTCAGCGATAAGGTCGAGAATACAGTCAGTAACTGGCTAATTGGGGGCAATAGCGGAGACACGAGCAGATAGGAGATGGATGTCGTCAATGCACGGAGGTCTGGGGAATCGGTCAGACTGTGACTCATTTGAAGTTGCTCCAGGGACAATGCGGCTATTCGTTTTGCTGTGCTCTTAATCTCTTGTATGGGCGTTGCTTTGTTCGTAGAGATTGTCGTTGACGCGGATTGGAAAAGGTCGAGCATAGTATCCAGAGTCGGTACATGTGAGGCAATCAAAGATCCATATGAATAGCCACCAAGAATCACATGGATATCTGACTTATTCTCAACTTCTTCTGTGCTTTTGGGGGTCCTTAAAGAGTCTACTTCCCCCCTCGGGGCCAATGCGAGCTTGAGGAAGTGCAGATATTGCAACATGAATCCGTAGAACGACACGTAATCACCAAGCTCAGGCTTTGAAGTCCAGCTTGTTCTTCCTTCAGAATCACCAGCTCCCCTATATGTCATTTGTTAGCAACTTGGTCATGACAGGGTGGTGGTAGTGTATGATTATACCGAAAGTTGAAGGTCCCCACGATGCACCCGGCTTGTAGAAGCTCACTACCGATGAAACTCACGACTGGATCATCGTAGCATCCTCCTAGAGTTGCATATGGATGCGCAACAATGGCACCGCGGTTGAACCAGGTTGTTGCTGATTGTATATTTTGGAGCGCGGGCGGGAGATAAATGCGGCATTCGAGCTTGTTGCCATCGTAAACAGACGGGAGGAAAAAAGAGAAGCTTGCTGACGGAAGATCCATGGCTTGGTTTTATTTATTTCATATTTCCTGGTATTGATTGCTTTGAAATGCCACGCTTACAGTGTGCTGTTAATCTGAAAGAGGTCGAAGGTGCGGCGAGGTTTTGGTGGGCCGCCCACCCCAATGATTCGGAGACCATCTACTAGACACAATTAGAACATCCCCTTTAGAGCCAAGTGTAAAAATACGGGTGTATAGCGAGAAATATAGTGATCCAATGTATCTATAAATATGTAGGAAAACACTAGAAATACATGTATACCGCGAAAATATGAGATTACCACTTGGCTGGAAGATGCTATGTAGATCGTGTAGATTTGGGCTATTATTTATTTAAACATGTACTAGGTGCAACGATCATGTCAGCCATGACGGATCTGGTTCATCATCTTCTTCCGACCTGGCATCTGAATGATGGAGATCTGCATCTCTGAGTAGATCGGCTGGAGGTTCTGGGTCGTCATTTTCCAGCTGACCAGCGTGGGAGTCCTCATGACCCTCCTCCAAAATGTGGTCAATCAGAGGAGAATCTTTGGGAGAAGTAGAGTTCAGGGGTGCATCCTCTTCATGCAGCGGGAGGCCGAATGCGGGAAGCAGCAAGCCCCTTGCTTCTCGCAAGGCCTCTAGCTCGGCTGCAATGCAGCAAACTAAAAGCTTCCAGTCCTTATCCTCGGCGAGCTCCAGATGTGATTCGATCCGGTGAGTGGTTCTTTCCAAGTCATCCAGAATACTTTTCACGAGTCCTTCTTTGTAACCTGGCGATGTGGATCCTCCCGACTCGGTCGTTGATGTGGTCATCTCAACATAATGTCGCATGTTGGCTTGTAAGCGCTTCTCAAAACCAGTGACATCGGATACCGCTTGTTTCCATACTCCACCTCCTTCCTCCAGTGCCAGTATTTCCGCATCCACTTTCTGTTGCCTACTGTGCAAAACGACTTGTTCGGTGTTCCAATGCTCCCGGGCCATGTCAAGTGTGCGACGTTTGGGGTTCAGAGAGTGAAAGGTAGGTTCGCTTGAGCTTTGCGATAACGGTTGAATAGGAGGGTCACGGAGGTAGTTTCGGATGTCGGAGTCGAGTATAGACAAAGATTCAGTATAAGAAGAAAGCTTGGCATCAACCGAGTTGTTGATGTCTGATATCTCGTTCACAAGATGGCGATGTTTAGCCTTCATCTCATACAGCCTGGTCTCCAATTCATGAATGTCAGTCTCAAGGTTCCGAGCTTCTTCTTCTAGTTGCTTTGAACGTCGGCTCTCCTCATCTCCATGTATAGTAGTAATAGCGTCTTCTAGACCAGTTCTTCTCGAGAGGAAGCTTTGAATATCATGCAGTGCGTTGTCTCTTTCTTTGGTCTGATACATGAGAATCTCTCGTTCTTCTTCTCTTAATTTCAGTAGATCATATATTGATTGAAATATGCCCTCTCGGGCAGCCCGAAGCCCGATCTTCTTGGGCACAGGCTGCCTGGTGGGCACTGTGAGAGGGGAGTGTGATCGGCTCGCATTAGATGACAATGTTGGAGTCAAAGTTCCATTTGAGACATCATCTGCTTGAGGCCCAGAGAGAACAGAGAGAAGGCCTTCGCTTTGAGCATCGATCAGGACTTGGAGATTGCGTTGGATGTGTTTGGTCTGACGTTCAACGTGTAGGAGAGGGTCATGGTGGTACATAGAAGCTCCAGCCGGCACAGGTGGCAGCATTTTATCACGAAAAGATTGTTGAAGAAGCGTCGACATGACAGAGCAAGGAGCGTGGATGGCCAAGCTTCAACCAAAGGAAGAGTTGGAGCTTTGTCGCGGCAATTCTGGGTAGGAAGACTATTTAGTAGGTTTAGTCCAAGATCTGACCAACTCTTGAAATCATCACCGGATTAGAAAGAAATAATCCATTTGCCAGCTGATGCTGAACTGTTTATCGCGGACTGGGGCCGCTCGCAGCTGACCGAGCGCCATCCACGTGATCCTTCATGTACAGTCAGCTCCGCTCAGGCGTTGACGTTGCTCTCGCGCCAGCAAAGCTTCTGACAACTGCTCCCAGCTTCCATTTGTACGTGCACTTCATCCATTTCGTCTCTTTCATTTAATCAACCTTTGTCTTTTATTGTCATCTTCTCATTATTTGGGGTGACTAATTCTCCCTTGACACCTTGTTCTGCGCTGGGGCTGACTCGCTGTTTCAAGCTCTCCCGATTGACGTTGCTTCATCACAACAGCAACAAAACACCTATTACTCCTCGAAATTCCGTCCAGCAAATCGTGACGCGAATCGTTTCTCAATAAAGATGGTCGGACTCGTATCGGCCGCCGGTTTGGTTGGCTTCCTCTCCGAGCCTGACCCAGAGCTCAAGGTCTTTGCTTTGAAGACATTAGATTCTCAGATCGATCATCTCTGGACAGAGGTTGTCAACGCTGTTCCTGAAATGTGAGTTTGTTTTGATTAAACTTGTGAGAATGAGCTTCATCTCGATTGTTGCGTCATTTCTCCCGAGTTCGACCGGCTACTAGGCCCCTGCTGACTATCCATCTAGTGAGGCTCTCTACGAAGATGAATCATTTCCGGAACGTGGCCTTGCGGCACTAGTCGCATCAAAGGTATATTATCATCTGCAGGAATATAACGAGAGCATGGTTCTTGCTCTAGGTGCCGGAAAGCTGTTCAAGTTGGAAAACGGCGGCGAGTATGAGGAGACCATTATCGGTATGTTAAAGAGGATCAGCAGCATTGGCTCTTTCTCTTTGATACTAACATGTTTCTTCATGTAGCGAAATGCGTCGATACCTTCGTCTCTCTATCTGCCGCCCAACGGCCTACCGCGGGTGACCAACCCGCCAATCTGAACACTGCATTCCCAGCATCGGGCGACGGTGCCACCAGCACATCCGCCAGTCTCACTTCTCCTATCACACCTTTCTCCAAATCCGCACTTCCCTCGAAATCGTTGCTTTCTCGCGCGGAGGTTCCCGGCGTGGACGCCGCACACCCTGGTGGCGATGACACTAGCGTTCAGCACGAGGAAAACTCCCTTGTTTTGAAGCGCGGTGTCCAGAGTCAATTGCAGACCGTTATTGAGCGATTGTTTGAAGCATGCTTCCGACAAAAGCGATACCGTCAGGTCATTGGAATCGCCATCGAGGCAAAGAACCTGGATGTGCTCCGAATGGCCATCCTTCGCGCCAGTAGCGACGAGAAGCAGGATGAGGGTGACTCACGTGGCAGCGAGGAGCTCATGGAATACGTTCTGGACATCTGCATGGGCATTGTTCAAGAGCGAGCCTTCCGCAGCGAGGTTCGTGCCCCCCGAAATATTTCTACTTCATTGGCCCGTGTCGGCTAACCAAGACTTGATTTCCTAGATCCTCAAACTAATTTTGGAACTTCTTAATGAAATCCCGGCACCTGACTTCTTCTCGATCGCTAAATGCGTCGTCTACCTTAATGAACACTCGATGGCCTCCGCTATTCTTCGCCAACTGGTTGAGAAGGGAGACGCGCGATCCCTCGCCGTTGCCTATCAAATTTCCTTCGACCTTTACGACAACAGCACCCAAGAATTCCTTCAGAAGGTTCGACAAGAGATTGCTGAGCTTGTTCCCGAAGATGAGAACGAGAAGGAAAACAATGAAGAGGACAATGAGCCAAGCGAGTCTGACGCATTACTTGAAGACCAGGGAAGCTCTTCCCGGCCGTCGGGTAAACATTCGGATCTATCAGACGATGCGGTAACTGCATTTAAGAACATTCTCTCAATTCTTGATGGAATCAAGACAATCCAGTTGAATCTCGAATTCTTATACCGGAATAACAAGGCGGATATCGCGATTCTGAACAAGATTCGTGACAGCCTTGAGGCTCGCAATTCCATCTTCCACACTGCTGTGACACTTTCAAATGCCTTCATGCATGCGGGAACAACGCACGATAAGTTCTTCCGAGACAACCTTGAGTGGCTCGGCAAGGCCGTGAATTGGTCCAAGTTCACAGCTACTGCTGCCTTGGGCTGTATCCACCGCGGTAACCTCAGCCAGGGTCAGAAGCTCCTCCAGCCTTACCTGCCCCGCGAACACATCGCTGGAGTTGGAGGCTCAGGATCTGTCTACAGCCAAGGTGGTTCCCTTTACGCCTTCGGTCTCATCTACGCAAACCATGGTGGTATGGCGGTTGACATCATTCGCGATCACTTCAAGAAGGCCACAGAAGAGGTGGTTCAGCACGGTGGTGCTCTTGGTCTTGGTGTGGCGGGTATGGCGACAGGCGATGAAGGCATTTACGAAGACCTGCGGAGCGTTCTTTACACTGATTCCGCTCTCAATGGTGAAGCTGTCGGCCTCGCCATGGGTCTCATCATGCTTGGCACCGGTAACATGAAGGCTCTTGAGGATATGATCCAGTACGCACACGACACCCAGCACGAGAAGATCGTTCGTGGTTTGGCTATGGGTATGGCTTTGATCATGTTCGGACGCCAGGAAGCCGCCGACGAGCTCATCAATGGTCTCCTCGGTGACCCCGACCCAACTCTGCGCTATGGAGGTATCATGACCATTGCCCTGGCTTACTGTGGCACTGGCAGCAACAAGGCAGTCCGCAAGCTTCTGCACGTTGCTGTCAGCGATGTTAACGACGATGTGCGCCGAGTTGCCGTGCTCAGCTTGGGATTCATCTTGTTCCGCAAGCACCAGAGTGTCCCTCGCATGGTCGAGCTGCTTTCCGAGTCTTACAACCCCCATGTCCGATACGGTGCCGCCATGGCACTCGGTATCTCCTGCGCCGGCACCGGCTTGGACGAAGCCATCGACCTCCTGGAGCCTATGCTTAAGGACTCGACCGACTTTGTTCGTCAGGGTGCTTTGATCTCTCTTGCCATGGTTCTCGTCCAGCAGAACGAGGCCATGAACCCCCGTGTTACCAGCCTGCGCAAGGCCATGATGAAGATGCTTGGTGACCGTCACGAGGATGCTATGGCTAAGTTCGGTTGTGCTATTGCTCTCGGTATCATTGATGCTGGTGGCCGAAACTGCACTATTAGCTTGCAGACGCAGACGGGTAACCTCAACATGCCCGGTATCGTTGGTGTTGCGGTCTTCGTTCAATACTGGTACTGGTTCCCTCTCACACACTTCTTGTCACTTAGCTTCACCCCGACATCCGTCATCGGTGTCGACCAGAAGCTCGAAGTACCACACTTCAAGTTCCACAGCAACACCCGCCCTAGTCTCTTCGACTACCCCCCTGAGCAACAGGTGAAGACCGAAGAGGCCCCGGAGAAGGTGAAGACTGCTGTCCTTTCTACCACTGCCCAGGCCAAGCGTCGCGCACAGCGTAGGGAGAAGCAAGCACGCCGTGAAAGCATGGATATTGACCAGGCGCCCACAACACCAAAGGCTACTGATCAACTGGATGCAATGGACACGGACGATCTTCCTAAGGAGGACGAAGAAGGCAAGGAGGCAGAGAAGGGTGCTGCTGAGGTACAGAAGAAGAAGGCAGAGCGGGAGAAGGTTGGGTACGAGCTGGACAACCTGTCAAGGGTACTTCCAGCTCAGCTCAAGTACCTCACTTTCCCCGATCCGCGTTACGAGCCGGTCAAGAGGGTATGTTCATTCCTATTTGTCCCAATGAATCCAATGCTAACAAAATTGTAGCCCACCGGCGGTGTCGTCGTTGTTCTCGACAAGCAGCCCGACGAGCCTCGCGAGGTTATTGAATTGAAGGCCAGCAAAGAGGCTCGCCAAGCGCCTCCTCCGACTGAAACCCTCCAAGACCGCCTGCAGGCTGCCATTGGAACCGCTGCTCTGCAGACCCCTCAACGGGCCGATGCGCGGGCTGCTCTATCCGCTGCCACCTCAGGTGCTGCGGCTGGTGCCGGTGTTCTGACGGCGGTGGATGAGGACGAAGAAGGCGTGGAGGACGCACCTGTCCCCGACGAGTTCTCGTACGAATCAGATGGTGAAGACCAGTAGAGTGTTGTTGCGGCATAGAATCTTGATGCTGGATGTATTACTAGACTAATCAGGCTGTCTACGCCGAGGTGATCTATTTGGGGGCTAGTATAGCTTTCCGTCACTGTGATTGATATGAAACTTCCTATGTTACTTTGCATTTCCCTGTATCCTTGTCGTATCCTATGCACTCGGTCAGACCATGGCCGGGTCGCCTTGATTTGAACATGCCGGTTAGAGCGGCTTGATGCAAGGATCTCGGATGTACAAAATTGTAGTACTTGCACATGCATGCCGTACATAGCGACGAAACCATGTACCCGATTTAGTTGCACAAACCGACTGTTCTTCTCTATGAGAGTTGTATTCTTTATTTTTTTATAACTGTATCAAGATATCTCTCGCAGAATTGTAACAAATATTGAATAATCCAATCGCAACCCAGCCGATACTCATCTTCGCATGTTCACATGTCTCGGCCCTACCCCGGAGCGGGCAGGCATTGTTTCTGACTCAGCAATCCACTGACCTACAGCTGTTGTGCCTCGGCACTTGTTGTTATGACGCACGAGCCAATAACCTGTCTCTCAACGGCGATGACCGAACTGATCAGCAGCCAATGAAGCCTCGATTGCTACAACGTAAGGTCCCAAGGTCGACTTTGTGTGGGAGCATGTGAACTGGTACTATGATGCTCCGAGGCCCCTTTTGGTGCATCTTCATGTCCAGACTTGGAATATCACCCGAACTTAGCGGAGATTGTTTCTTGCCCCATAACTCATATATTCCCCAGCTTCCCCGGACTTGAAATTTTCTTCTTTCCCCTAAACTACTATTCCTTGAACTTAATATAAATCTTTGTTGTGCGCCTTTCTTCCCCTTCATCTCTCACTCTCCCCCACCCACCGCCACCATGGCAAAGACATTTAGCAAAGAGGATGTCGCCTCGCACAGCAAGGGTGACAGTCCCTGGATCATCATCGATGAAGATGTCTATGATGTTTCTAAATTCCAAGATGAGCACCCTGGTAAGTGAAGTCACGCCTATAGATGTATGGGGATGACATGTTAACAATTTTTTTGAACAGGTGGAAAGAAGAGTACGTTGGCCCGAGAGTGTCCGCTACGTCCGATAAATTCATATTGACAGTGCCTATCTAGTTCTCCAGCGAGTTGCCGGAAAGGACGCTTCAAAACAGTTCTGGAAGTACCACAATGACGGCATTTTGAAGAAGTACAAGAGTCAGCTGCAGATCGGTTCGTTGGATACGAAGAAGGCGGCACCAGCACCGGCACCGGCACCCCCGGCACCAGCTCCAGCCCCGAAAAAGGCTGCCCCCGAGCCGAAGCCCGTCGATTCTCCATCTTCTGTGACACCGCCTGCCACCGGCGAGCCCCAGGACCCTTACGGAGAGTTGATTCCCTTTGCCGATCCCTCATGGTACCAAGGTGTAAGTTTTGCTTTGCCTATCTGCCACGGATTTCTAGGTTTTACGCCGTTGCACAAATGCTAATATACATGTTGCTCATAGTATGCATCTCCCTACTTTAACGAATCTCACGCCGCACTGCGAGACGAGGTCCGCCAGTGGGTCGAGTCCGAGATCGAGCCATATGTGACCGAATGGGATGAGGCCAAGGACGTACCTGCTAAGATTTACAAGCAGATGGGCGAGCGGGGCTACCTCGCCGGACTTCTGGGAGTCCACTTCCCTGAGAAACACACCCCGTACCGCGTGAAGTCTGTGGCACCAGAACGATGGGATTTGTTCCACGAGATGCTGCTGACCGACGAGCTGTCGCGTGCCGGCAGCGGTGGTCTGGTGTGGAACCTGATCGGTGGTTACGGAATTGGTTGCCCGCCATTGGTCAAGTTCGGCAAAAAGCCGCTGGTCGACCGAATCCTGCCAGGTATCTTGGCCGGCGACAAGCGGATCTGTCTCGCCATCACCGAGCCCGATGCGGGTAGTGACGTCGCAAACTTGGGTTGCGAGGCTAAGCTCACCGAGGACGGAAAGCACTACATCGTCAACGGCGAGAAGAAGTGGATCACCAACGGCATCTACTCTGATTACTTCACCACCGCCGTGCGCACCGGTAAGGACGGCATGAACGGTCTCAGTGTGCTGCTCATCGAGCGTGAAGCCGGCGGCGTGAGCACTCGCCGCATGGACTGCCAGGGTGTGTGGTCCAGTGGCACGACTTATGTCACCTTCGAGGACGTCAAGGTGCCCGTGGAGAACCTGATTGGCAAGGAGAATCAGGGCTTCAAGGTTATCATGACTAACTTCAACCACGAGCGCATCGGTATCGTGATTCAGTGTGTGCGCTTCTCCCGTGTCTGCTATGAGGAGTCTATGAAATACGCACACAAGCGCAAGACCTTCGGCAAGCGCCTTATCGACCACCCGGTTATTCGCATGAAACTCGCCCACATGGCCCGTCAGATCGAGGCCACTTACAACTGGCTCGAGAACATTATCTTCCAGTGCCAGTCCATGGAGGATACCGAGGCTATGCTGAAGCTCGGTGGTGCCATCGCTGGATTGAAGGCGCAGTCTACCCAATGCTTCGAGTTCTGTGCTCGCGAGGCTAGTCAGATCTTTGGTGGCTTGAGTTTCAGCCGCGGCGGCCAGGGCGGTAAGATCGAGAGACTGTACCGTGATGTGCGTGCCTATGCTATCCCCGGTGGTAGTGAGGAGATTATGCTTGATCTGAGTATACGCCAGAGTTTGCGGGTCCACGGCATGTTTGGCATGAAGTTATAAAGCATTTTCTGAGTGTTTTCGATTGCGGCGGTAGAGCATGCCCATTTTGATTCATTTTCTTTTGCTGCTTTTGGCTAGATATCCTGTCGTCTGTGACGGCCTTTCTTTTATTTTGCTATGATCTGCCTTGTACGATAACATTACATTGGCTTTTTTGTATATTTCACGATTTACGGTGGACGTCACCACCTTTTTGAATATTCGCTGCATATAACTGATTTTCATTCATAACTAAACTGTCGGTGTCTCCATAATTTGCGATATTAGCTGACCATTGCGTTGGCAAACCGGCAACGAACCTTGGGAAAGCAAGATTCATAAAAATCTATCAAAGAAAGAGGAAATGGCTTAGCAGAATCTCAAAGGCCTCCATGTACCGAAATTCCTTCTTTGTTTAAACGACTTAACTATGCTTGAGGGCCCAATGCTACGTTCAGCCCACCAGACTTCTTTCAATCCCACTCCTTTGTTCTCATTTTCTTTGATGGGATTCGAGTCGCGGTCAGGCAAACTCGGGGAACCGTTAGCCTTGCGTCTGAAACTCTTTGACGCGAATCTATTATTAGAAAAAGGCAGTGAACTGGCTTCCTTTTGAGCCCAAAGCCAGCAATTCGATGTGAAAATATAACATTGAGACGTGCCCGTCTGCCTATTTAGGACTCTCGAGGGAAGTCATTTATGCCCGCACCTCTCCTTGAAGATTATCTGCCGACTCATTCACAATGTCTCTACTATCGTTTGAACTGAACAACGATGTGTATGATCTTGCAAGCGACATCGATGGAATCATCCATGTCGCATCCGATGAGCATTCCGCCACATCGCTCATACTTGCCAATCTGGTGGCCCGCCGAATGCGCGAATTCCAAGACAACGAGGACAATTTTACCGGCTCTGGGACTGCTCCAACAGATCTCTTGTTAAGTCTTAGCTCAAATGATACCGACGACGTTAGCCACGAATTCCTAAGGGGCATAGCCAATTCTATGGATCTTACGACAATGCCGGAAGACTTGTTGTTTCTAGTTCTCCCGATGCTGCTGCATGTTGATACGAAACTTCCAACCCCCGAAGACATTCATGCTCTGCATGAATTTGCTGAAGCATCGTCGATGCACCGAGAGCATGTGGAAACATGGTTGAGATCTGATCCGGCCCAAAGCACACTTGAACAAGTTTTCAAACCATGGATGAACTACTACAGCTTCAAACCTGCATACCAATGCAGAGATGAGATTGCGGCTTACAAGGCTAGCCGAGGTGGTGCTGGGTTTAATTATGCGTATGAATTCGTGAAAGAATGTCAATGTACAAGCTGTCTCTCACTTCTCGGCAATCTTGGCTTGGTTGATTTCAGAAATTACGATCAAAATGGGAGGAGCTTCCTTCATGCAGTTATTGAGGGCGGAGATGTTGAAAGTGTAATGTTCATTGTCGCTATCTTGCTGAAAGGAGGCTTGGATCCTCGGCACTTTCCCACTTCTATTGATGGGATGTCTATTCCCCACCATGTCGCTTTGATGCACGACAATGACGCTTTTAGAGGAGTCGTTGAGTTTCTAGAGGATGCTGGCTACCCTCTATCTGTGTGGAACGATGATGGCCTCAAACTCGAACTATGCAGCTTTATCACAGCTGATATGGCTGAACGCCTCCTGTCGAAAGGATTCAATATCACCAAGCTCCCAAGAAATACCCTTCCAATGTATCTACCAGAGGAGGATGATCCCAAGTACGACTCCGACGAGGAGTGGGACCACGATGCAGAATATGGTGATCCTATCATCCGGGGCAAAGATTTCGACCCCGACAGTGACAAACTCGACCCAAAATCCATTCAATATGATGCTCTTGCTGTCAATCCCATCGAACTCCATCCTACCTCTCGAACTATCTGGCACCGGGCAATCGAAAACCCCGAAGGTCCCCGAATTCTCGACTGGCTGTTGGATCACTCGTATACCCAGCCAGGGTGTCGGACCGACTTCGACCGCGAAACCGGCGAGACAGCTCTGGTAGCAGGCGCAAGAGGAGACGAGCCAGCTGGCATTGATTGGTTCTGTCAGCACTGTGATCCCATGGCAGGGCGGGTCCGAAATTCCCCGGATAACGAGGGCGATGAGAGCACAGGTGCTTATGCGTTACAAGTAGCAGCTCACAACCTGCGGCCACGTTGCGATGTCATTTTCAAAAAGCTTTTGCGTCATGTGGACCAGCAGTTTTACTGGGATGTTTCTATGATCAAGGGCTTGTACTGGTTGATTATCAAGAATTATCGAGATATGTACCAGAGGTTGGAAGATCATAAGGAGCCAGGTCGTGAGAGAGCTCAACAGATGGCTCTCCTGCGCTACCTCACTTCGTCGAAAACCAAAGCGCTGAATAACAGGTTGGAGCCTTTCTGGGATACATGGGGGCCGTCTGAACAGCGGAACTGGCTCATTCAGTACTGTACGATTCTTAGGTTAAATTTCCTGGTGAAAGATTTAAGTTCGGATATCTGGGATGATTCTGATTAGCAGTTTCCAGAGTGTGAAGATCAAATATTCTGGAGTATACTCGAAACCAAACATTACAATGAGGGCTGATTTTGATCACCGGCCCTGACTTCTTGGATGTGTATGATCCTTTTTACTGCTTTTTATGGCGCTGATGAGGTTCCTGTTTGCAAACTTCGTTCGATGCATCTCTTAACGTCTGGTTTTCGATGAAGTGATTCCTCACTAGTCTACTGTATATTGGCCCAAAGGTAGGAATATATGTAGGTTGTGGTTCGTGTTGATTCTCCAACCAAGTATGTATCCCTGGACCCAGGTGGAAAGAGATAAGCCACAAGCCTCTTTGATAATTCCAAATGATATTTATGTACTCTGTATGATCTTTAAGCTAGAGAGAACTGCACAGGATGGAAGTTGAGAAACGCCAGACTCAAAGGCGGCCAGGTACGGCGCGCCACAACGACCACTTACGCAAAGATTATGCCTCTGGGCGACACGACCTCCACGCCCCGACACTTTAATTCCTCATTTGCCCTTTCTCAAACTACCCCTTACGAGCAGAGCTATAAATTGCGCCTGCGTTGTGGTGTGGTTGCTTCTTCTTTCTGACAAACCCCGAGATCTCCATTCCGATCCGTGTTCTTTGTAGGCGGTCGCGGAACTTGGTGATTGCCCGCAGAGCTCGAGTGTCTGCTCTGCTCCCTCTTAACTTTCCTGTCGCTTTTCTCGTCAGGATCAACCTCATTTGACTTGAGGCTACTCGGAATTGGCTGTCTACTGGAAGAGACCGGGCAGTTCGCATCCTAGTATCTACGTCTTGTCTCCAAACCCGCAAGTTGTAGCGCAGTTTCCTTGGATACGGTTTGTCTTGCTTCTCCCAACCTCTCATTATCTTCTCAGTTACTGATTCTCCTCGTGATTGATAGAAATCCCATTACACCTCGACTCCAAATCACGCCGTGCCGATAGTGGCGCGACCAGATCAATAGCCCGTCAAACACTATTTGCCAAAATGTCAAACTTTCTCAACCACGACTTCGGGTCCGAGGACGAGGAGGATGATTTCAACCCTGCTCCCCAAGAAGAGTCTGATGTTGAGGAGCCGAGAGCCAAGGTCGGTTTACAGACAACTGTCAAGCTTTGATAGACAAAGCGCTAACAAATGAGTGCAAAACAGCCAAGCAAGAGAGAACACTCAAGTGGCGATGGAGCTAATGATGAGGAGGATGTGAAGTACCCCCGCGACACACATGCACTTGAGGAGGAAGATGCCAAGGATGTTGAAGACGATGACGAGGAGAATGAACTGGACGATGACGACGAGGAAGAGGAGGAAGACGAGGAGGAGGATGTGGTATGTCCCCTATGGAGCTTGGTTATCACGAGGACTTTGTTAACCAGTGTTCTCTACTCTAGGCGCGTCCACAAAAGCGAATGAAGCGCGTTGCTAATCCTTTCATCGAAGATGAGGCCGGCGTCGACGATGAGGAGGACGAGGGCGATGACGAGGAAGATGAACTCGCCGAATATGGCATGGAAACACATCCGGATGATCTTGATGCGCTACCCCAAGGCACCGAGACGGACGACCGCCGCCATCGACAGCTGGATCGCCAGCGCGAGATCGACGCCAGTATGGACGCAGAGAAGCAGGCCCAGATGCTCAAGGAACGATATGGACGCAACCGTGCTGCAGCAACAGATTCCCTTGTGATCCCAAAACGACTCTTGCTTCCTAGTGTGGAAGACCCTAGCATCTGGGGTGGCCGCTGCAAGCCTGGCAAGGAGAAGGAGGTCGTATATTCAATCCAGAAACGAATTGAAGAGCGTCCAGCAGGCTCCCGCAATCCCATTCGAATTATCTCGGCTTTCGAGCGTGGAAACATTATGCAGGGCTGGTTCTACTGTGAGGCGCGCAGGCAGGCCGATGTTATCGAAGGCTTGGACGCCATCAACTTCTACTACCCATCCCAGAAACTGACTCTGGTTCCAGTGAAGGAGATGCCGGATCTTCTTCGCGTCCAGAAATCGGAAGAGCTTTTGCCTGGTGGCTGGATTCGCATCAAGCGTGGCAAATACCTTGGCGATTTGGCCCAGATTGAGGAGGTCGAAACCAATGGATTGAATGTCACTGTGAGACTTGTTCCTCGACTGGACTACGGAATGAATGACGATGCTTTCGGTGCCCCTACCGATGCTAAGCGCAAACGCGGTGCTGTGAGCACCGTCCGCCCTCCCCAGCGTCTGTTCAGTGAGACAGAGGCGAAAAAGAAGCATGCGAAATATCTCTCGTCTACTTCTGGTCTAGGTGGAAAATCATGGAACTACTTGAATGACAACTACGTGGATGGCTTCCTCATCAAGGATATGCGTGTCCAGCACTTGAATGCCAAGAATGTTAACCCCCGGCTCGAGGAGGTTACAATGTTCGCGCGTGGAGGAGAAGATGGAACTGCCAATTTGGATCTGGCGTCGCTGGCCGAGACTCTGAAGAATTCTACCGCTGAAGACTCATACCAACCGGGTGATCCAGTGGAGGTTTACCGGGGTGAACAGCAGGGTCTTATTGGTCGCACAGTGTCAACTCGAGGTGACATTATTTCATTGCAAGTCACCGAGGGCGAGCTAGCCGGTCAGACAATTGATGCACCTGTTCGAACTCTCCGTAAACGATTCCGGGAAGGTGACCACGTCAAGGTTATTGGCGGCAGTCGATACCAGAACGAACTGGGTATGGTCGTGCAGGTCAAGGACGACACCGTCACTCTGCTCAGTGATATGAGTATGCAGGAGATCACAATTTTCAGCAAGGATCTTCGACTTTCTGCTGAGATGGCTGCGGATGGACAACTCGGCATCTACGATGTTCATGATCTCGTCCAGCTTGATGCTGCTACTGTTGCTTGTGTCATTAAAGTGGACCGGGAGTCCCTCCGCGTGGTGGACCAGAATGGCTCTATCCGCAACATTCTTCCTACGCAAATCGCAAACAAGATTACCCCCCGTCGCGATGCCGTGGCTACTGATCGCAATGGCGCAGAAATTCGAAGTGGTGATACCGTCCGCGAGGTTTATGGAGAGCAGCGCAGTGGAGTAATCCGCCATATCCACCGTTCGTTCCTTTTCTTGCATAACAAGGCTCAAGCTGAGAACGCGGGTATCTCTGTGGTGCGGACAACAAATGTCCTGACCGTATCAGCAAGAGGCAGTCGCCCTACTGGACCCGATCTCACCAAGATGAACCCTGCCCTGGCGATGCAAACTCCTGGAGGTGGCGCTGCAATGCCACCACCTCGTCGCGGCCGCGATCAGCTGATCGGAAAGACTGTTACTATCCGTAAGGGTCGTTATAAGGGTCTCGTTGGTATTGTCCGCGACGCAGACGAAAGCTCTGCTCAAGTTGAACTCTACACATCTAACAAGCCCGTACACATCCCGCGTGACATTCTGACACCTAAGGAGTATGTTCTTCCTCTTTTTTATTTGATCCACAGTCTTTCTAACTTTTCACAGTCCTATTTCCAAACAGCCTCTCTCTATGGGACGTGGAAGAGGAGGAGGTGGCCCTGGAGGGCGAGCTCCGTACAACTCTTCGGGCGGTCCTGGGAGAGACAGTTGGGCTGGTGGCCGAACCCCGATCGCCGCCGCCGATTCGTCCAGAACCCCCGCTTGGAATGGCGCTGCTGCGAGAAGTAAGTACACTCACATTAGAAAAGTTCAGGCAGATGCTAATCATTATATAGCTCCTGCTTGGGGTGGCGTAAGTGGCGGCCGTACTCCGGCCTGGAAGAATGACGGCTCTCGTACCGCGAACCCTTACGAAGGAAACCGCACCGCATATGGAGGAGTTGGCAGCCGCACCCCGTCCTGGACCTCTGGATCTAAGACACCATACGACTCCAGCTCCGGCTTCGATGCCTTCGCCTCTGGATCCCGCACCCCTGGCTGGAATGCCGGTGGGGCTAACGCAGGAGGTCGCACTCCCGGCTGGAACAGCATGTCTGCCGGCAGAGACCAGCGTGATTTCGACGACGCCCCGACTCCTGGTGGAAACTACTCCGCCCCCACCCCCGGTGCATACGCTGCTCCGACCCCTGGTGCACCAACTCCTGGCGGATGGCCCGAAAGTGCCCCCACCCCTGGTGGAGCTTTCAGCGCACCCACTCCCGGTGGCCCTTCAAAGCGTGACTATGACGCTCCAACCCCTGCGGCGTTTGATGCGCCAACTCCGGCGATGGGTGGAATGGCTGCTACGCCTGGTGCTGGGTATGGTGGTAATGATGGTGGACCACGGTACGACGACAGCCCGAGTCCTTAGTTCTTGTTATCTTTTTCTTTCAAGTACCAAAAGCTTGTCCTTTCCACACACCTTAAGATATCAAACGGGATAGGACCGGTTTCACATATGTATTCTACCTTTTGAATTATTTTCTTGTAAAGCAGCAGATGGCGCCAAATGATATTTCCTAGTCACTGAACTCAAATGATCTTGAATAGCTTACTGGTGGATCTCATTATCTCTTGAGAGTAAAGTAGAACCACGTTGCCATTACTTTCTCATGCACAGCGGAGCTGATACCCCTGAATATTCCGAGCGCAGCGATCCGGCCAAACTTCCGATTGCCTACGAGGGTGCGCACATTGATATCAACCATATATGATTCCATTACTCCTTGCCATGAACGGCCAATACCCGGTCAATGATATCCGCCGCCCATAGGCACTTCTCATCTTGGAAGCGTGGTGTGATGACCTGGACAGCGCACGGGGCGCCATCTACCTCATCAGGGTGATCTGGTATCTGTCAGCAATCTATTCGAATAAAAGGAGCTGGGTTCACTGACAGTCCGGCTGGGCATCATCACTTGTTATCATAGGTTCGGGATCAAGCTCTTTGGAGGCTTTTCCAAATGGAATAATGCACGCGGGATACTAGATAGGCAGAAGTAAGTATATACCCTGGGAAGGTAAGGAAACCAACAGAGCGAGACAAAGAGAGAGACTGACATCCAAGACGTTCCACAACACTGTATAAGAAGGCCATCCATACGTATCATGGTCCACAGCTGTGCTCTGTGCCCCAGGAGCCAGAATTACGTCAAGCTTCTGATCCACCCATGTCTGTCTCCAGGCGTCATGAACCCGTTGGCGAGCCAGATGCAACGCCTCGATAGTCTCAAACGGTCCCAGGCCTTTCTGAGCAGGAAATGGGCCAGAGGACATTGGCCCCGCAGCCTTAGCAACCGAAGTCACAGGAGGCTCGCCACTGGCTGCAATATGATCCTTGTGCGGGCCATAGATAAAATACTGAAACGCAACACGCGACGCATATGCCACGCTATGTGCTTCATCGTCAGCACCAAGTCGGACAATACGATTTCCTGCGCGCGTCAATGCCTCAACCGCCCGATTTAGAGCCCTCTTTACAGGCGGATGGAGCGGGAGATGCTCATCCTCAGCAAGCACGCCGACAGTCAAGCTTCCGTTGGCGTTGGTACTAGGGGGGGTGGTTTGCCAGGGAACCCCGACGGCAGCAGAGTCATACTTCCACGCCTGGCCGTCAGCGACAACGGAACTCATCAGTAGCTTCAGATCAGCGATGCTATGTGCTAGCGGGCCTGCGACTGGAACCAGTCCTGGAATCCCCTTCACAGAGCCGGAGGCTTGCCCGCCATAGGGGATACGGTCGGTTGTTGGCTTGAAGCCGTATACACCGCAACATAGTGCGGGGATGCGAATTGAGCCGGCGATGTCGGTCCCCACGCCTAAAATCGATCCTCGGAATGCTACTAGAGCACCCTCGCCGCCGCTGGATCCACCTGCTGTTAAGGTTGTCTTGTGTGGATTCAGGGTGCGGCCGAAGATGTTATTCTCGGAGTCTGCTGTCTGGTGCATTGTTAGCTTCACGTTCTGAGTGTACTTTGAGCTATTTGGTGCCTTTACCATCAGCGTTTGTGGAATGTTGGTCTTCACGTATAACACCGCGCCAAGGTCTAGCAACATCTGTACTAGCGCTGAGTTCGTCTTCGCAGGTTCATTCTCGAGAAATGCGACATATCCTATCGTCGACTGCACACCCTCGACACAGAAACTGTCTTTTATGCTGATAGGCAGTCCATGTAGGGGACCAATGGGCTTTCCCTTCCGCTGGAGGTACTCGTCTAGGTACTTAGCACGTTCCAGAGCCTGGGGGAAGAATGTCTCCGTGAGACACGAGGTCTGCAAAAAGCATATGTTAGGATCATTGCTTATTTATTCTCTCAGGAATACGTTGCACTCACAACCTGCTGCGCAATGGCAGCTCTCTTACAAAACGCCGTTGTAACAGCCAACGAACTGACCTGACCCGATGCCAATTTGACTAATAGCTGACTTGCGGTATAGTTTTCGGTCAGATCCAATTCGACCTCGGAGAGGATACTACTGCGACGAGGAAGATCAATATCCAGAACACGCGGGGATTCCTGCGCGAGCGCCAGCTGGTCTGCGCTCAGAAGCCAGTCCCGGGGGATCTTCTGTTCGCATTCATGGCGTTTGGCGATAACAAGGTCTTGCCAGTTGGTGGGGGCTGCTTCGGATCCCATTTTGGAGATGGGAGAGATGTGGTTTCACGTTTGTGACCATCTTCCCATTTATCTACTTTTCGTGCTCGGTATAGCGGCACTTTCCCACCGGTAGATGTGGTTACCTCCTCTTTTTCCACTTGTCTTGACACCCCACTTGGTGTGGTGATCTTCGATTGTGTGTCGACCTGCCGTTTTGGGATAGCTTGAAGCCGGAGGAGTCCGCGATAGCGCTCGAGTTGTAGAGTTAAACATTGTTATACCCACATTGCTCTATATTTATTGCTGTTGTCCTTGGGGGTAGTCTTATCGCATGTTAGAAAAGTAACGTCGTAGAGTGTATGGCGAGTATAGTAGACACTAGAATCTCAAACTCTCTAACCGGCAATGCAACCCCTCTATCTGCCGCCGGTTATTCACACTCCTCTTCATTGTCAAATCCATTATATTGATTGATTATATCTACTGCGTTACAATATCTTTAGGGTTGGCACTGGGGGAAAATTGGCCCGATAATGCACGCCGATCCATATCTCCTCCCCCTCACAACATTTGTCACCGAGACACGCCAACCTGTCTAGCCAACAGTATGAACTAGATCTAACCTCAAGACAAAATTAAGAATAATTGTACCTTTTTCCTAGGATACTACCGCAGTCGGAACAGCGTTAAGATAATCATCGATGGACTTGGTATACCTTGTTCCTGTGGGGCGATACAGGTTGAGGGACGAATGTAGAGGTGGTAGTTGTCGGATGTGCGGACGGGGTAGTAGGTATCTAGAATCATGGAATGTGAAACAATTAGGTGATAATCTGCTTGGAATCCAGGGCATGGACAAGAAAAACAACCAGGATTCCTCAGGTGTTCCCTTCACTACTTTTGCCCAGCCTGTGCATCTTGGGGCCAACATAATAGTATGAGAGCTATATGAAGAAATGTAAAAGGGCTATCTAATGTATTTTAATGATATTCATGATGTTCGTGTGTGGCCTCGAGATGCGTTCTAAAACCCCCCGCAATCTCCAAATCTCAAAAGAGAAGGTTGACCCACCGGCGCGTTATCTTGAACTTTATCAGATGGGGCACCTGCATGTGCCCAGGTGGTATCCACGGAAATGGAAACTTTGGAAGTAGATTAGCTCATTGTTTGAGTGCATAAGTGCATTAGTGTCATAGTCAATATTGGAAGTGTCGTAGGTACCAGGGTAGGCAAGTCCAACAGGGCACTTCTTATTTGCGACCTGATATTGAGCCTGACTACTTCAGCCTCGTGTTCTTATTTTCTTTTTTTTTTGCTCTCTCACGCGTATCATCTGGATCTCGCGTGAGATTTAAGGTGTTTTGTCACCTAGTCCTCTTGCCGTTTGCTACATATTCTCTACCACGCACCTCTTTTCTTTGACTTCCTTTCACTCAGAACAACATTCTACCCTGTACCGTGGCTCTCAACTTTCAGCAACCATGCCCTTTGCTACAGATATTTTGACTGACCCTTCGGTCTCAGCCTCTGCTCGACAGCAAGCTCTCAATCGCGTCTACTCTGACCCAGGTGTCCCCCAGAGTTCGACGACCTCGTCGTTCTGGACCCAGGCACCACACAACTTCAGTCATGGAGCTGCAAAGGATCTCCCCAAGGAAGCTGATACTGTCATCATCGGATCTGGTATCACTGGAGCATCTATTGCGCGGACTTTGCTTCAAAACCGCGCTTCAAAGCCCTCTTCCACCTCTCATCCATCTGTTGTCATGCTGGAAGCTCGCACAGTCTGCAGCGGTGCAACTGGCCGCAATGGTGGCCACATTCTGGAGACAGCTGATGACTATGCCGAGTTCTCGGATGTCTTTGGCGTGGATGCCGCGCGTAAGCTCATCCGCTTCCGAATGTCCCATCTGCAAGAGATGCTCTCAGTCGCAGAGGAGCTTGGCATCACTACAGAGACGCAAGCGCGAAAGGTTCAGTTCCTGAGTGTTTATTTCGGCGATGAGCCTTGGAAGGCAGCGTTGGAGCGTATGCACCGTTTCAAGGAGGGGATGCCAGAAGAATCTGCTGAATGGACATCTTATGAGGGAGACGCTATCCCGACAGTACGTTGATATGCTATCCTTAACACCCAAAACACCGATGCTAATGGAGTTTCTAGGAGCTGTGTTTGACTCGTGCCCGAGGCGTCATTGCTGGCCCTGCAGGCGCCCTTTGGCCCTATAAATTTGTCATCGGCATCCTGAAACATCTTCTGGCAGACTTCCCGAATGACTTCCGTGTCGAGGAAAACACGCCCGTGACCGCTATTCACGACGAAACTACCGCTAACGGCCCACGATACAAGGTTGAAACAAGCAGAGGCACTGTTGTCGCCCGACACGTTATCCACTGCACAAACGCCCATGTCAGCCATCTAGTCCCCGGCTTCCTGGGCCGAATCTTCCCCGTGCGCGGGCAAATGTCCGCCCAAACCCCCGGTGATAACTTTCCCAACCAAGCAGCAGATCATTCATGGATCTTCAACTACGACCGCGGGTTCGACTACATGACCCAACTGCCGGCAGGGCAAATGATGCTCGGTGGGGGCTTCGCGCAGGGCGAGGGCGGCGGTTTAGCGGATCTGGGCATCTCTACGGACTCCGATCTAAGTCTTTACATCGATATCCACTTGTCTGGTGCTTTGCGTGCCATCTTTGGAAGCAAAGACTGGGGCTGCGTGCAAGGCGAGACGGTGCAGGCGATGTGGACTGGTAGCATGGCGTTCAGCTCCGATGGATTCCCATGGGTAGGACAGTTGCCTGGAGTTGTGACAGGTCGGTCTGAGCATGGGTCTGAGGGTGCTGAGTGGGTTTGTGCTGCGTTTGGTGGAGACGGAATGGTTCAGGCTTGGCTTGGTGGTAAGGCGGTGGCGACTATGTTGCTTGCGCGGGATGCTTCGCTGAGTGAGACTGTCAGTGCGGACCTTTCATGGGTCCCTGAGCAGCTGCTTGTGTCCGAGGAGAGATTTGCTGAAACGGCGTTGCCGAGAGAGGTCGACGATGATGTGCACAAGGCGAATCTTTAGATTGCCTCTTGGGCTTTTGCGCATAGATTTGCATAGATCTGCGAGTGCTTTTTTGTTCTTTCGGCTCATCTGACTACGCGGTATTTTCCTCTTAGCCTATCATCTACGATAGTTGAACAAAAGAAAATATTCGTTTTTATGCCATCTTGCAATCACATTCACAGTACCGTTGTAGTGCATAAATTAGGGTTAGGTATTTCCCATATGCCGGCTATCTCCTTCAAATCAGGCTTCCATGTTCTCTCGAGGCTTAAAGAGGAATGTGAAACCTACCACTGATGACTATTGGTGAAAAGGACTTCTTTTGTACTCCGTATCATGTACCATATCAAGGCCCACTGAAAGCTACTGTATCATTTCGTACAACCTCGGTAATCTCTTCGGAAAGACATACAATCCCGCAACGTCATGGTAATAATGGCAATAAGTTCAATTTATCATTTGGAGTGTCCAATAAAAGCTCTAATCATCAATGTACCTGGCCCGACCCATATCAACTCAAGTGTCATAACCCAGGCAGCTAGATTCCACCAACCTCCAGTCGGAAAACCCGAATGTGAAAAGCAAAACATGCAAGATCCAGACCATGACGTAAAGATGCACCACAGCAGGCTGTCAAACCGAATGCCCACGCTCCACGATATCGAGATATCGGCCTCTCAATGCGCGCCGAGCAGACTTGCCCCAAATGATCATTGGAATGATTGTGCCAGTAATGGCTAAACTCATCATTCCGCACGCTATGAACATATTTTGTATGCCATTGCGCTGGATCCATGGAGATATCGCGAATGGAATGCCGATGCTAACCGCATTGCGCATAAACGCCACAGCAGTGAAAGCGTCACCAGTGATCTAGAACTGGGTGTTAGTAAGAGCGGCTCACTTGAAACAAAAGATGTATCATATAGGGTGTATCATCGAAACGAGATAGGTTGAAGAGCAACCAATCATACCTCTTTGTAACTGTCCATGACTAACACCAATGCAGCATCACTAATACTTCCCAAACCAAACCCGAAGAAGGCGCCTGCGATGTTTGGCCAGATCCAGTGCATTCCCTACAACCCAGAACACAGAATGTTAGCACTCACTCCTCAACCGAGCCTCAGCCCAAATGCAAACTTTTACTGTGAATGTGGTTGCCTTACCCTTGAGATCGTTGCACCGAACATAATAAGACCGCCTGCCATAAAAATGGCCGGAAGATGTAATATGTACAACCGCATCTCGGGCTCGTAATAGCCCCTTTTCCGTTTTGCGTAGTACAAAATCGACCGATCACCGAGGAACCCGCCGTATACTGCACCGAGAATGTTCCCGATCAGGGGACCAGCGCTGGTGTATCCGATTTGGGCAGGGGAGAAGAGGTATGGTGGCTCTGGGAATGCAAGTGACAGGACACTCGAGGTTGCAGTCAACCAGGCTACTCCAGCTGCGTATTGAATGGCGGCAAATGCCACGGCCGGGAAAATGAGCACGCAGAAAGGGCTGTAGAAGTGCGGCCAGATTGGTTCTGGTGTTGGCGTTACCAGAGCAAGTCGCTTGCGCCATGAGTTCTGCGGTATGGTAAGGTCTAGCACACGGTGGGAATGAGCCTGTTCAATTATAGGAGGGCATTTGGTCGCGGGTGCTGAGTCAAATTTATCCAGATTATCTTCTCTGATTGAGATAGCTGGATCGTCTTCATCAAGGGTAGGGTCGGCTTGCCCAGTGATGGCAGGAATGTATTTCGTTTCTTCGTACATAAAGAGGAAGATGACAAAAAGGATACTATTGAAGATCCCCATGGTCTGATAGGACGAGCGCCAGCCGTGCTCTGTGGCTTGCGCCCCTGCAGCCATGGGGGTCAGGAAGCTCTGCGAATTGTATTAGTTACGCTACATCAATATTGAAGCGATAGGGTGAAGCGATAGGGTTGGAAGACATACCCCAATCATGACACATGTCAGGTATAGACCATTCATACTTCCTCGGTGGTGCAAAAAGAACAAGTCGACAATCTGTGCGACATTAGCAGGACACCTTATTATCGGCCCAAAGATATAGCTCACTGTTATCTCAGCTATCGACTCGTTGGTTGCACCAGCCAAACCCTGCAGCAAGTTGGTCACATACAGCTCTGTCAAACTGTTCATTTTGGATGACCAAAATGATGTTGCCAACATCACTGCCGTTGAAACGATGTAGACTGGTCGCCGGCCGTACTTTTTCGCAAATGGAATAAAGAAGATACAGCCAGTTGCGAGACCGACGAAATTTACCGACATCGCGTTGTTTAATTCGGTGTAGGTGACTTTCATATCAGTGGCCATCTGCTGCCAAAAGATGGCTTGAATATTGAGTCTGATATGAGAGTAATGTTACCAGTATGTCCTATAAAATATGATTTTTCTCACTCACGCCGTGAAGATGAGTATGGTCATGGCCAAGACAATCGTGAAATTCACAGATTTGCGCATCGTGCTCCAGTTCTATATATAATTCCTTTAGCTAGTGACTTAAGCAGAATTCGAGGGGCAACTCACTAGAGGTTCATTAGGGTCAGACGAGGGAATCGGGTCGAGAACGACAATAGGTTGGCCGTGCTCATCTGCCTCACTGTCTGGAAGGTGACTTGTCAGCAACAGCCCAGCCCAGGAGATAAAAGAAGTTTAACCTCGAATCAGTTTGAACGTGCCCGGAGGCTGGTCCGTTTCGTGCTCAAAAGAGCATACTGCGTGGAGGTCCGCCATCGAGTGTTTGAAGTACGTATAGATAAAGTTGCGCTTCCGGGGTGACGGTGTGTGCTAGTTGAAGTTCAACGCTAGAAGATGTAGAAGCTCAATAGAAGTAGTTGATGTAAAAGGATCAAATGACCGAGGTGAGTGAATCCGGAAGAGGTTTGCCAGGAAGAAGTTTGATCTTGACTCAAGAACCTTTATGAAGGCATGGTCAAACATTGATATATAGCCAAATATTAGTTCACTTTGAAAGTCTCCTAGTGGCTGCACATGATAGATGTTGATATCTTTACCCCAGTACCACCGATGCTACCGATCCGATAATCCAGGCAGAGAGATAAGCCATGTGTTCTGGCCCTCATGGTGTGCAGGAGTCGCACGTCCATTAGAAATGCGGAGAGAAAGGTCCTGAATTGGAAAAGAGTCTGGTTATTCAAGGGCTGATTAAGGCTTGCTGGTTAAGGCTGTCTTATCTTTTGGTTTTCCCTTTCACATGGGCAATCTTGGAAAATTATCCATTCCAAGGTCAGGAATAGCGTTCGTTTTTACTTGGGGGGACATAAAAAGGACAAGTTCCCCCAAAATTATATAGATGATAGGAAATAGGTATCGTTTTAGTGATAATTGACATTTCCCGGGGAAGATCTGCTTTCATACCTTATATATGTATACAATATGTCGCGTGAATCAGAGAGCAGAAGCTAAAAAGATTCCATTGTATGATTCTATCAAAGGAACATGAACAATGAAACATCCTTTATCGCAGACCTGCCACAGACCTGTGACCGAGTCTAGGTTGTTCAATGTTACAAAAGCCGCAACAAACTACTCTGCATGTAACTGCTTGAAGATGAATGCTTATCACCGAGCGAACTAGACGCTACAGAGTCAAAAAAGAAGGTACAACAATCAATAGTATACTGGAAATGAGCAGCCACAGGGCTAATTACGCGGCAGATGAGAGAAAAAGTAGTAACATCAAAGATATAGGCTCAACTTATTCAAACTAGTAGACCACGCTCTTTTAAACACTCTTTTTAAACACTCCGTTTCATCCTGTTCTAATCATAGTAAATAAGAGCAATGCAGCAAAAACGGCGGCTCAATTATATGGTTAGCGCATGGACTTTAAACCCTGCCGTAGCTACGTCGGCTTGTGCCGACAACCCTTAACCGTATGCGGTAGGTGGACGCAATCAAGAACTGCATCACAGAGCTAAGACACTCGACTCACTAACTTCTGCCTAGCGAAGACTCTATTCGACTAGATTGTCGCTTATAAATTCTCTGGATCTATCTCGACACAAAACTCCGCCAGTACTTTCCAACTTGGGAAGAATGCTATAGCGTTGATAAGCATGGGTTAATCCTCCTATTTATGTTCCTTTCAGTAGCCATTCTCAAAGACTCGAGAAAATGATTGTCAAAGCCCTGGTCAAGGTTGACCTCTTCCCTGTCTACAAAGGTGCGGCTTTTCTCCTTCTCTCTGTCTCTCTACTAGATCCGGGGTAAGTTTGTGGCAGGGGTGAAAACCGAAACTGATACAAGATCTATCATGTAGAGTATCTTATTCCCGCCATCGCACGAACAGTTCATCTTGCTTTCTCTTCTGATCCTTTAATCCGATGGCTAAGGCCAAATGCTGCACCGTGGGCTGAGCAGGATACTGGCAGATGGAGCTGGCAGTATCGTCGTATCCAGCGTATAATGCTCGGGGGGGAGGTATTCAAATCTGCCGACGTTAGGGAAATGGCAAAATATTATCCAACAAATGGTAGAGACCAATTGTCGACAGAGACCCCCGTCTCTCCTGATGCCGCATTGTCAAAGAAAGATCCCGAAACGTCTTTGCACGAAGACGATGACGCCGGTGCGGTGGTGTTTCTATTCCCACCTTCGGGACGAAAGCCTTGGTCCCTATCGCGAATATGGCTTGCATGCAAGTTGTGGTTATTGAACTGCCTTGCACCAGCGCATGACAGTGGGGCGAGGAACAAGGTAAGCAAAGCGCTGACTTTTATTCTGGTGTTGTGCTGACTCGACTATCTTAGCGCGTTGAAATGCTCCTCGACGGACATGAAGCCAGTTTAAAGTTATTGAGGGCAAAGTACTCTCGGCAAAAGCTATGGTACCTTGAGGTTGTTGCCGTGCACCCTTCTCTACAATCACGCGGACTAGGTGGGGGCGTGATGAGATGGATCTTAGAACACGTTCATGACGACCCGGTATATCTTGAATGTACCCGAGAGGAGAACGTGAGGTTCTACGAGGGCTTTGGGTTTCGGGTTGCCGAAGAGGTTGAACTGGTGGATGGTGCGAGTCAAACTGGAGAGCATGCATTCAAGCACTGGGTCATGGTGCATCCAGGAAAGTCAACGCTGTAGAAATCCAATATCATAGGTCAGAGATGGATCAACGCTTATACCGATGGTCCTAGTTTAGCAAATAGCTTGAATATCTCATAGTCATATGAACATAAAGCTATATTATATTTACAATCATACCCATCCATGACTCATATCAAGCCCATATCCAACCCTTTTTGTCGAGCCAACTCATGCACACTCAGATTCGGATCTCCCTTCTGCCATAACTCTTCCAGCAGACTAAGAAGAATTTCGCACTGATGGGAGCCTAGCAACCCCTTTCTAATGGTTTGTTGCCATTCCGGCTTGCCACACAGGATACCGACTTCCGATCCAGCGACAAACATAGGAAACACAATCGCATTCTGAATGAGGCCATCTTCCGTTGGGCGTTCAGCTGACGCAAGACGGAGAGCATCAAGACTAGCCAGGATCCGTGCAACAAGAACGGATGTATCTGCCGGACACCTAGCAGGCTGCCGCCATGCCGAGGTAGTATTATTGGGAATAGTGGTAGAAGAAGTGTGAGCCTGTTTCCTGACCCTCAGTATACCGGCCAGCCGATGAGCCTCCCATAGGTAACATTGTAAAAAGTTCCCTGAATCGCCAGGTCAGTCCCAAAGAGTCTGCTCCGTAGTCTCTGCGCCTATCCCAGCAAAAATATCAAGTAGTGTACGAGGAAGACCGCTGACCGACTCAATACCATACCTCGGTATCGCGGGCTGGCAATACCGGCGCCAGATACCAATCCCTGGAGCCTGGCGACCGACCGAAAAGCAGGCCAGGTCCAACACCCCCATCACCTCGAGGAGGTGGATACGAAATTGAGTTTGGGTAGATTGATGGTGCAAATCATCGAGGCCGTGGCTCTGCAGAATTTTGTGCATACCTTCTAAATGCATACTCCAAGGCAGGCCGTGCATCAGCTGTAATCACATCGACGTCAGAACCTTAATTCAGAGGATAACCGACACAGAAGTTGAGGTTACGCACCCCGATGCTACACAGCAGCAACCCCGAAGTCAACGTCCCATCAGATAGGGTTGTGCTGCACGCTAGTTCTGATCGAAAGGTCCTTAATGCAGTGTCGAAGTACTCGCAGAATTGAGAACTGACTGTACTCGATAATGCGAGTTGGAATACAATGCAGATAGAATACAAGGCGCTAGATTCTTGACAAAGCTGCGGAAGACGCGGATGAAGCATGGTATCTCTTGCTGTTGTCGAATGAAGCACGTTAATGCCGTTATTCATAACTACACAATATCAGTATTAGCATTGAAAAAGCATACTCAGGTAGTTTCCTGCTGCAAACTCACACTCATTGAAAAGAACCTCATCTTCGACCGCCCTCTGCGAAGCCGCTAGCTCTAACCTCGGACTCGCATCTAAAGCTACCGACCAATCAATATCAAATAACCGCATGATTTTCATGGACCACGCTGACCAGAATTTTCTAGTTCCACCCGCCTTCTCCTCTCCTTACTAAGATCCCTCTGTCTTCCCCTCGGCCTCGGTGGTACAGGGCTCTTAACCGGTTTATCGGCACCAGTAAAGTGACCGCGCGACGCAATCCCCGTACCCCATTTTAGCCGAACCTCGTAGCCCTCGCACGTAGCTCCGCGATCGGCACAATTTTGGCATGAAGGGCGCGTGTTGTCGCAGCGACGTCGCCGTCGTTTACAAGTCCAGCAGCCCTGATGTGAGCGGGTCGACATGCCGGATTTGGAGTGTTGTCCTTGGAAGTGTTGGAAATTCGAATGGCCCGGGGCTGTTCAATCCAATGCGGGGGCGCCAGTAGATCATGTGGGTTCCCGATAGCGCGTCCGACTGCCTATTTGGGATAGCTCATTTTATGTACGCAAATCTACATGATTGATGGATGTTTTCCATAATTAAATGTGTCATACGGTACGTTGGATATATCAAATTATGAAATAAAAATCTCATGAAACATTGTAGTGTCGTATTAGTTAGCCAAGAAACAGATGATGTTTAGTTCGGCGTGGACTTCTATATTGGAACTAGTGTATCTCGGACATTCGGCATAATCTGAGACTCTATTTTTGCCGACTTCACCTTTTTTGTATCGTGGGAGCACATCCACTGCCGATCTACCGGCGCATCAAATAAACATGCTTCTTCAGCGGTGCCACGCGGCACCTTTCGCGGCCTGACAGACAACCATTGGTCTCTTCTACAGTGTGAATATCGGTATGTGCCAAGAGCTACCACTGGGGCAGCTCCATCTTCAGGCAATGCAATCATTGTCCAACAGGAGCTCCAAGCGAGCTTAGTCTATAGTCCGCGTAATTATCGATTTCCAATGAAACTATTTTGATCCTAGAGCTGGACCGGTATCCATGGATTATATAAAGTCCTGCTCATCCACCTCTCGATGAATTCGTACCTCACATAACAATCAACCGAGAACATCTTCAAAGTCCCAATGCTGAGCTTCCTTCAAATTCTCCTTGCCACTCCGGCACTCGCTGCGGTGACCAGTTTCCCGGTCATCCAAAGCAACCACGGACCTGTCAAGGGTGCAGCATCGCCTTTCCGACACGGCGTAACTGTCTACAAGGGCATTCCTTATGCCGCACCTCCCACAGGCTCGAAGCGTTGGACTCCTCCCACCAAGCCAGACTCATGGACTGAGACGCTCGAAGCAACTGAGTTCGGTCCCCAGTGTGCCCAGCCATATTCTGAGGCTGGTATTTTCTCTTCTGGAAAGAACTCGACCAGCGAGGACTGTTTGACCCTAAACGTCTGGACTCCTACTTACAACACCACCTCCGCTACCGAGATTAAGAACAAAAGCCTCCCCGTCTACGTTTGGATCTTCGGCGGCCGGTTCGAAGGAGGGTCCGGAGATGTCATCACCTATGATGGAACCGGTCTTGCTTCCAAGGATATCATTGTTGTCACTATGAACTACCGCCTCGGTGCCTTTGGCTTCCTTGCTCACCCTGACCTGTCCACCGAGTCTGGACACAATAGTTCTGGAAATTACGGTATTCTGGACCAGCAGTTTGCTCTCCGCTGGGTTCAAGATAACATTGCCAACTTTGGTGGAAACGCCAGCCAGGTCACTGTGGGTGGTCAGTCTGCGGGATCTGCTAGTGCATTGGATATGATGTGGAGTCCTCTCAGCAGTGGTTTGATCCACGGTGTCATTGCCGAGAGCGGTGCTCGCGGACCTCATGATCCTGCCACCGGTAGTGTTGCTACCAGCTACAACACCAAAGATGTTGCTGAGGAATTTGGCGTCACTTTCCTGAAGACTATGAACGTTTCGTCGATTGCCGAGCTTCGCAAGCTCCCTATGGCCGACCTTATCGATGAAGGCCAGTTGATGGAAGACGATTACTTTGACGGCACTGTCTTCTCTGACCTCTGGTCTGGACCTCCCCGCTGGCGTCCCGTTATCGACGGCTATGTGTTCCCTCACGGATACGGCGAATCTTTGGAGCTGGGCGCCCACGCTGACGTGCCCATCATGACTGGCAACAACAAGAACGAGAATGATGGAGGCGCCTCCACCGTTTCTGATTATAAGACCCTGTGGACAAAGGTGTTTGGCAACTACTCTTCTGAGTTCTTCTCTCTGTACCCCGCGAGGACGGACACCCAGGCCAGTGACAACAGCGACGCTGTACTTCTCGATATGGCCCGCGTTGGAACTTGGGAATGGGCCGCTGAATGGGCTGCCGGTGGTGCGAAGAGTGATGTCTTCGTGTACTACTTCACCAAGGCTCCTGCGGAGAATGAGGAGGGTGGCGCATACCACGGTGCTGAGATATGGTATGCTTTCAACAACATTCCTTACTCGGACTACTCCAATGTCACTTGGAATGCTACCGATTACAAGATTGAATCTGTGATCTCTGAGTACTGGGCCAACTTTATCCGCACGGGTAACCCCAACGGTGACGGCTTGGTCCATTTCCCTCCGTCCTCCAGCAACTACTCTGCTATGCACCTTGGCGAATCTTTCGGCGCAGTTCCAATCGCTGCGTCCAAGAAGCGCATCAGCTTCCTCCGTCGCTGGATGTCTACTTTGCACCAGTACTAAGCCGGGCTAGGCTTACTGTTGAATCCGGCGCTTCCGCCATGTGAGATAGAATTTGTGTTGTATAGTTTCCTTGTAAGTACTTAGACCAAAACATCCTAGTGTTAGCATCTCCACTTCGGCGCACGCTTTAAACAGGCCGTCTCGGATTTTAGCAATCTACCAATAACAGCTTCGGGAGCTTGGTAAGGTGCTTAGCCTATACTAGAGCATGATATTTAAGTACACTCCACTCGACCATATGACACCTGTATGTCTCAATTCTTACGTAGTTCTACGATCTCCCATCCCCGAATACGAACCCGTTAGCCCCGAGGAAGATCTGCAACTCCACATTTATATCCGAAGTCGCACCCTTACTTTCAAATTGAAACGGGTTATGACCGAAGATGTGGGGTGGACCCAAACCGTAATCATCACTTTCATATGCTGATGAGGAAACATGGAGGGTAGATCGTTTCTCAGCGGCCGCGTATCATCCCCTGGGAGCATTTCCATGTCTCGATATATTAAGAACGCATGCTATCGGTATAACATTTGAGCTCACAATCTTTATCCTTACATAGTCATCAGTCTTTCGCTTTGATCTATCTCATCCATTCTTTTAGACCTACCATGAAGCTGCTTTCCACACTCACTGGCATAGCAGCCTGCGGCTCGTCTCTCGCCTCTGCCCTGAGTCCCCCGGTTATCGATACTCACTACGGTACAATCCATGGTGGTCTCTCTCCCTTCCGCGGAGGCGACAAAGCTTTCGTCTACAAAGGCATTCCTTACGCACAGCCTCCTACAGGTGCAAACCGTTGGACAAAGGTTGCTGGTCCATTGAAATGGGGCAAGCTGAATGCGACCGAATTCGGACCACAATGCGCGCAAACAATCGGCAATGCTGGCATCTTCTCCAGTGGCAAGACCACAACCAGTGAGGACTGTCTTTACCTCAATATTTGGACTCCGGCCTACAAGAACCAGACCGATATGTCAGCCAAGAAGCTGCCGGTTCTTTTCTGGATTTATGGAGGAAGATTCACCGGTGGTTCAGGTGATGTCAAAACCTACGACGGCACTGGCCTGGCACAGAAAGACATCATCGTAGTGACCATAAATTACCGTTTGGGACCGTTTGGATATCTTGCGCACCCCGAATTGTCTGCTGAATCGGGCCATAACAGCTCTGGTAACTACGGCATTCTGGATCAACAAGCGGCTCTGCACTGGGTCAACGAGAATATCCAACTCTTCGGCGGTGACCCTAATCAAATCACCGTTGGTGGGCAATCCGCTGGCTCGGCTAGTGCCCTCGATGTTATGTGGAGCCCGCTGGCCAAGGGCCTCGCCGAAGGTATCATTTCAGAAAGTGGTGCGCGAGGAACACACGATCCCATGACTGGAACTGTTGCCACTAGCTATCGGACCAAGACAGCCGCTGAAAAGCAGGGTATTGCTTTCCTGAAGGAGATGAATGTGACATCCATTGCCCAGTTGCGGAATGTGTCTATGAAAGCTCTCCTTGAATACGACTCGCTTTCCGATACCATTTGGGAAGGGACTCCTTTCGCTAATCTCTCTGCCACATTCATGGAACCCCCTATGTGGCGACCCAACATCGACGGATACGTTTTCCCTAACAACTACTCGGAAGCCTTGCGCAGCAATTCCCATGCCGATATTCCCATTCTCACTGGAAGCAACAAGGACGAGTCCGGTGCCAGCCCAGACCTGTCTTACACTGCTTCCAACTACCACGATCTGTACAGCAACCTCTTTGGAGACCTTTCAGATGAATTCTTCGCTTTATATCCTGGCACAAACAGCACCCAAGCCTCAGAAAGCGCCAAAGAGTTCTACCGTGATCTCAGCCGCATCGGCACTTGGCGTTGGGCTGTTGACTGGGCTGCAGGCGGCGCAAAGAGCAACGTGTATGCATACTACTTCACCCATGCCCCTGCCGAGAACCGCGATGGAGGTGCTTACCACGGTTCCGAGCTCTGGTACACATTCAATAACATTCCCTACGCTTCGTACTCCAATGTTACATGGAACAGCGAGGACTATGCTGTCGAGAACAAGATGGCCAACTACTGGGCGAACTTCATCCGCACTGGAAACCCTAATGGGAATGGGCTGCCGCAATTCAACCCCACTACCAAGTCCCCTAGGAAAACTATGTGGCTGGGCGATTCGTGGGGAATGGGTCCTCTGACCATGAACAGCAAGCGAATCCAATTCTTGCAGAAATGGACATCCCATCTGCCTGCTTGGTGATTTTCAACTTTTGCATATGGTCTATATGTGAACCAGTGTATGGCTTAAAGCTTACATTCATTCTTTTTGATATGTGTTATAGATTATAGACCAATCCCATGATGTGAATATAATCACTCGTATATCATTATTTCGTATTCCAATGTTTAAAAGCATAGTTTCTTGGTATTACTGAGGATATACCTTGTTATTTATCACAAGAGCATGTGCAGCATATACTTATGTGGTGATGCTATCTTTAATGTTCTCAATCTGTCATCAATAAGTATTGTGGGATGTTATTACTGTCTTTTACTTTCTTACATCTACACAGGAGATATCTAGCCAAACCAAGGTAATCAAAATGGTGAACTGGGACATTCCTTTGTCTTGGAAATAATGTCGCCCTAAAACAACATATAACCCATGCACAATGTCTATTGCAGTGCGTACTTTTTACCACAAAACCAAAAACCATATCTGCAGTGAACCACAAACTAAACCCCAGTAAAGCGTAGCAGATAAAAAAATACATAATACAAAGCGGCAAAGCCCATCATGGCGGCACCGCTCGAGCCAGCAGACGAATATTATCCACAAAGCCCTTGACGAGATCCTCGTACTGGTTCTTAGGATCACCCGACATAGCAAGCTGGCCCTGACGACGAATTTCCTCAGCCGAGACTTCAACTTCAAGCTCGTGGTCGAACTCATTCTTGCCCGGTTGTTGCTGTGGTATGGTCAGAAGACTGGTTTTTGGGGGTGACACAGGACATTTGAGTAAACTTACATCGGATTTGGCTACCTGAGTCAAGTCCACCTGGTAGGCCAAGTGGCTGTAGCTCATGCGATCTTTGATGCGATCGCCCCGTCCGCCTTTGATGACAGCTGCATCTATCACTGGGAGATTGCTGACGTCGCCTGTATATTCCATTTCCAGATTGACACTGACGCGCCAGTCTACGGTCGTCCGTGGACTGCAGACGTCTACGTCGGCAACTCGACATTTGACGATTTTCGCGAGGATTTCACCGGTTCGTTCATCGGTCGTCACCCGGACTCTGGGCTTGTGTCTCGGGTTCAAATTTTGACGGATCACCGGGGGCAAGTCAGCTGCTTGAATCTCGTAGAAGGTGTCGCGTTCTTTTTTGTGCACGTATGCAAGTGGGATTCGGGTCGAGTTGGGCTGGGGCATTGACGCTTTCACAGCCTCATTCAGGAAATTATTCATGGCTCGGTGTTGCTCCTGTGGATCATGGTAAGTAAACTTCATCGGGGTCAAGGTATCCTTGCTAGACATTGGGGAATCAACTTACCACAGTCATTTTACTTTCAAACGATGTCCGAATCCGCGCATTCTCCCGATTGAGAACGCTCTCGGTTAAGATTGGAAGGTTAATCCGGTCTCTGCTGTCCATGTCGATAATATGGCCCAATTTCGCCTCAATCTCGACGATGGTCCCCTGGCCGGCAGCAGCAGAGCCTGCTGGTCCAGCATTCACATCATTTCTCATGACCACATGTTGAAACAAGAAATCGCAAAGGGTTTTTGTAATCTCCTCGTGTGGAATGAAGCCAGTAATGGACGGCTCCCAAGGTCCTAGCGAGCCTATCGTCTGCGAATTACCCTGCGAACGAAGTGAGGAAGCGGGCGGGGCCGGGGTAGCTTGCACACGAGGCATACTTGTGCTTGGTGAAGCAACAGCAGGTGCTCGTGTGACCCGTGCGACGGGTGTGACAGCCTTTATCGAGGAAGACCGTCTGCGAGCAGCCGCGGAGGGATCCTGCTGGCTTTGTCGCGCATGTTTTGGAACCGGGGGACGGGGATTGGGAATAATCGGGCGTTTACTTGTGTTGCGGGGCGTCAGCCGAGCATAGATCGGAGGCTCGTTGTACCTCCTTCTCTTTTGCTTGGGCTGTTGTGCATCGACACGTGGTTCGTGGTCGATTTCCATGTCCACGGCGTGGGCGCCTCCACGAGCGGCGGAGGGTGAACTGTTCATTTGACTGCCCGGTGCCAATGGCGAAGTTAGGAAATCTGATCCTGCGACGGTGGGCTTTTGTGCGGTGGGACTCTCAACCAGCATTCGGTCTTCGGAAGAACGAATTTGACTAGCGGGCCCTGACTCGGACGCCCTGACGATGCTATTGTGACGAGAGATGGATTTGGGACTGGCGCTCTCGGTTGGCTCTTGCTTTAAGCCACCCGAAGAGAGGTGAGTCGGCTCAGAGGGTTGAGAAGTATGCGGGGAGAACTGGCGCTGGGTCACAGGTGACTGCGTTGGAACCTGATCTCGTATTAAGGCCTCCTGTGTGGGCCTCGGGCTGGATAGGGGATTGCCGGGGGAATCGTGTCCGGAGGAGGGCGGGCGGGCAGTTGATGGCGACTGGCGTGTGGCAAAGGCAGGAGGAGGACCTAGGGGGGTGCCGGGAATAGATCGATGTGCAGTGGGAGAGAAGTGTTGCGATGGAAGAGGTTGCGATGCAACAGGAGGGCTGTGGAAAGATTCAACTGGAGCTCGGGGTGTTGTCATCACCGATTGAAGTGATTGAGAGCGCTGTTGGGAACGCTGCTGGGCGAAATAAGACTGTTGTTCCGGGTGTTGCGGTCCAGCACTCAGCGGTTGTGGTGTGTATGGCGAAACCAGAGGACCCCCGGGATGTTGGGGATGCGACCCGTATGCCGGCGCGCCAAATGGATCACGCGTGCCGGGACCATACGATGTCGAAACGTGTGGAGGTGTCTGACTGCGCTGAGA